ATATATTTGCGTTGCGCGTGACAAACTCTCTGCGGTGGTTTACAAAATCAAAACAATTCCGCGATTTCCCAACCGAAGCGTGTGCGCGGGGGGGCGCGATAAGAAGTTGCAAAAGCATTGCAGGAATTGTTCGCGAAACCTTTAATGCGCCGCCATCGATAACTTCTACCTTGCCTACCGTTTAATTATGGAGAATGAAACGTTCGGTCGAGCGATCACGCCGTTACGTCAGTGGGAAACGTGATTTCGTGCCACGTTCATTCCTCGTCGACACTTCTAAGGATCTGTGAGTTTCCAACGAGAGGAAATAGGAGAAAGGATTGGCTGTTCCCCGAAACAAAAAGATGAAAATCCTTGTTGTTTCGTCATGTTGGGAAATACACAGAGAACAAGCGCAAACACTTGTTTGCATGTTGTATATTTTAGAATTTATTGCTGTGATGAAGATCAAAATAAATGATCAAAATGTTTATTCGCCATTTGTAAAATGTAAATTATTTAAATTTGGAAAAAATACTACAACCATCACTCGCTAAACTGACGGCTTTTTGGTTTTGTTTAGTTATGTTTGCATATTATTTACAATTATTGTGTGATAAAACGCACATTTTTTACTACAAATTATTGTTTTTTTTTTTTTTTTTTTTTTAAAGTGAGACAAATATTTGCGCAGATTAAATAACTTATATAAGTTATTTGCGACAAACATTTATTTATACACGATTGAATCGATTATGTGGAAGTCTTACCTGTTTGCATGAATAAATGTGGCATTCGCGANAAAAAAAAAAAAAAAAAAAAAAAAAACAATCGACGCGGTACAAACAAGAATCGTGCCTTATTGGATTAAACTTTGTGTTTCTCGGTAACTTATCTTATTTATCTGTGTACACGCGAATTTGATACCTCTCTTATTAGCGTTATCTAAGGTTGTAGCTTACCGGTGATATCGCGATCGTAATGTTATTTTTTATGTCAGTTTTTGATTACAAACAACCGCGCGAATTCTCGCAACAATCGCGCATTTTTGTTGTTAAAAAAAAATACATTTTCGATCTTCTCTTCTCCTCAAGTTGTAATTTCACGACCGCCCGGTCGTAATGAATGGCCGCGCTGATTATCATTGGATAATCGCCGATTGCGTACAACGCAATTGACTTTAATTTGTCCGTAGCGGATACTTAATATCGTGCGGAAGATGACAAAAAAGCGAAGAACAATATTTTCTAGCGCAGCAAAGTTGTTTATCAGCTTCGGAAGCTAATCTCGATATGTACGCGATATAGACACGTTGACCCGTTATTTCTTGTTTTGTGTGTCGTTGCTAAATCGTTTTTTGATAAACAAACATCCGCGCCTCGAAACCGGGAACGAAGTTAGGCAGCGCAATAATGTTGTTTGCTTACAACGTCATAAAGTCGAGCAAAGCTCGATAAAATGTAACCGATATTTTCCGTTTTCCGAGATTTTCTCTTCGGATCGAGAGAGAGAGAGAGAAAGAAAAAGTGAGAGAGAAAGAGAGAGAAAAAAGAAACTCGGGGATTAAATCGGAGTCGCGTGCAGCCGAAAATATATAATACCGCTTTTCGCCCCTCGCATTCGGATATAAACTTCGCCGCGCTTTGCCAGGCCACGGCTCGAAAATAGTCACACATTTAGGGTGGCAACCCATGGCTTTTTAGAACGACGCGAGAGCGTTCTCGTGACGCACATCTCACGAACACTTCCATCCTCCTCTTCTTCCATCCTCTCCCATAAGTCCCACACGATTTCTGTTTCTAAGGTTCTTCGCTTAGTTTGTGTTTCCGAGAAACATTAAATTTCGCACTCTCTGAATTTAACACAACGCGCGGCAAAAGACGCGCGTAGAAAACTTTGAAATCAGTTGACTTATTTTTTTGCGCATTTTTCCCGAAAATTTCAACTTTCGGGTTAAAAAACGGGCGAGAACTCGGGCGAAGAGTTTGGCGAAGTAGGAGATTTTCGCAAGCGAAAGAGATTGAAGATTAAACATATAAACGATGGGGATAAATTTAGAATATCCGAGTGTGTACAAAAATTGCCTTGCCTAAAACGACACTCTATAAAAGCGTCGGAACACGCGATATCACAGATAAAAAGCTCTCGGAAATGTTGTCGAATTGCGATTATGCGGCACGATAATATTTAACGATAGTTTTATCTCTCATCAGGCATATGTACGTATGTTTTTGTTTCATTTCAACGATGTCGGAATCAAAACACAAACATGTTGTTGACGAGAGACACACGTGTGTGTCGCTAAACCAATTTCGCTTTGTTAGATCACGAGAGATTGTCATCAGCCTCAGACGAACATCACCTGAGACGTCGATCAAAAAACTTTTGGGGAAACGGTAATATCGACTGTATATTAAATTAATTAGCACACTCGAAAGATTTCGAGGAATGACACCTGTCATGTGCGTGGATAAGAAAATGTTCAAGTGTGTTACAAAATAACTCACTCGTAATTACATAATTTGTGCGCACGTGCGTGTGCGGGGTTGTGCAACTCTCTAATTTGTTTTTGTTTTTATTATAACTCGCAAGTTTGATCGACAATCGATTATCGTCCGCGTGGAAAATATTTGTTCAAGAATGACGTTACGGGAGAGAGCACGGAGCGAGTAAACTTGAGAAGAGAGAGCATCGATCAATCAAACGGGGGGTTTTGTTTCTATATTTTTATTACACTTTTCTCTCCGAGAAAGACGCGGACGACGCGAAGCTTAATCTATAAATACATCTTCCCCCGCCGCTTCACATCTAACGTTTCGCCGATAGATTCAGTCGCGGCGGGCCTTGAGACGCAGACCACGGCGGGTACTATAATAATCCACGACAAAGAGTAAATTGTGCGAGAGAAGAGGGAAACAATCGCTTCGACGAAATTGCACGGCGCCGAAGAGATTCCCGCTAATTATAATAATTGCGCTCGATCGCAAAAAGATTCGTTTTTTTTTTTTTTTTTCGTCCAATATATCTATTGTAATAATAATCGCGCGCATATCCTGTTAATTAAATCCTCTCGTTAATTAAGCAGCGCTTAAATGCAAATGCAACGTCTTATACAAGAAACTTGGAATATAATTCGTGAGACACAAGTACTTTCAATATACAACTTCTATTTTTTTTTTTTTGTTTTTTTTTTTTTTGTAATCGTTAACATTTTAATATTTCCAGTGGGAAAACGTTCTCTGAAAAGATTCCAAATTCGCGAAGGGCGTCCTTGAAGTTTTTGCGTTTATAACTAAATGTAAACATAACAAAATATTGTGTAATATTGTATAATATTGTATGTGTGTGTTATAATATTTATTTGTGCATATGCGTATATAATTTAATGTAATGAAATAACACTTTTTTTTTTTAGCCATATAACGAACTAACACTTTTTTCGAATTTCGAGAAAATTGAAGCCTGTGTTGTTTCTGGCTGCGAATGTGAATGTTGCGAATCTCTTATTTGTTTTCGTTTGATAGAAGGTGTGTCAATTGAGCTGACCGTCTACAGATACACACATGCGGCTATTTAAATCAGTCTGAGGTTTAATCGTGTCTGTTTCTGTTTTGCTGTTTCAGATCCGTATTCCTTGTCGCATCTCGGTGAGTCCATCCTCGTTTTGTTGCATGCATTGCATGAGCGTAAAATTATTCTCTTTCACTAACACAAATCATTTAACACAAATCAATCAACGTATCATTAATATCCTTCCATTGTATTTACACGACAATGCATGTTAAACAGATTAGTGTATTCTACATAATGACAGAAAGAGGAAACAACAAACGGCAACGTAAACCGATTGCAGTTTGATGTTTTTGCTTTTTCTGGATATTTCTTGATTTTTTTTTTTTTTTTTTTTTTTAATTGACGTTCGAGAAATTGATGTGTTGTAACACGCTGTTATGTTGACGTACTAATAATATTTGCATATTGTGTTACGCACTCTCGTGAGCTAATAAAAAGTGTCGTATAGAAGAATAGAGAGACACACACAAAGAGAATACACAGAGTGAGATCGGTACATTGATCGGCGCCTCTCGATCGGGGGGGATCTAGGTCGCGGTAAAGGTCAGACAACGACAATTCGCGGTCGGAAAGGTCACGGTGCGAATCGTTATCGAACGAAAGCGACACAAAAATAGATCCCAGCGGTGTCCAATTGCGCTTTTAGCGGGGACACACATCGTTCTAATTCTCATTTGAGCAAATCCCTAAATATCCGAATATCTGTCATTTTTTTTTTTTTTTTTTTTGCCTTTACTCGAGGAATACGAGGAGACGGAATTATTTGCATCATTCGATATGCTCGTTACTTGCATTATTCGTTATTCAATATTCATTGTTTGACAGATACTCATTATTCGATATTCGCGTTGTTAGCATTATAAAAAAATTGCTCGAATTGTGGAACTGAGTTCTCTCTCTCTCTCTCTCTCTCTCTTTCTGATGTCACTTGTTCGTTTCTCTTCCTTTGATTTTTTTTCTATACGGAAATGACAATCACGAGTTAAACACGTGTGCTACAAAAATTATTGTTTCTCAAACGATAATTTTAATAATACTTACTGTGCACACGTTGTTGATTCGACGACGGAGAGGAATTAGAAAAGAGGAAGACATAAATAAACACCATGTGGGAGACACCTGCGTCTTGATGACAGCTCCGGAACTTCAATTGTGTGTAATCACAAGACTCGTTGTAATAATGGCTGTTTATTTGCGCATGCACTTATTATGACGTGGACGAGTGCAAAATTACCACCATGCAGAGCTCACACTTAGATCGCACTTACTACAATTAGATTACTCACACATTCGCACAGCCAGAGCGAATGTGTGTTATCGCGAAAATTCATATTCTGTTTTCAAATTCGTAACTGACGTAGCGAATTATCAGAGCTGATAAATATGCTGAAGCTTCGTGAGAATATACAGTGAAAAAAAATGATAATACATAAAGTAACCGCGGAGAGAGAGAAGAAAAAAGCAACCGCGAGAAGAGACTGTCAGAATTATTTTTCTCGTTGTGTCAAAAATACAAAAAAAAAAAAATCTCTCGTACGATCATTTAAACTAATATTTCCTTTAAACATTAATGGTACTCACAATAACAATCCTATGGCATCGTCATAGCTCTAACGTCATTCGAAGCCTTGGGAGATTCAAAGTCTATTATTGGATATGTTGTGTTATCAAAACTAAAAGTGACGAAGAAAAACACGTTTTCAAGAAAATGCTGAAAATATCGATTGTGCATATATATGTTTCCTCTTATATAAAAATTGACACACGTGTCATCTCGCGTCAATATTGAAACGTTTTATTCGATGAGTAATACATATCGGTCAATAGTAATAATTGCATATTATTAATAGAAACTGCGCGCGCATATATATATATATATATATATATATCAGCGAATTTCTTTATTTAACAGATTTTTATAAATAAAGCCAGGGTCTCTCTCTCGTATTTCGAGCGTCCCCGCATTATCCATCGATTTATATCGCGTGCGGGTGCCGACAGTTGATTCCGCGAATCCATTCCTCGCGTCGTCTCTCCCGAATGTTAATATTGTTCTCGCGGATTGTACAATCGGTTTAAACAACAATAAGCGTTTGGGCGAACGATATATAACGCGCGCGTGGTGCTGAATTATGGGGCGAAATTTACGATGTGGCTGCGATAAACTTGTGACGCACGAAGCGGGCTGCGAAACGCGAATGAACTAAAATTCAATTTGCGGTTTCCGCGTTTTAACGCTAAAACATCGGATGTTTTTTTTTTTTTGTCTCTGGAGATTAAAAATTTTCACTTCATTGTTCGTTTCACAAAGGAATAAAGATTTTCTCGCAATGATATATGATGTTGTTTCAAGTTTTCTTTTTTCAAAAGAAACAAAATTCGAAATTACCATTTCTCGGGGGGTTTTTCTTGAGGAAATCTTCAGGAAATATCGGATCGTCTAAAGTTGGGAAAGTACTCGCGGAGAATATTCGCGGGAATTATTTTGCAAGCTTAAGAAATAATCACTCATATAACTGTAGTTTTTTTCTTTCTCTCCGTCTTTTTCTCTCAAGTCAATCGCTAACTTGTGTACTCGTATGCCTACGTATGTACACGTCTCTCGAGAAAATCGCGCTGACGTAAATGCAATAGATAATCTCGGAAGAGACTGGGTGGCCTCAAAAGCGATCCGGGGGAGTGCACATCAAACACCGTTATTTGAAAACAATTCCTCGTAACGTTGGGAACTCCCGAAAGTTCCATCGAAAACGTCTTCCGGCGATTTGCGCGTCTTGATTGCGCCGTCAATCGAAACAGATAGGCGGAAAGAAAAAAAACGCGAGATTTTACCGATTCACTTCCGGACGTTGAGAGCGCGGACGAGTGGCGCGCGATTAAAGTGCGAGATACGATAGTTAAAAAACAATAATTAAAAGATAAAACGCGCGAGAGAGAAGCACAAAGAACAGAGCGTTATCGTATTGTAACGGATGCGAATGTGAATCACGTGTCGCGAGCGCAGCACAAACCACCTGATCATTGATTAATCAAGAGACAAAGTGCATAGATTGCACTTAGACGCGTCATTCGACGCCTACTAGGAAACAATTTTACATATCTCCTTTTGCAATATACGCGCGCTATTATATATTTTTAGAATTCAATTTTAGTTTTCGGTCTGATTCGATCTTCTTCGAGAACATTCTGTATATAGAATTTCGGAAGAGATATTTTTGCTCGCCCGAAAATGAGAGTTTTTATATATTTATGAGCGGCAACGCTTTTGCTTTTTGCTTCGCGACCATTTCTCGAAGCGGATTCCAATTGATGATCTGCGGAATCTTCATTTTCTTGGCAACTATTAACATGTTTTGATACACATATACCAGAAAAAGAGAGAGAAAGGAGAAAGAGGAGAGAGAGAGAGAGAGAGAGAGAGAGAGAGAAAATATGACGAAAGAGACGTCTGTGGAAGCCATTTATAAAGAACTGTCTCGTTACGACAATGTGTTAGTTATTTGCGACATTATCGCTCGGTAAGCGTCTTATCCGTGTGATAGGACGGTTATTTTTAACAGGATAATCTAATGTCTCGATTATAAATAGACTCTTGTAGTGAAATCGAGAGAAATATACGTCATATGGACAGCGACTCGGCAGAAACGCTTAAAAGATTTACATAGTTTTAATTTAAGAAAAAAAATCACGCGTATAAACTGTGGCGTGTTATTTTGTTCTCTCTTCAATCAAGGTCTAAGTAAAACTTATCTTATTTTACCAATGCAAATTTCCGAGACGCGGTGACGCGCACAAAATTCGTTCGAAGGACACATTGAATAATGACGATGACGACAGAGAGAATATCATTTTGGTGACTTTTCGCGAATGTCTCGCGTCGTCGTCGTCGTCATCATCATCATCATCATCATCATCATCATCATCATCATCATCATCATCATTGATCCTGACGACGCGAGAAATAGCGGAAAAAAACACGCAGTTGAATTGCGTAAGTTGAATCTTCCGTTCGTGTCACGTCGCGTGTGGCACGATTTACGTTACCGCAAACGCTAATCGGAGCCGGGACTGTAACACAGAAGTGCAAGAAGGGAAAGCGATCACAAAATCATTGTAATTTAATATCAATGCACTTTGAATGATATCCAGCCGAGCGGATATAAAGTTTGAAGAGCACAAGAGTATCCAGTCTGTGAGGAAAAACTTGTCTATATTTAAGTTATTAACATTCTCGTTCTTCGAACTTATTAATGATACGGTATATTTGTGTGTATCTATTTGTCAGGATGTTGACGATGACATTAATCTGATGACACATTAGTTCAGTGCGAGTAGAGTCTTTAATCTTTGAAATCGCCTGCAATACAGACGACCATGTCCTACATCGAGAAACGGCAAAGTGAACGGCCAATAACAACACCACCGCCATTTCACGAGAAACATTCTCCTTTCTCTCTTTCTCCTTCTTGTTTTCCTAAATATATATATATATATATATATATATGTAGCACTTTCGTAAACCATTTGAATTAATAAAGAATTAATTATTTGACAAGAGAGATCGAGATGAGAAATTACAAATGAGAAACAAATTTAAATTGCGAAAAGAAAACAGAACCTTTATTGCATTCTTGACGAATAGATGATCCTTAAAAAACACAACGTGTGTACAATTAAGCATGTTAATTACGCAATGATGATAGTACGAATAATAACGTAACAATTGTTTTTGCATTCGTATTCTTTGTCATTCATTCGCGTGTCACATTTTTTAATGTTTTTTCTCAAATTATCTCTAATTAAAATAAATTATTCAGCTCCGTTTTGTGTTACGATATCGATCAAAACGTGTTCGTCACGTCAATTGCGTCACAAACGAACGGCAGGTTTTCTGAAGATGTTACGTGGTAGATTTTCTTCGAACGAAAAACACCGAAAAAGTAAAGCGGTGTTGTGCCAACAGCGTCAGCTGACGGCAACCTGTACGTTGTTTGCGACAAAATGTGATATACGTGGACCACTGGACAGGTTCCAAACTTGACTGAGAAGATCGTAGAGAGCGCCGCCGTGACGGTCAGGATATTACGCTGATTCACGAAACACACATGTGTTTTCATTTGCACAAGGTGTCCGCGAAGTATCGGCGCAAACAACGCACAATATTCGTCGGACTTCCCGTGTTTATACTTGCCGAAGAAATTTACGTCTTCGCTTTTCCAACTAAAACGACATGTGATTTACGTGTCATTGTTTTTATAACTGTAATTTACGTTAACGTGTTTGAATTGCATGTGATCACATTTGTACGGTATTAAGCGACGAGGAGCTTGGCGATACGCAGAGCAATACCCTTTTCATGTAGTCCCTTAGCTTGGAACAAGTCCGGGACCCGAAGGTGGCGTTGAACTCGAAAGGACGACGGGTTCTTCTTTCGCGGCAAGAAGAAGAGCTGATGAAAAATTGTAGCTCGGCCTTCGGCCAGGGAACCGTCCTTCCCGACCAGTCTTTCCCATCAGCCTCAATCTATCCGATCTATTTATATACACTCTATTTTACATAAAGTGAAAAGCAATTTTCAAATATCCAGGAATTCGAATGCAAATATACTCGGAGACGTTTGTGCCGTTTGAAATATTTTAAATATAAAATAAAAATATCTTTTTATGTGAAATATATATTTGCGCTTGTGAATTCCCGGATTGACTTGATTATTATTATTTTTTTTTAAGTTTTACACGTATCTTTTCCGGTGCTTTCACTAAATATGACTCTTAAGCTCACACGGGCGCATAAATTCTTTCTAAATATTCGGGACGTTGAAACCGGGTTTGGTTAAATGAAACTTTTGTTTGGAACAAGGTCAAAAAAACACTTTCTTTGTTACAGATCCACCCAGCGATAGTATCTACATGATATGCGGCGTGCTGATCGCTATGGTCGTAGTGGGCATCGTAATCGTTCTGCTCGCCGTAACGATCAGGTGAGTATTTGGAAAATTTCTCTCGTCGTGTTTTTAATATTAATTACGTAAGCGTGTTATAATAGCGTGCACTGGGGTACAACCTCGCGAGCAGACGTCAACATGATGCTGCAAAAAAACCAATTCGAGAAAAAAAACAAACTTGTCGAATGACACACGTATAATAAATTTAAAAAAAAAACCAAAAAAAAAGAACGAATAATAAACAGCGTGTCGAGTCCAAAATGAGCACTTAAAAAAAAAACCAATATACATAATACTCTTGATGCAAAACAAATAAACCGTTCTGAGAGATGACAATGGAAAAAGCGCACGAAGATAAAGACAAGAAAGAGAGCGACGAAAAGTGAAACGGGGGAAAAATGAAAAAAAATAAGAACTCGAAATCCGAGAACGTCCAAGTCTGATATATCCGTTTGTCCGAAGTGTCGCGTGGCGTCGGGACGCGTGGCTGAAAACGGCATACACGTCTCGTCTGCCGCGTGGAACCGGACGGAAATAGAGATAAAGACGCGAGAGAAGCGCTCGTGTGTGGTACAACGTCTGTGGCGTTTCCCTTTCGGATGTCTTTCTCAGAAAATCATCACGAGACATCTCGGAGACGCTGTCTCTCCCGTCTCCGAGAGCAAACGCGACAACGTTTTATCTCTTCGTTTTCGGATACGATTAATATTTTTTTTTTTTTTTTTTCACGGCAAAGAAGAAGCAGACTTTTTTATCATCTTATCAATTGACGAAATCTCTTGTTTTGAAAAAATTTATGTCTCTCTGCGTAAATTATATACATCAAAACGCACAAACGTTGCGTTGACAGCTCGACCTTGTTTACGAAGTTGACAAATGAGCGAAGTGACTAGAAATGATCTACGGCGGTGGAGCGCTTTTGCAAACACGATTTTTGTCGTGTTTAAAGACGGCGGCAAAGTATGATTTGTTCGATGAAAAATTTGCATTTTGCAATTCTCAGTAAAGTTCTACGCTCCTTTATATACATATATATATATATATATATATATATATATACATATTGTATATTGTATTTCCGTTAAATACGTGCGGTGACTCACTTGTATTATCGATGTTTGTATGAGAAACATGCCGATAACTGTTAACAAGTATCCGTGCGTATCTACGGCCTCTACGAATGAAAGAAAACCATCTCGAGTGACTCCAAGAATCGAAATCTCCTATCAGTGCTGTCACGTAACAGAAATAGAGTTTGACTGACAATGAGCTAAGAGATTACCTATCACAGGCTTGAACAAATCTCTTTTTTGTCTTTTATAATTATTAGTGATTATCTTAAAATAACACTTAGCTGGAAAAAGAAATCTTTTTTCTTTTTTGTTATAATTTTCTGAGAGACACTTTTATTTGATCTTTTGTTCCAACACGCGAGAGTGACCGTGAGGAATCTTTATTTTTATATTTTGTTATTTTTTTCTTCAACAAAATGTGTTTTTTAGTTTAGTTTTAGTTAAGCGCGCGACGAACGTTCAGCAGCGCGTTTACCTGCCACACAATACAAGATGCACAATTCAGAGACGAAGAGTTCGCTGCTATTGTTAGAGGCTAGCATATACACAACGCTGCTACGTATGTATATCGCGGACGAATTTTATGTGTATTTGTAATTTTACCTTGTGTGTGATGTATGTGCGCCTTTATTACTTCACAGTAATAAAAGCACGTATCGTCGTTACAGTCGCTGTTGCATAATCGCAGATATAGTAGTCGTTTCTCTCCAAATTATTTCCTATCGCGATCTGATACAACGCTCCAAATGAGTTTTAAGAATTACCCTCTCGGATTAAAACACACCTCTCGAGTATTGACTTCCTTGAAATTAAATAATCTTGTTCCCCAATTCACATTTAACACTAAAAACAAATTTGATCTTATTTAATCTTCATTAATTTACCAGTTATGCACTTTACTCTCGTTATCTCTCAATTTATTCCAACTCATTATAAACATGAGATGCAATTAAAAAACACATTTTGCGTGTGAGGTATAATTTGTGCGAAAAATGTGTATGTTATTTCGCACTTTACTCGCATTATTAAATTTAATTTAATTAGCGCGCGTCGAGTTGAAGACAAACTTCAGCGCTCGACCTTACTTTATTTTATTTCGTTTCGATTCATTACATCAGAGAGGGAATAGAGTGCGCATTAATTTAATGAAATAAATTAAACAATCAACGGAGAGTTCATATAATCTGGATCCGCAGACTGCGCATTAAAAATCGCCTTGATGTGTCACGAAGTTTTTGATATAAGAGACTGACAAAAAAGTAAACAATCGCGCGTCGTGTGTGACGGTTGAAATGTTACGGCGCAATAAAAACAAAAGGGAGAGAATAAGATGTTTGTTCATTCTTGCGCGAGGAGATCGCGTGAATTCCTCTTAAATTGCGCGCGATCGCAATTGAATGTTAAATACATTTAGCAATATATCACAATAATATACAATAGATCGCGCGCGCGCGCGCGCGCTCGCTCGCCTAAAGAGAGAACTTACCGAACACACAAAAGCCGAGGCTTTGCGCCGTTGCGTTACGTCGAAACGAGAGGCCATGGCCAACCGCCGTTGCCGCCACCGCGTCGCATTGGTTACGCGCCACGGCGCTGGTTCTCTCTCTGTGTGTGACATAAGGGCGTAAGTCCGGCCTGTGGTCGGCCTTACGGCGCGATTGGCGCGACACTATGACGACAAAACGTGAACGGAACGGGGAGGGCGAGAGGGGGGTAGGGTTCGTTTCTCGGTGTACCGTTTGAACTTCGCCGCGGTGGCGATTGGCCACTTGATGCGACGCGTGCCAATCGCAGCCGTGCACGACGGTGACGTCACATCGCGGTATAAAAGACGGTCACGCGTCACACAACGCTTCAAACGCGCGCTGGCTCCGAGCAATGATCGAGCGGACGTAGTTTTGGGAGATCGCTGGTCGGCTTCGGCCTTTTGGCAGTGAGGAGAAAAACGACGCCCGTGCCTTCGTTCTTGCGAGTTTGCGTCCACGTGCGCGCACAAATTAGCAGAATTCTAGAAGAAAGAGAGAATTACCTTTGATAAAAATCGAATACCAAGAGTTTCACGAAGCTAGTCAGTGCGGAATATCCGCACAAGTGTATAAGTGCAATAGTGATATCCTTGCCTTGTTCAGAGAAACGGAAGGTCGAGACTGTCGAGAGACAAAGAGGAAGAGAGGAGAGAGAGACAGAGAGAGAAGAAAAAATATCAGAAGCGCTCGCAAAGACGATTGACAAAGCGAGACGGAAGTAGGTGGTCGAGTGACGGAGATGGAGAGTAACCTAGAAAGAAGGCTGGTGTGTGCCGTAAAGCTCTAAACACAAAAAAGAGAGAAAGAGAGGTTCAAAAAAAAGTCCTTCGTTTCGTTTTTTTCTAAGGACGCGTAAATGTGAGAGTATCCGAGAGAAGAAAGAAGGTCGCGAGCGTTCCCAAAACTCCTAAGAATCAGCCGGGGAATCACACGCTCAAGAGAGAGTGTAAACGTTCGTCTCTCCCGTAAGAAAGAGACAGCTGATTTCATAACGATAACCGTCATCGCGCACAACCGTCATATATAACTGTAAGAGCGCGCGCGAGAGAGAGAGAAAGAGATACATAGACTGAGAAGAGTGACATTTGGTTTTTCCTCCGGTTCTTTGGTATTCTTGCGAATTATACATCCAAGTTGGAATTCCCAAACACACGCCGTTCGAGCTCCTCAGAATTTCTCGAAACCCGTGGAAGCTCTCTGGTGCCCACGTTGGATCTTCAAAAAAAAACTGAAGAAGAGCAGAATCTCTCGGTTAACTTGGTGAAATCCGACTTGTGACAGATCTCAGATCGAGGATACAGTTTGAACACTCGATCCCTGTTCGACACAACTGACTTTCAAAACTCTCTCGAACACATCCTTGAGTCTCAACAGAGTTAACAATTGCTCTGACAAGCTTATAAGGATAAAAAAAAACTCGGGTGTCGATATAATATTTATTCCAAAATCCTGCGAGGTTGTAGAGAATTAATAAACTTGCGAGGTTGTACCGGAAGTATAGAAAAAATGGTCGGCAGCAACGGGACTATGATCGCGATTCGTCTTGTCCGCAGCAAGCTGCGGAAGCGGGAAGATCACCATTCAAGCGCGTCCGCGGTGCATCCTGAGGCGCCAGTGGTGCAGACGGCAACGTCACCTGTGACAATCGGTACGTCGGCGCATCCCGATGATTGTTGCACACAGATATCCACGGCGACAACCACCACCGACATTTGCGACGGACACGTTTACGCCACGGCAATAACAACCGCAACGACGCCGTCCGCTAATCCTGTCGAACCTTTCGCGTGGCAATTCCCACCCCCGTACCCACCCCCTCACATGCCGTCGGCGCAATATGCGTTGTACAACGATCAGGTTGGTATCTTCTGTTTGTTTTGATGTATTTTTCTGTATCGACATGCCGATCAATTGATTATGCTTAAATATGTGGAAAATACAAAAAGTAATAATCTTGTCTATATATATATATATAAAGTATTATTATGTTGCAATATATATTTGTGATAAGAACTATTTGAAATGAGAGAAAAAAACAATTCTTTTCTCTTCAGTTTCTTTCTTTCGCGTAATATTGCTGGCTTAGGTCGGTGGCATTAAACTCTGTAGTGTTGTATATGTCAGTCTCTCTAGAGTGGTCTCTCAGTGATTCTCAAATCTCGGTTCTCGAAAATTTAATCTTTTTTTCTGAAAAAAACGTATCAAATTATTTGTTTGTGATATATATTTGTCTTTGAAAGTAACGTCACGATGTAGCAATTGGAGATTCTTCAGATTTTTAATCTTTCAAATTTCTTAAAATATTTTAATTTATTATATAAACAGCCAAAATAAGAAAAAAAAAGACACTCAAGTTCTCCGATTCAATCTTTTCTTATCGAGTTATTAATTGCAAATGCAAAAAAAAAACATCGATATTCAATTAGATACAAACATAAACAACTGCGTCGAGTTAATTCGCGATCTATCGGTAGATCTAACCGTCGCAATGGCTAACCGACCAACCGGTAGAGCCAGTATTACCAGATTTCACTGGTTTGCCCCTGCTACATTGTCCAATGACTCGAGGACGCGCGGCATCGACCGGAGAGACACCTAAAAAAGATTTGCAAACGTAAAAAAAAAAAAAACGATAGACCACACACTTCCACTCTGGGGGCAACTTTCTCGCAAGAATATACAATAAACTGTTTTTTTTTTTTTTTTGTGTTTTGCTGATAACACACGTATCTGAAACTTATTCATAGTTTCGAACTTCTTCATTATTTGTGTCGCTGAACTTATGACTCGAAAAATTATCGAAGAAAAACAAATAAAAGAAAGATTTTTGGAAGATACACTTCAACCACTTACATTTCCACATTATTTTCTGATACGTAATAATATACGGAGGAAAAAAACAAGAAGTCTATTCCCTAATCGATCTAGTCGGGACAGTGACCTGCGGCCATCGTTGTTTCACGCTACTTCGCGGACGATCGATTATTCCCGCCGACCGAACTACGGCCTCCGATTGGCTGCATGCGCAATGCGCCTTTTACCGTACTAACCTAACTTAACGTGAAGAACGTCGATTCGATCGCGACGAATAAAACAACTGTTTTTTTTTTTTTTTTTTTTTTTATAGCACGCTCTCGATTCTTCTCGATGTTATGCAAAAACAGACAGACTAATCGAGATAATTAATTTGTCCTACCGCAATTAGGCCGCGACACAATTTTATCGATCCTGCTCGCGTGCAAAGTTGACGCTTAAAGAAAATTAGCTGGCTTTATTTAGCCACGGAAACTGACGAGAATTTACACTGGCTTTGTTGAAAAATTTATATTTCACAAACTGATTTTTAATCGCTTTTTGCAATTATTGAAAGCCAATATCTTTAATTATTTAATTGATGTGATTTTGATTTGAGAAGTTTTCGATATTTATTACTTTCTCTTCTCTCTCAAAAAAAAAACATCACACGGAAGTGCAATAAAACTTCTGAGATCATTATGTCACAAATTCTCACTAGCATTACGATAACTTGACTTTATGACCTCAGTTTAGCGATAAAATTACTCTCTGTAAGATATAATAAAGCGACAGAATGTATATAAATACACCGGCGAAATGGGCGCAGCTCTTGACGCTTCTCCGGTCTGACGCTAAATTTAGCGTCGTTGGTGGGCGTCTCACCAGTCGCCGCTCACTAGCCGGGCCCCGAATAGGGTGCAGCTGTTGAGGTGTTCGCGAAATACCGTTCTTTCTCTATCATTGATACGACGGGGCTTCGGAATGTCTCTGATCAACAATGCAGATCCATGACGTGATTTAATTGTCACAGACCAAAGCTCTGTGAATTTGGTCTCACAAGTTTTGTTATAATAAATATGATACTTTTTGTATATTCCACATAATGTATAATCAATTTGCGCGATAAAAAGTAAGTAGGAAAAATTTAAAAATGGGATCTTTTTCTGAACTTGCAGGGTACCCTTGTACACGCACTACCGTCGGATCGGCCTGGGTTCGCGAAGGGCTTCCGTAAGAATCTTGGTGGACGCTGGCGTCGACTGGTGAAGCGGAAACCAGAGACGGATACGTGTGCCATTCCTCCCGAGCTGAAGGATCAGCTAAAAACCATCTATGTCTATTGACGGGCAGAAGTTTATCTTGAAAGTCAATCCCAAAAAAAAGTCTCCTAAAGTCATTGATAGATAACCGAAAGATCAATTATTATATAACACAAAGAGGATTGATGATAAAAGGCACTAGTCAAGAGTCGAGGAAGCCGCGAAGAGGATTGGTGAGAAAGAGAAGTAATAAAGATATGAGAAGCGCTAAGTACACGAAGAGACGTATGAAAATATACGAAAAGAGAATCGATTGATACGTGAAAATGTCAGCAATAGAAAGCGTGTAAACACCGGAAAAAAGACTTGGAAAAAAAAAGGAATTCGGAGAAGAAACAGGTCGGCAGGTTTAGGAGACGATTTTACTGACAGTTGACATATCAGAAAAAGTGCCTGCGCAAGAGTGTCCGCAAAACAAGTGCCTTCTTTTATTCCATTAGCGACTTTCTCATGAGACTGATACCGCAATACATGGGTGCGACAAAACGAGTTACCTCGTAGCTTCTGCGTGTTTTTTTTTTTTTTCTCGCGAAATAATATAGTCGACAGATCGCCGCCGTCCACTTCGGCCATAGTTGATTAGTATTATTAACGCGCGTCGGTTGGGGTCTTGTACGGAAAGATATAGAGCAGCGTGCGATCAATCAAGCTGGCTGGAGTTTCAGGATTCCTAAGAATGTGTGAACTTCTATTTTCTTTAGGTTAATTCAAACACATCTGTTTAAGTAACAGGTCGAAAGTCCCGATCACGAGGAAAAATTTGCAAATCCAAGAATATTTCAAGTATTATATTTATTTAAATGAAATATATAAATTTTTTCCCTTGTAATCCACGTTCATTTGTACGCAGTGTGTACGGGGTGAATTTCTTCTTGAAAACTTAACTTGAAGTTAACGTAAAGAAAAATGGAATCCCCATCATCGTGCGCACCATATTCACTCTCCCATCTCTCACAAACGAAGTTTGATCGCTCTTCTGCTCGTTTCCGTAATTAGTGTTGGAGATCGCCGGCGCAAAACGCGTGTATATATAAGTAAACAAAAAAAAAACAAAAAAAAAAACAAAAAAAATGCAATCTAAGATGAAATCCGTGAAACGTACGATTCACTCAACGAATGGACTTTGGTGTTCCTAAATCCTCAGGGGCCTGAAGAGGGTTCTAGGGTTCGAGATCCCGTAGGGTCCTCCCGCCGTTAGAACAAAAATAATACGGCGCCTCGTAATAATAAATGTTAAACAATAATGATAATATTGATAACGTGAATATAATAGGTCAATTGTTTAGATTATTGTGAACTATTACGACGGCTCATATTGAGCTCGCATTATCGTGACGTAGTATTTCACTTGTACGCTTGCGTTTGATCTTTCAACCGTTACTTAATCGTAATGTATCCACACATGATGCGAACAAGCCAATTGTTTCTCTATGTGCAACTACAACTGGTTTTCATATATATTCGATTTACTGTGATAATATTTAATTAGTACTTTAATATTAAACATTCTTTGAGACCTTGTATGTGTACTGACGGAATAAGGATTATTGGTAAAGAAACCAATTGACGTTTTGTAACCAATATTGTTTGTGAATAAAAAGCGACTTGGTGGATTAATTACCGGTTGAAAGAAACGATACATAGCGACGCCATGAAAGGAGCTTCTTGCGTCAGCGATTAATTTATAGAAATCGACGGAAAAAAAAAGACAATTGCTCGTCCGAGAAGTTCTGCAGATTTTATTCAACTTTATAATGTAAATTGCGATTATTTCGTTGTGTGGAAATTGTACCATTTCTGATACAGATATCTATTACGTACAATTGCTGCAGAAACTTCGCGAGTGATCAAAAGTTAAGAGGATTTATATAATCCTCGCTATAGTATTGTAGAATGTAAATAGATTACAGTGGGAAACCGTCGACTTTTAACGTTTAATTTTAAGGGAAGGATTTGTAGCGATGAAAGAGGATTACGTGAGATTTATTATGCGATCTGCGACATACTTCGAGTCTTAGAAAATTACTTCAAAAAATGAAAAATTGTAGTAAAATCCAAAAAGTGTATAACATTTGTGTATTCGTTTTTTTTTTTACACGTTGACAAAATATCCAATTGTTCTACATTGTTACATTTACGAGTAATTTTATAACATAACGTAAAATGTGATCCACTTAAATCTGATCAATCGAGTTTTTTCAAGAAAAAAAACCACACAAATAATATCAGAAAAAGAAATGACTTACACAAAACTTAGCAAATACTTGAAGTTATCCAGTATTTTTTTTTGAGATATGCGTTGCAATTCGAACAGAGAAGTTGAAACATTACAAAATCATTATCGGCAATTTAAATTTGATTATGTCAAAAAAAATTTGAACCACATATCGGTCGTCAATTTTGATTATAAAAAAGTTTGGCACAAAAATTTAATTATAATTAATATAAAAAACTTGAGTATAAAATATTTAAACTATTAAGCACAATTTATTTTTATATATGTACTATTCAATGTATTCGGTCAAAATTGAATTGCAAGACCGTCTATTTATTGCTTGTGGATCATACCGCGTGAGAACGAATATATAATGTGCCTGTATACGTGTACATATATATACCAGTGAATTGCATAGCATATTGTTTTTGTTCTGTCTTTGGCTTTTTTGTAAATACAATAGGAAATATCACACAGGACGAGGATGTGCGCTTTCTCGTCATCTAGTCACTCACTCGACTAATACTTTGGTGAAATATGTAGAGTTATAACGACAAAAAAATCAATTGACGCAGCTTTCACTTTTTGTCCGAAAATGCAAATAAAGATGTCAAAGAGATAAAAAGATGTTAAAGTTAAAAAAAAAAAAAAAAATTGTGTGTGACTTATTTCACATTCCCCCACGTCAATTAATTCCAATCACACCAAGAATATCACTGATTAAAAAAAAACTTACGGGAAAATGTTTCCACATTGGAAAGAAATTGAGTATCGCTGCTTGATCATTGCTGTGTGACAAGAGCACGTGATGTTAAACACACAAGAATGTATAGTGTAACATATCTTGATAAAGATTGTAAATGTACTTCAGCTTCCTGAAGTTGATCTTTCTCCTCGTAATACAAATGGCTCTTGAACTTCATTAGGGTATGTTAAAAAAAAGCAGAAAGTTAAAAACTGTACAGTTTACAAAAACATTTTTAATAAAAATATTAACTCGGTTATTGATTATTGCTCATTCTGTAAGTATTTAGAATATGCAACGTATCATAAATATCGGGAAGAACTATGGAGAAAGCCCAAGATATTGCCCTGATTTTCGCATTGCTGTTACTGGGTAATGTTTGCCTTAACTTTTGTGAAACTGTGTACCTTTTCTGTCAAAAATTATCAAAAACTATTAAAAAATGTTCTTTCTACACAAAAGAACGATGTTAAAAAATGTCAACTATACGGTAATATCTCGATTTTCATGAATAGCCCAATTTGTTATATTCAAGAGAAGCTTAGACATTCGGCGTGCTCTTGTCTCCATCCAAATTTCGCAGATTCCTCTGGCATCTTCTCAAATGTTCCTTTCCAAGACCAAGTTCCTCTTCTTACATCTGCATAGTGTCGGGAAATGTAATTAGAATACATATATGCCCACATATACGTCACTTGAAATAAATCGACAGCATTTTCACACGTATTGTGCATAGCTTGAATCATGTAATGTCCTTTCTTTCCTGAGACTGCAAATCTATCTTCTGCTATTTCAAACTGTTCCTCATGATTGTACGACGCAAGCAAAGCCGTGCTCAGACCAAGAGCGCGGTATAGCCATCCCGGTATATAAGTATAGATGTATCAGTTCAATATCGCTACTTTCATAAAAAAAAAAAAAAAACAAATGTAACCATTCAAAAAATTTAAAATATAGTTGAAAAAGAAATGACTTACGTAACACGCTAGTAGATATGTGTTGCAATTCGAACAGAGAAGTTGAAACATTTATAAAATCATTATGGACAATTTAAATTTGATATATCACTTCGAAACGCATACAAGTCGTCATTTTGGATAATAATAATTTGACACAGAAATTAACTATAATGATGTGTATAAAAATCAAGAACAAAATTCAAAATATTAACCAAAATTTATTTTATAAATATATTCAATCGATATTGAATGCGAAAAAAGGTCTTAAAGAGTTAAAAAAAATTGTGACTTATTTCACATTCCCACATCAATTATAATTCCAATCGCACCAAGAATATCACTGATTAAAAAAAAAAAAAAAAACATACACATACAGAACAAGAGCACGTGATGTCAAGCATACAAGAATGTACAGTGACGAAAGATAAATCACACCACGTGAAGAAAAAAGAGATCGGTTACTTTTCTTTCTACTTCGTCTTCGCAATGACTGTTGTCAATCTCTGACAACCGGTCTGAAACAACGCGTAAAAAAAGAAAACGTCTTCGCTCTCAACGCAATACAATTTATTTCTCGTGTATTTACGTTGATTTCTCTGAGTTTATCGGCTTGTGCGATGTAATTTATCCTAACCTTGAAGTTGAATCAAAGTGTCAAACCAAAGTGTAATCATACACATTCTAAACTTAATTATATGATAACAAAATAAATAATATAACAAATATCATAACAAATTGAAATAAATAATATAATTAGTAAATGCGTGAAGCAACAAGAAGATATTGCTAAGAAAATTAATTAAAACAAGTAAGTATATCAGCTTAGTGGAAGTGTTTTTTAAATTCTACATGTACGTCACATTTTGTAAAAAGTAGATTATAAATCATCGAGTAGTTTATTTATACATACAACATACAATACTATTGCTTATAAGAGTGTAGAATATGATATATAAAAAGAGACAATGTTATATAAACGGGATTTAAGTATATTGAGATATATTTTCTCAATTTTCTAAATAGACATGAGCTGTGGCAAGTCGTTGAGCAAGCTTGTAGAGAATTCAATCAGAACGAAGCTGGAAGCCGCTCTGAAACCCGTACACTACGACGTTATTAATGAATCTTACATGCATAATGTTCCTCAAGGTTCCGAGACACACTTCAAGGTAATAGTAGTGTCTGAAAAATTTGACAATCAGCCACCGATCAAGGTGAGTACTACGGATCGTGATATTTTTTTAATTCACAAATAACATGGAAAGAATATGTACACTGAGAGATTATGTATAACTTTAGCGGCACCGTATGATAAATGAATTGTTGCAAGCTGAACTGGAAAGAGGTGTACACGCCCTGTCCATAGTAGTAAGTGATTAAAAAATTAGTTTCTTCCTTTTTTTCTCTTAGTAAAAAACTGGCAGAATAATATATGTGTAATATAAGATTTACATATAAAAAACCCTCACAGGTAATTTTTATATAATACGGTACACTTGAACAACGTGATTCCGATTCTGTTTACAAATTAGTAGTAAAATGGAATCTATCCCTTTTTTTTTTTTTCAATATGCGCACTTATGCAAGCCTCTGTATAACACAATTTATATAACGCGGCATTTCTGTAGAATGGAAAATCCGCATTATACGAGAGTTACCTGTACAGAATTACGAATATTTTCATCATATGTACCATCCCTTCGACACGTTGTAGTTTGTTTACATTATTCTTCGCCATTTTTTAAGGCAAAAACACCTGAACAATGGGAAACAAGCAACAAAACAATAACGCCAAGTCCTGCATGTAGAGGTGGTTTTGGAAAATAATCATCTCTCACTTTCTATACATATATTGACGATATTTAAATAATGTAAAATACAAAAATTAGTAAGTAAAAAATCATTACAACAATGTAAGTTTACTGTAATTTTATATGTATATTTGTTGTTTTCTTTAGAATAATCATGAATAGTAATAAGTATGAAGTATATATATGAAATGTTTTTCATATATATGTAATTTGAAATCAGATATACAATTAAATAAAATTCTTTCATACTGAAAAAAAAAAAAACAAAAACAAAAAGTTTTACGTTTAACATATCTTAATATAGATTATAAATGTAAGTTAAAGATTTAAAACACAGATTTAGTGCAAAAGAGCTGTATAATTTGCAACAAAAACGATACAAAACATAAAAGTTGCACTAATGTCACAATACGAATGTATCCAATCTTAGTTTGCCTTCGTTCTCGGTTAGATAAAGCATATCCGCCATCGATTGCTCGGCTATAGCCTCCTCCGCTTTTTCGTGCATCTGCAATTGCGCACAGATAAAATTGATCGCACCATTTGAATTTAAAAACTTGATCGCAAAAAAATCTATATATTTGTTGTAATAACTTATGTTGCAATAACATTAAAAATTAGTGATTGAGGTGAGAAATAATTAAAAAATAATACGTGTAAGAATTATTATGTACAATATAACGTAAATAGGGTGTAGAATTGATGACAGAGAAATGCGACTTACTCCTCTGAATGTACTATCAGTTGGTGGATATTTAAAATTCGGTCCAAAATTCACGGACACCGTTGCGCTTTTGTAAATAGAGATTGCAGGATAATAAGCACCTTTGTTAATTTCTACAAAAGCGTTACCTTGATTGACTCCGTTTTTGTAATATACTATTTTGCTGCCTTCTATAGGTCGTAAAGCTTTGAGAGCTTCCTGAAGTTGATCTTTCTCTTCGTAATACAAATGACTCTTGAATTTCACCAAAGGCTGTGGTAGAAAGCAGAAAGTTAAAAAAACATATAGATTATTTTAATAAAAATAATAAACTTGGTTATTGATTATTGCTTACTCTGTCTTTGTAAGTATTCGGAATGTGCGATGCATCATAAGTATCAGGAAGAACTATGAGAAAGCCCAAAGTATCGCCCTCGCCGTAACCATTACTGTAATGTTTGCCTCGACTTTCGTGAAACCGTGTACCTTTTCTGTCAAAAAATTGTCAAAAACTTTGTTAAAATATTTTCTTTTTAAAAAAAATGATGCAATACACAAATTTAAGATAATACCTCGATCTCCATGAATAGCCAAATTTGTCATATCCAAGGGGAGCTTGCAAATTCGCGTACTCTTGTCCCCATCCAAGTCTCGTCGCAGATCCCTCTGGCATTTCCTCGATTGTCGCCTCCCAATACCAAGTTCCCCTGCTTACATCTGCATAGTTTTGGTAAATGTAATTAAAATACACATACATCACGTGAGATAAATCGATAGCATTCTCACGTACTGTGCGTAGCTCGGATCATGCAATATCCTTTCTCTCCTGTGACCGCCAATCTGTCCTCTGCTACTTTAAGCTGCTGCGCACGATCGTGCGACGCAAGCAAAACCGTGCTCGGACTAAGAGCGCGATATAGCCATCCTGGTATAGGTTTACCGGCCCAATCGCTACTTTCATCGAACTCCTGAACGCGCAAATTTAAACATTCAGGAAAGTTAAAAAACATAGTTGACATGAAAAAAATAACACATACTTGTCGGAAAGGTGCATGAGGATCCGGCTCTGCCAAAATATATCTGTAACCGTCTTTGTTGTACGGATGTTCGAGAGGATAACCATGAGCGGGAAGTTTGGGAATGGTCATATCCGATCCTCTGCCTTTCTTCCCGGAACCCGTGCCCGCAGTTTCTCCTGGAAGCTTCCGCTTCGCATTGCGACCTCGTAATCCTCCGCTAAGTGGCACTGAACGTTCCATTACAATATTTTTTTTAAAAAATGTTTTATTCGTTTTTCCGATATATTTCGCGAACAATATGTCACTTCTGATCTTCTTTTCCTACTTTAATATCACCGCTTCTTCTCTTCGATACATTCAATTTCAAAAGAAAAAAATTTACAAATTTTTGAAACGAATAAATATTTCTTGTTTACAGAATTTATAATATATGTGTATAATTACCGATATCAAAGACACATTGTGCGGCTATAGCAAAGTCTTAAAGTAAAATACACATTCACGAGTCGATTTCTCTGTTATGATTCAGACTTTTGAGTACTTTTGTGATAGCAAGTTGACGATTACATTCACGATAAGATAAGAATTGACAAATCTATATGCATGTAGATTAACAAAATTTATTTGCTGCTAACTATGTTTGCCAAACTTTATGAACCGTGTAAAAAAAAATCTAATTAAAAGTTTAATCAATTAATCAAAATATATTCGTTTAATTTAGCTTTTAAAAAGAAATTGAAATATACGAAAGACCATTGATAAATACCCGAAACAACACGATAGTAATATCACGTTGCTGTTATCGTCGACAAGTTTCATCTTTAAAGTTTCAATTGTTGCACGGTCAAAATTCACGAGATAAGCTTCGAATATTTGCAAAGTAAGATATATGAGACGCTCGTTGTGTATAAACAATAATAAGAATTAGGTCAAATCGAGGTCAGAAACAAGTGGATACGTTTATTAGATAAAAGTGATCACATGCGCGCAGAAATATCAAAATTGCGAAACGTTTCTTTTACATGAAACGTTCGTCAGTCGCGATCGATTTACGTATAAAAAACATGTTCGAATTTTTGCTGTATTCAACAGATATGCAATTTTTTGTTTTTATTTATTTCCGAATCTGAAAAATGGCTTGAGTGAAAAAAATTTTCGAGCAAAACAATGAAAGTCATCGATGCTGTAAATAACTATATTTTGACGAGTTGGTACACAATCAACACATGTGATAATGAATCAACATTTGTTCTTCTGAAAGATGAAACGTGTCATCGGCAACAATGTGATGCTACTATCATTATCTATACGTCGTTTCGAATACTTATTAATTGCTCCACATTATAGTCAACTTAATGTTACAAAAAATCTCAGAATTTATGATCATTGAAAGAAACACATACCGACATGTTGCAGACCCATCTCTGTCGCTCGTAGGTGACCATTCTTAATCATCGCTTCGTAATTAGGTTTGATTGTTGTGAGTTCAAGATTTGACAAGCCGAAAAGCTGACCTTCTGACGTACTCTCATCCACTGTGAACAATGCCCCAACATCTTTAAGCAGTGCTCTTTGTATCTGTAACAGATAAATTATTCATAAAAAAAAAACTTTTAAATTGATTCAAGTTTTAAAATCCTCATTGCGGTCGTAGTGAATTGTAATATCTGTAGCGTGAATATCAATTAGAACAGCTTTTTTTTTTACATACTGTAGCATGCCAGGATTGAGTGACTCTACGAGGCATCGTGGTCATGCTCTCCCAATGACATTCGATAAACGGTATAATATCCTTGTCCTTGTGAAAAAGAGTCTTCTGTTCATTTTCTTTTTGGCACATTTGTAATAAGTTTGCTATTGCTGTTACACACATCTGTGGAAATGCTGGAAGACCAAAGGAAGAGATCCATAATTAATCGTACTTAACAATTTCTAAATGTTTCTTCTGCATCATATAGATTGATTAATAATGTGCAACTAAGCATACTCACTAATATGTTACATATTGCAATGTACTCACGTGCCTGATTCTTTTTGAAATTTTCCAAACCAGTGGGCGAGCAATTTTTACACATGAATACATAGTTCATCATAAAAGGTACAAGTTTGCCCAATTGATATCCGATACAAGACTCGTGAAACCATCGTGAACAACTGGCACAAAGTAACTCCACAATATTCAGATTCCTTTCTTTTCCACTGCAAAGGAATTGAGATTAAAATATAAATGTTGTGCAATGATATTGTGTGTAATGACATTGTGATAAAAAGTAAATCACCAGTAACAATTTCCACTTTCATTGTTTGTGTTCTGTCCATTGGATTTTTCCGCCGATTCGTCCTTAGACTTTTGTTTATTCTTATCATCGAGTTTTATTTTTGTCTTATCCTCCGCAACTTCGGTTTGCTCTGGTTTATCTGTTGAACTACAATAATTTCCTTTTATTAGAAACTTTATGTAAATGCAAGTAAACTAGTTTCTCAAGTTGTTTGTCAACAATTAAACCGGAACGATAAAAACATAACCTCACCTTGTAATGTTATATTAAAAATGTATAAGCAAAACGAAAAAAACTGGTTATGGAATACGTACATAAAAGAATGTTAAACGTTACTGAGCGCTCCTTACCTTTCGCTTTTTTCTTCTGCCATTATTTACTACTTATTTTACAACAATCTTTGTAAAGCGTGTATTTAGAACTAAAGACTACAAATGACTACAAAGGATTAACAGCGTATCCGTCGCCTAAGTGGTAGAAAAGTGAAACATAAAAGTAAAACAGCGATAGTACAGAGAATGAAGATGAAGAAACAAAAACAGATGGAGTAAGTCATGTGTCATTGTGCCATTTGCGCTAGATTTCTTTTTTTACCACAATATACATTTACAAAATTATAACACAAAACTAAAGATAAAAAACAGTTCTATTTTATAAAATAAAACATTATTACAATATTTAGATAATTAATTATAATGTAATCTACATATGATTCACTTTTTATTTTCTGAATTAAATTTAATGAAAAAAAAAAAAAAAAAAAAACCATTGCAACAATATGTGCGAATCGTAAAACTTATTAGCGGCTTTTTCTTGTTATACGGAGAGATTGATTAAAAGATTTGCAAACAAAAATAAAAACTTCTTTCATAAGAGTTACAAGAAATTTTTTTCTTTATAGATAATAAAATTTATTAACATTTATGGTTTTAATAACATTTTTGGAAATTATTATACGTGCATTTTTTTTTACGTATGCATAGGCAGAGGGAAAAATTGAGTGATGAACTTTATCATTTATTTTTGGACGGTATCTCTCTCTCTCTCTCTTTTTCTCTCTGTTTAATACTCTTGCACAATATATTAACAATTATTTTCAATTTGATAAGAAAAATGTATACATATAGAAAGTATAGATATAATAATAATAGACGTTCTGGAACATATTGCCCAGAATCAAAATCGATTGCAACAAAAAATATATATTTATTTACTTTTATTTATATATATATTTTATAGAATTTATATATAGAATAATCTGTAATGTCTCTGTGAGTGTGTGCGTGGAGAGAATAGGTCAGTATTGATAATTCTTTTCCTTTATAGTTTAGTTCGCGTAAAATATATATATATATATGTACAACGTATATCTCTTACGTTGAAAATTTGTAATCAAAGTATCTATATGTACAATTTCTTTTCTCTAAGAAGTTCGGAAATGATAAATATCATTGATTTAAAGAGAGGTTTTCTTGCAATTATATATATATATGTATATATATATATATATATATGTATGTATGTATGTATTCGTTCAGTAGAAGAATTACACGTTTACCGACCTTGCAACAGCATATGAATTAAAAGGAATTGAAGTATCTTATAATAAGTATCTTATCTCTTAAGGTGATTGAAAGTATGTTATTCGTTTTCAAAACTTATACAACATTCGATAAACGTGTTAAAAATTTTTTCAATTTTCTATTCCTCTTAATTCATCCGTTTTTGCAATAGGAGTACTCCACATAATATCTAAAAAAAATGTACAACAATCAAGATATTTTTCCGCGCGGAAGAGATACATCTTCGTATCATACACTCGATCAGTTTCTGAGAAATAATTATTATATATCCACAGGAATAAACATAACATTTAAAATAAAACGCTCATATGTGTGAAACATTTCGCTCTTCGGACTTGCACGCTTACTCTCACCGTAACAACTTTTCAACATAAAAAACTATATAACGCCACGCCTTATAGAAATACTTTGCTCTAAGAATACAACTGTTTTTCTTTTTCTATATAACGAAAACGTGCGCGCATCATTAACACTCCAATTACGCAACCGCTATAGCAGGATCATTTAATTCTTAAAAACTTGCTTTTTGTCACATTGAAAATAAAAAAAAAAAAAAAAAAAAAAGGAAGAGAAACATAGACTATCGTTTCTATTAAAATTTATCAAAAAATTTTGATTCTGCTATATTCCGCTGGTTGAGAATTAATTCTGACGCACATGTACTAGTGCTCGAATCGTGTAGCTATACACAGAAAATATGACGAACTAAAATATTCTACAAATCACAAAACTATATATAAATTTTGCAATTTATATTAAAATTAATATAATTATTTTTAAAATTAACACAAACAACAAATTGTCAAGTAATTAAAAGAAACAAGTTTTTTTTGTATATAAAAGCGCATATTTCTTTACAATACAGATCAATTATTTTGTCCAACGTGTGTTAAGTTCTGTGTTAAAGAATTGCAAACAAAAATTAAAATGATCGAGAAAACATACCAATTCGAGCACCACGTGCACGCATATACACACATGTACATACACATCGCAACTATATTAAAAGTGTTCTGTCATTATCACTACACTTCAAGCAACCTTACAAGAAGATGGAATGTGTTGCGTCGATTTTATGGTACACAGATAACATGAACATTATACTTTGTTAGCAATTATATTTACAAGACTTACATAAATCACACCTAGTAAAAAAAAAAAAAAAAAAAAAAAAGAAAGAGACACGATCTTGCCTATTGCAATATATACGCTTTCATTTTACACTCTCTGTAAAATCGATACTTTCGATCTCCACGTATCACGCCGTTCTTATAATTGTTCCAATATATAGTTTGAGATCCCGAAACCAGTTCACAATTCCTGGTTTGAGCGATCTACACACAAATTTGAATAAGAATCTGTGATCGGGAAGATTCTTATTAAGTCTCCGCGAAGATTTAGGCCATCAAAGATCAAAAATCACTATTGCGATTCGTTTACTATAGTGTGTAAAAAAACAAAAATCGTAAAAGATAAAATATGAATTGATTTTTAATCTCGCTTCTCTCGAGACTCGAATAATCTGAAATCTTTTTTCGAAAGAATTATTACGTAAAAAAAAACTTGAATCGATTATTGCGTATATTAAACAAAAACAAATTTCTCTGTGAATAAATGCTTAATAAATAACGTGCGGTTTTATAAGCAATCCGCAATTGTTACGTAAAAGTGGATTAATTTTCATCGTGTCTTTGTCCTTTCGCAGTTTTCGCGACCTGCTGCGTGTGAAGCACAGATAATAGATCTGAAGAAATCTCTCTAAATATAGAAATTAATTCTCTAGCACTCGGACTTGTCTTCCTCGACCAGCTGCTGCGTGTCCTTCCCCGAATCGATAGACGACGGATCGAGTTCTCTCCTCTTTAGATGTAACTGCGGTGGTTCTTTGTGCTGTATACTGGAAGGTTTCATCTCCGCCGGCACTTCGTACATACTGCTCGCGCCGGTACCGTTTGTGGTACCGCTCTCTAAATTCACCGCGTCGTACATCGGATTACTGAAGTCTCTATTCTTATTGGTAACATCGTTCAAATTGTATTCCACATCAAGAGGCTCCTGTAAGCACAAATATTAAAAGAATGTATAATTTCCGTACAACTTTGCTCTTTTTATTCTGTTTATTTCTTTTTTGTGAACGAGTTTAATGTTTAACTCTGCTAAACGCACTTCACATACGTACCATTCTTTCGTGAGCGGCCGTACCAAATTCCACATTACTGCCCTGGCGGAAGGAAACGCTTTGTGCACCCGTGAGGCTGCTAAGACCAGGCTTGCCGCTGTAAATAATAATCAAACGTAAAAACAAAAAAAAAAAACATTTTTAAAATATTTTATTTTATATCACACGTAAAAAAGTATGCTTACAATGGTCGTTTCTTGAGAACCATGAAAATTGCGGCGGCACAGAACAATACTAGCAGACAAACAACAACAGGAACAACTATAGCGGCGGTAGATCCGCCCGCTCTGGCGGCGACAGCTGCTACTTCGCAATGTTCACCGTGGAATTCCTCGCGGCAGTTGCACATAAGCTTGTCGTCCACCTCTTGGCATCGTCCGCCGTTTTCACAAGGACATATTCTAGGAGCCGGCAAGGGTCTCTCGTTGGTAGCGTCGCAATGCCTCTGACTGTCGTCTCTAAACAAACGTGGAGATGCGATGTTGTCCGAACATAGACAACGACTGCCTCTAGGAATTGTCACACACAAATGAGAACACTGTTCATTTTCGCAAGGATTTCTCAGACTGGTGTTGTATCTCAGCGGATGATAGATTTTAACGGCCGAAGCACTAGGAATATTTTTCACCATAACTTCCGGAACTCCTCTGCCAAATTTGTCTTGTCGAAGGAGTTCACCGTCTAGCCTGGTGGTCCAGTAGATATTATTTTCAAAAACATCCAGTCCCAACGGTCCTCCGATACGTTTGCCTTTCAATACCACTCTTCTGTTCATACCGTTCAAGCTGATCGCTTCGATGGTCATCAGTTTGATATCGGACCAATAAAGGGTGTGGTCCATAGCATAGTCGATAGTAAGTGCCGATGGACTGCCGAGTCGATCCGAGACAAGCGAGCGACGTCTATCTCCATCCATCCAGGCTATTTCGATCATCGGAGTAGACATGTCAGCCCACACAAGCTCCCCTCGTTCGGGATCCACGACTATCGATGTCAAATGACCGAGATTTGTCGTAACCAGACTACGTCGATATCTGCCGTCCGATTTGGCCACCATAACTCGACCTTCATAATTTTCCGGCGCAAAACTGACCTCAGTCCAGTACAGATTGTCGGAAATCCAGTCCACCGCCAAACTCGTCGGTCTGCTTTCAACTGTAAATCAGAAAGAATTGTTTAGACCGAGTTTTTCATTAATTAATCAACCAATCTCACAACCAATTTCACAACAAAAAACTGAATATTATATTTTATTTACTTTTCATATTGAGATCTTGCGCGTATCCGATCTTCGCCTGACCCTCTTTGGCGTTCAACATGTAGGATCGTCTGATAGCTCTCTTATACGCGTCAATCCAGAAAACGTATTCCGTTCTCGGATCAAAATCGATGGTAAAAACTCTATCTTGATTGTCTATCAGATCCATCTCTTCTCTGGTGTGCAGATCGTAGGCTCTGAGTTCTTCTCCATATGAGAACAGCACAACAACATCGTCTTCTTCGGTACGGCACACGCCACTCAGACTGTCCGACAATTTGAAACCTTGTCGGCAGGAACAGGCATATGTGCCGTTCAGATTGGTGCAGATGTGAGAGCACTGATGTTGACCGGTCTGGCATTCGTCGATATCCACGCAATGCTTTCTGTTATCCATCGAAATGATGTAACCAGAATAGCAAGCGCAGATATAACCACCGTCAGTAATGTTGTGACATTTGTGCTCGCAACCGCCACGATCGTTCGTCGCGCAATGATGGCTATGATCTGAAAATCGCAACACAAAATCGCTCAAATGATGGATTTCATCTGTCTGATTATATACGAGAAAAAGAGAAACGCTTGCGGAATAAAAAAACTTACGACATCCCAATTCGTCCGATAAATCGCCGCAATCGTCCGCGAGATCGCACAGTCTCAGACGATCTATGCACTTCTTATTCGCGCAGGTGTATTCCGAAGTCGGGTCGCAAGGTCGAGTCTGTTTGACGCACATGGTGATGTTGTTCTCGTCCGAACCGTCGCCGCAATTGTCAATTCCGTCGCAAACCTGATACTTGGCGATGCATTTATGATTGGCGCATTGGAACCGTTTCTGCGTGTCGCACTCGAAGTTTGCTAAACAACACACACGTGCGCGTCAATTTTCCGTTCCTTTGTGTTTTGCAAAAAAAAAAAAAAAAAAAGAATTAGCACAAAGTTTGCGACAACTCACCACACGTGGTTGGGCTTTCGTCAGAATTGTCGCCGCAATCGTCGGTGCCGTCGCACATGTCGGTTAAAGCGACGCAAAGATTGTTGTTACATTGGAATCGCGACTGCGGACAATATCGTCCCCCGGGATATCTCGGTGGGCAATCAATCTCGTCGCTCATGTCTCGGCAATCTCGCGCTCCGTCGCAACGAAGATACGACGCGATGCAATGGCCGCTGTTACATTGGAAACTCTCGCTCTGTCAACAAGTAAACGGAATTATAAAAACAAAATTAAATGCGCTATATATATATATATATATAAAATAAAATTATATGTTTCGAGCGAAACAAAAAAAAATTGAGAAAACACAAATTGTAAAATTTCAAAGAAACATACCTTGCACACCCACCGATGGCACGCCTCCTCGTCGCTATTGTCGCCGCAGTCGTCCTCACTGTCGCATCTCCATCTTGACGCGATGCATTTGCCGTTCTTACATTTGAACTCGCTCTCGGAGCATTCGCGATACTTGTCTTTGCACATCGCGTCGGCCTCGTCGCTGCCGTCCCCGCAATCGTCGGCGAAGTCGCATAGCCACTGTTTCGGCACACATCGATTGTTAGCGCACTTGAAGTCTATTTTGGGATCGCACTTGGGACAATTCTCCGGACGCTCGTCGGAACCGTCACGGCAGTCGTCTTTGCCGTCGCAGAACAACCACTTTGGAATGCAACGATAGTTGGCGTGTCCGGGACACCGTTGCCATCCGGTGGTGCAATTTCTCTGCCGACACATGTACGCCGGCTCGTCGCTGTCGTCTCCGCAATCGTTGTCGGAATCGCACATCCATAGCTTGGGAATACACTTGCCGTTTTTACAACTGAACTCGGTGCTCGGATCGCAGGGACGGTTATCTTACGAAGAAAACACAAGGATTATATTATTAAGAAATAGAAATTAAATTACGGGAACACGCGATATGTGCGCGAATACTCACTGCAAATAGCAGGATCTTCGTCACTCCCGTCTTTGCAGTCGGCGTCTCCGTCGCATTTCCAGGAATCGTGTATGCAGCGACCGTTGGATTTACATTTGAATTCGAGCTCTCCGCACTCGAGTGAGCACTTAGCTTCATCGCTTCGATCGCCACAGTCATCGGATCCATCGCAAATGGTCACGCTCGGTGTGCAGTTTCCGTTCGCGCATTGGAACACGCTCGGCCGACAAGTTCTCGGAGGGCAGCTCGTCGATTCGTCGGATCCATCTTTGCAGTCCTTTTCTCCGTCGCATCTGCGATACAAGTTTTTTTTTTTGTTTTTTTTTCTCGTGATTATTTTTCCGTCTCAATCAGTTTAGGCGGACAATTATATCAATAATATTTTAAGTCATTAAAATGATCTTACCTCCAGTACCAAGGTATGCACTTCTCGTCGGGTGGTCCGCAACGATGCTGGCCCGCGGTGCAATTCGCAACGCACGTCTTGCCGTCTTTACCCAAAATAAATTGATTCGGGCATTGACACTTGTAAGAAGTCACTCCGGGCTGACCGTATCCTTCGAGCAGGTACGAACTGGCGGGTGGCGCGATGAGACAGAGATGCGAGCAGCCACTGTTGTGTTCCGCGCAAGGATTGTTATAGGGTAATTGCCGCAATGGGTGATAAGCGTGAATGTCGTAAGGTCGATGAGTGGTGTTGCGCAACACTTTACGATCTTCGCCCGAGAATTTCTTTGCTCTACTGATTGCCTTCAAATTCCAATCGGTCCAGTAAATATAATCGTCAAACACGGTGATCGCAAACACATGCGGCACCGAAGTGCCGGACAGAACAATTCGCCGATTGCGACCTTCGAAATCGGCGAAAGCGATGTAATCCAGATGGGCGTCCGCCCAGAAGATGCGATCGGTGAAGTAATCGATTGTCAGAGCGTTTGGCCAAGCGATGTCGTCCTCCCAGGTCAGAATTCGAGTAAAGTTGCTGCCGTCCATACCCATTTTACCTATGTAAGCCTGGAATTAAAATAAAAAAATTATATTTAAATATATAAATATAAATTGTATGTCAATATAATAAACTTTCAGAATGAAGAAACAATCAAAATGCGCTTGGAGTTAAAATCAACAACTGAACTCCACCTGAAGATGCCAAGATGTAAAGTACAGGTATCCGATGCCAGGATGAACCGCAATCGCGCGTGGATCTGCTATTCCGACGTACAGAGTCTTTCTATTGGTGCCATTGAGCTCGGCAACGTCCAGGTGTTTCGCGTGACGATCCAACCAATATAACTTTCGACCGACCCAATCGATGGCAATTCCTTCCAAGCCCAAACTGTCGTGACGAATTATAGCTTCTCTATCACCGCCGTTTACTGGTGCTCTGGAAAAAAGAATAGTACATCATTTTAAACGCGCGTGCAAATACATCAATAAATTATAATTATACTTTATGCTATAGTATTAAACAAACAAAAAACAAACATATAATGTGAGCGTACCTGTATATTGTTTTTGCTGTGACATCGCAGAAGTACAACATTTCCTGATTGTAATCCGCGTCTAGTGCAACGACGTTGATCAGATCCTGATGCATCAGGCTGTAATTGGACGCGTCGATCGACATGTTTCTGACATAATATTTGTTTGTAAATATGATCCACGGTTGAATATTGTCCCGGCGCTTGCACGTGTGCTCGTCGGCTTCTCTCTCGTAATAACGTTCGTTGCATTTGCAATAATATCCGCCGGGTGTGTTCTCGCACTGCTGACTGCACAACTGTGGCATCTCGATACATTCGTCTATGTCGTCGCAGGCCTTGCCATCGGCCATTAACTTGAAACCGGGATTACACACGCAATAGTAGCTGAGAGGCGTGTCAACGCATTTGTGTCCGCACTGGTTCATTTCGATACGAGCGCACTCGTCTACGAAACAATGCGGCGACTCGTCGCTCTCATCCGCGCAATCCGCTTCTTTGTTGCAAACCAAGCGAGAGTCGATGCAGTTACCACTCCCACACATAAAGTCGCTCGGATTCGGACATGTAGTGTTTTTCTCTTTGGACGCTAAACAAGTAATATTTTTGTCAAGTGAAATGTTTGACATAATCGTATAAAAACACATCATATAAGATAAGTGAGAAAGAAAAAAAAAACTAATTTAGTTAAAAAAAAACTGAGATTTATATCGTATTGTTCGCAATTATATTATTATACTTACGACATCCTACTTCGTCCGAATGATCGCCACAGTCGTCCTGGCCGTCGCAACGGAATTGATGGCGAATACACTTGAAGTTTTGACAAGCGAATTCTTGCTTGTTGCAATTTCTGTATTGGGAATTGCAGAATTTGCCCTCGTCGCTACCGTCGCCGCAATCGTTATCGTGATCGCACAACCAGTTGCGGTTCAAACATCGTCCGTTGTCGCACGTGAACTGATTCTCAGCGCAAGGAGTTGGCGGCGGGCAGTGATGCAAAGTTACATTTTCGTCAGCACCGTCGACGCAGTCCGGATCTCCGTCGCACAACCATTTCTTCGGAATGCATTGAGCGCGATTCCACATTTTGTTCGCGGTGCAGGTGAACTCCGTTTCTTCGTCGCACTTTCTGTCGTTGCATTGATGACGATCGTCCTCGTCGGAATTATCTAGACAATCGTTGTCGCCGTCGCAGATGTAAATTCTGGGTATGCAGTTGCCGTTGTCGCATGTGAACAAGTCACCGAAACATGTTCTACCCTCGGATTGACAGTAACCAGGTGGTTCGTCGCTTCCGTCTAAACAATCGTCGTCGCCGTCGCAATACCAAGTAGCCGGAATGCATCTGTTGTTTGGACATCGGAAACTATTTTGTGGACAGGTTCTTTGAGCGCAGTGAATCGGATTCTCATCGCTGTTGTCGCCGCAATCATTGTCGCCGTCACAAAGCCAGTACGGCTCCACGCAGATATTCGTCTTTTCGCATTTGAGATGATTCGCCGGGCATGTGGTATTACGTGGACAGCGTTCATGCGTCTCGTCTGAGGTAACGTTGTCCTTGCAGTCATTGATACCGTTGCACACCTGGACTTGCGGGATGCAGCGAGAATTGGCACAGGTGAACTCACCCGGTGCACACGGTGGATAGATGCAACCTTCCTCGTCGCTACCGTCCCGACAATCGTTTTCGTGATCACACTTCCATGTCTTGAAGATACATCTGCCGTTGTTGCAACGGAATTCGTTCGGACTGCACGAATGATGAGAGCAATAACTAGTGTCTTCGTCGGTACCATCGCCGCAATCATCGTCACCGTCGCATGCCCACATTCTGGAGATACATCTGCCGTTTCTGCAAGCGAACTTGTTGGGATCGCAAGTGACATTCTTTGGCACGCACATTTTGTCTTCATTCACTAGCCTGCTGTTGTCATCGCACTTACACTCGACGGTAAAGTTGTGACTTGGATGACAGGACTGGTCGCAACCACCGTTCTTTATATTGCAGGGATTAACGCTGCACTCTTGCCTGGCCGCGGAGAAAACGTGAAGATCCCGGGGAGAATCTTCTAATCGCTTCACCAGTTCGATTTTGTCAGCTCCGGTGTGCTTCTCTGCACGGTAAACTCCACGTAGCTGTAGATCTGTCCAATAAATATGTTTTCTGAAGACAGTGATGGCGAAGGGATAGATAGTAGCGCTAACCAGAACTTCTCGGTTCTGTCCTTCGAGATTAGATCGTTCGATCTTCTCGCGTACAGCATCAGTCCAGTACAACATTCGATCTTCATAGTCGATCGCTAGACCACTAGGTTGTGAAAGATCTGTGTCAATAATAGTACGTTTGAATGATCCGGCCATAGTGGCTTTAAATATCTTTCCGGATGTTCCAAAACGACCCCAATCCGTAAAGTAGAGCGAGCCGTTACAAGGATCGACGACGATAGCGCGTGGACGATCCACGCGCGCAATCATCACAAGATTGGATCCGTCAAGATCCATCGCGTAAATGCTGTTGTTAGAGGAGTCCGTCCAATACACTTTCTTTTGAGTCCAATCGTAAGAAATACCTTCGGGATTAATTCCTTTATTGATCAACGTGTGCACGTCGGAAGAGGATGGCCGGTCCGATGGTGTCCATGCAATCTTCGCCCAAGGACGAATCTGAGTAAACAGAAGCTTCTTGTCCTGATAGTCAAAGTCCACCCCAACTACATTCGTTAAGTTTCCGACGGGCGCGAAGGGCATGTTGGTGTTGTGCGGGTCCAGATTAATGGCGCGAATCTCAGTTCGCGTAGCGAATACTAAATATTCTTCCACGTTTTCACATGTGTGATTATCGGGAGAGAGTTTGCCTATCGCGCAATCGCACGTAAATGATCTCGGATTATCTTTCGGGAAAGCAAAGCACAACTGAGAACATCCGCCATTTGGTACCTGGAAATAATAAAAATAAGAATTATTTATGTTAGTTATTTTTTTGAAAATATTTCTATTTTCTTAAATGACGGAATTGATCGCATCTTAATCCGTATTTTGATAATACCAGCGAACATGGATTTCCGGGATCTGGTGGTTGGCTGCTCTGATCGAAGATGACGATATCTCTGAGTTTTTGCAAATTCGTTCTGACAGGGATGGGAAGGCTGATATTGCCTTCCATTTTGCTCGCTTTGAAGACCGTGGCCAAATTTCGATCCACCCAATAGACTTCTTCACCAAAAATGGCAATGCCCATCGGATTTGGCAGATTTCTGCGGATGATGGTCTGGTTTCCACCGGAGTAAGTCACTCTTTGAATGACATCCAATTTTGAATCCACCCAATAAATATTGTGCGTTGTAAGATCGATTGTTAGGTCACGCGGTGTGCTGATACCCGATGTTACAATAGGAACCCAATTGCTACCGTCGAGGAAAGCCTTGCCTATTCGAGGATACTGTCCGTAATCGATCCAATACAAGTATCGTTTTATAGGATTCACGGCTAGTTCTCGAGGAGCATCTGTTGTCGTCTTTACGAGCACTTTACGATTGGAACCGTCCAACCGACAGACTTCTACATAGTTGTCGTGAGGAAAAACATTGGCGAAGTATAAGTTTCCTGCGACCCAATCTACGGCTAGACCGCGAATTCCGTTGGAACCAATTCCCTGTTTAATTATCTGTTGTAACTCCGTGCCATTGGGTCGTATTCTGGAATATAATAACACAAATTTTGAGAGAGATTTATTAAGTATTTTGTATTAATTTATGTGATTGATTGTCTCAAATCTTTGTATATAAAATTGTTGAGATAATTTAAAAACATTTACATCTTTGCACAAAATTGCGAATGCATTTACATCTTAACATTTGCAAAAATAAATAAATAGTTTTATCTCACCTGAAGATACCGTTCCATATGCCTCGATTGAATTCTACCCAATATATCCAAGTGCCCGCGTAATACACATCCACGTGAAGAATATGATGGCCAATTCCAGAGATAGGTACCATGGCCTCTTTGGAATCTTTGAGACTGTAACCTCTGGCGACATCGAGTTGAGACACTACTGCAAAAGTCTTGTAGGGCTCACATCTCGTGTCGGAGATTTTTCTGTATTCCATTCCGCAGGCACAAACACGAGTACCTCCGGACGCAGGCAAGCAAAGCTGCTCGCAATCGCCGTTGTTATTGAAACAAGGGTGAGATCCAGTAGCGCGTTTTTTATAAATAGTCAAAGTACGAAGTTCGGAATCATTGTTAACAATGGTGACTGGATTATCGCCGTTCGGCAAATTGACGCGTTCAATCTTGTCGTAAAGCGGATCTAGATAATATAGAAAAGATTCATGGACAGCTAACGCTTTTGGCAACGCCATGTTGTTTGCATTAGTGAGAATCGTGCGGACGTTTAGACCATCCGTCGACATGGCTTTGATGAAAGCTGGATTCTGACTGGAAATGTACAGTGTCTTGCTAGGAATATCGATAGTGATGGCTTCGGGATGTTCTAGATTTTTCGCAAGAATTAACGGATTGGTACCGTCCATATTCACTCGTGCAATTTTTTGCGGTACTCCGAAACCACCATCGTCTACCCAAAATATCTGTCCGTCAATGGGATCCACACACATAGCCTTTGGTTTAGATACCGACAAATCGTTACCATTGTTCGCCAAGACGATCGTACGGTATCGCGGCTTGCCATCTAGTTTGATGGCTTCGATATTAGACGCGAACTTATTGCCGATAAACATATTGCGACCGAGCCAATCCATAGCCATGGTGGATGGTGAACCAACAATACCAGTATCGCCGTTAGGATTAGGGAATTCCGTTCGGTTACCGCCGTTGTACGGAATGGTGTAAATTGTGCCGTTTTCGTCGTCACCGTCTTTACCTTGTAACCAGTAAATAATATGATCTTTTCTGTCGTATTCAATAAATCTTCCGCCTTCTACGCCAACAATAGGTGTAAAGTAGCCAGTCTTAGCTTCTCCGGGTGTCAGAGAAATATCGACGATCTGAGAACCGCGTAGAACCATCAAATATGACGTTTCTTCTTCTATACATCGTCCGTCGGCCAACAATTTGTATCCTACTTGACATTTGCAGTTATATCCTCTCAGATTACTGGGAGATAGAAGACACAAATGTTCACAAGTAGCATTGGCACAAGGATTTTCAGTAATGGGCTGTAATACCGGATGATGCACGTGTATAGAAAGAGGTTGCGAGATAAGATGCGAAACTACCATTTGATCGGAACCCTTGAATTTGTGCGCCGAAAGTACTCGATTAAGTTGTCTGTCAGTCCAATACATAGTATCTTCAAAGAGCGTAAGCGAATGAGGATGTAGAAGATAATGGGAAGAAGCTAGAACTTGCATTCTTCCAGTACCATCGTACAGACAAGTGTCGATAAAGTCTAATTTACTGTCTGCGAAGTATATCCTACGATTCGCGATATCCAAAGCCAGACCGTTAGGCCAATAAATCTTCGTGCTAATAATAATTGATCGATTAGTACCGTCCATTCCAATTCTTTCAATTCGAGGATTTTCGCCCCAATCAGTCCAGAAGAGCCATCTCGCACCTGGACTAGGATCCAGACACATTCCACGTGGTTGCGTGATATTCTCCTTGACGAGAACCATTCTTCCAACTCCCGTTTCCTTGGCTACCTCAATTGTATTCAGTTTCGAATCCAGCCAATACAAGTTCTGACCGATCCAATCGTAAGCAAGACCTTCCACCAGATCCAAACCAGTGCTGATGATATCCTGAGGATCGCTGCCACGATCCAATCGCGAGATTCGCTTCAGTTTCATGTCGGACCAGAAAATAGTACCAGTGTGCATATTACTTGCGGTTGCTACGACGTTTTCTACGTTGATCGGGACTCGTTCCAGTGCTTGTTCCTGCAGATCGGCTACCAGAATAGTATGCCTATTGGAGATAATTAAGAACGCAGCACTGTGATTAAACGCTTTGCATGTGTGTTTATCCTTTTCCAGCGTGTAACCATCTTGACAGTTGCAAAAGTAGCTGCGCTTTGTGTTCACACAGATCTGCGAACATCTTCCCGGTGGATCGCATTCGTTCATGTCTTGGCAAGTGAAACCATCGCTGCCAAGCTCTTCGCCGGCCGGACAAGTGCATTGGGCGCCGAGCGGAGTTCGAATACAATCATTGCTACACAATCCAGCCTGATGAGTGCATTCGGCAAGATCGCAACCCAATCCTTCGTCCGCTCCGTTAGGACAATCCGGCTTGCCGTCGCACACATTGGTTATATTTACACAACGATTGGTCACGTTCGGACATTGCCATTGTTGGGAGTCGCATTTAAACGTGGGAGGGCCGCACGCGTGCAATTCAACGTTTTCATCGGAATTGTCTCCGCAGTCATCTTTGCCGTCGCAAATGTACGCCTTGAACACGCACCTCTCGTTCAGACATCTGAGAATATATGTAATTAAATTAGCTTAGATCGATGAAACAATCAGATAAAAGCAAATTTTTGATTAATGAATGCAAACATACTTGAAAAATCCTGTTTGGCAGTCGATTTTTCCGCAGGACTCCGGTTCATCGGATTTGTCGGGACAATCTGGGGTACCGTCGCAGTACCAGCTCCTTGGTATGCAAATAGCCGAGCTAACGCATTGGAATTGTTTTTCGCTGTTACACTGATCCGGCGCCAGCGACGGGCAACCCACTTCGTCGGAACCGTCATTACAGTCACTAATACCGTCGCACTTGTATGACGCTAAAATACACATTTTTTGATCAGCACACGTGAACTGCGTACTAAGACAAGTGACCGGTGGACAATCCATTTCATCCTGTTGATCGAAACAATCACTATCACCGTCGCATACCCAAGACTGAGGTATACAGTGACCCGAACGTGGACAAGTGAACTGGAAGTACGAGCAGGTTTTTGCCGCGCAGAACTCGCCTTCGTCGGAACTGTCGCCACAATCGTTTTCGGAGTCGCATTTCCAAGTTGCGGGGATGCAACGATTGTTATCGCAAGCGAACTGATTGGCGCTGCAGGTCACATTTGGACAGCCAATTTCGTCGCTATAATCACCGCAATCGTTCTCGGCGTCACAGTGAAATGTTTTCGGAACGCAGCGTCCGGATTTGCATTGAAACTCATTCGCGCTACACGTTGGTTTCGTGCAGTTTTGCATTTCATCACTGTTGTCCAAACAGTCGTTCTCACCGTCGCACACCCATGATTTTGGCACACATCTAAATATAGATTCAAAAATTAAAAATGTTCAAACTTTTATTATTTATCTTTTAATCATCAATTCATCAAGAATTTACGAACCTTTGGTTTGCGCAAGTGAAATCCCAAGTATGCTGACAGGCCTGTAAAGGTGGTTCTCCTTCGGGATTCGCCGTGCAACTTCTGCCGTTCTCTAGAAGGCGTTCTCCGTAAGGACATCCACATACTTGAGTGAGCTTTGGTGAGATGTTCATTCCGGGGAAAATCACTCCATCGTATGTTGTAGAATTATCCGGAATAGCAAAACATAATTTTTCGCAACCACCGTTATTAATGGTGCAAGGATGATTAGATGTGGTCACTTGAATCTCACGGCTGAAGACCTTCACACCGTAAAGTCTATTGGTAGCAGGTTCGCGAACCAAAATGCTCCCTTGTTCGCCGGTTTCCTTGTGCAAACGAATAATAGCGTCGAGACGCCAATCGGTGATATACATCCAGTCTTCGTGAATTGCAATAGAAAACGGATGACGGATCAGTCTGGAATCTATCGTTCGCACGTCCGTACCGTCCAAGTTCGAATGTTGTACATGATCCAAGAGAGCATCGCACCAATATAATCGGTCTTTTTTGAAGTCAATTGCCAATCCGTTTGGCCAGCCCAAAGACAGGTTTCGGAATACGATTAGATTGGATCCATCAGCATAAGCTCTGCTGATGTTAGCCGGACGATCCCATTCGGAGAAGAAGATAAATCCGTGATTAGGGTGGATTACAATCGCGCGAGGACGCTTCAGGTTCTTCAACAATGTTCGTCGATACGTGACATTACGTGTGCTGAGCACGTTTAGCGTACCTGAAAAGATAAAAAATAATTTTGTTTTTTTTACATCTTAACATTGACTCGATAGCCAATATTGTCAGATTCTTCAAACGACTTGTTTTAACTGACCTTTGCGCGAATCGATGTAGTACAAGTTTTTCGCGGCCCAGTCGACCGCGAGACCTTCAACTCCTTCATTTTGACTAGCCAGAACGATTTCTCGTCCGGTCGCGTTCTGATGTACTCTGTATATGACGTCTTGCAAAACGTCGCTGTAATAAATATATTGATCATGCGCGTCGTAATCGAGTCCGACGAATCGAGCCCGCCTGGATACCACCGGTAGAATAGCGTCGCTGAAGCCCTCCATGACGGGGTTGAGCACGCGACCTTTAATGAATCTTTGCTGCGAATACATTAGAAACTCTTGCACCAGGTTGCAGTTTCTCATATCGTTCGCCAATCGCCATCCGATGTCGCAAGCGCAGCGATAACCTAATCTATAGTTCTGATCGCTAGAAGCGGTGACAATGCACATGTGCTGACAACCACCGTTGTTATTTCCGCAGGGATTAGGAATATTTGGTTGCAAAAGTGGATGTAGGGCTTTTATACCTTTGACATCACGCACCTTGAAAAAAGATTACATCATTAATGACACTAAATATTTTTCTAGCGCTTAGATTAAACAAAAGTTTTTTTTTTACCTTGAATATATTTTGAATGGAATAATCTCCCTGAGTCTTGTCGACGCTCATGATAGCTTGCTTGGTGCCATCCGTCCAATATATTCTGTTCTCAAAAAGCGTAAGTCTGATCGGAGAAGGTACCTGAGTACCACGAAGAATCATGACTCTGTGACGACCCCTGTAATCTGCCGTCTCAATATAATCCAACAGTGAATCGCACCAATAAATTCTCTTGGCAATAATATCCACAGCCAAACCGGAGACTTTGTAAGCCGCCTCGGAAACGACGGGAAACGCGTTGGTTCCGTCCATGTTGGCGCGAAGAACCTGCTTGCTGTCGGCGATGAACATAAGACCTGCCGTTGGGTCGAGCGCGATGTCGGTTGGATTAGTGAGATTGGAGCCCACAACGATTCCGTGATAACGTCCGTCTAATTCGAACACGTCCACCTTTTGCACGATGGAATCCGCCACATAGAGTTTCTCGCCGACCCAATCCACGGCGATGGCCACGGGACCCCAAGAACCTGCCATACTGATGTCCACATTGGACATCAATTCATCACGTGGCGAGACCGCGCTGTTGAGAGACTCCGAGTGCACTTTTCGCGTTTTCATGTCGCTCCAGAAGAGCAAATTTTGCGAATACAGATAGTCCACTCCGCTGGCGCCGGTAGTGTTTGCGATTATTTTACGATTTCCGCCGGTCGCGCTCATCCGCCACACCGCGCGATCCTGAGCGAACAGGAGCTCCAAAGCGGAAATGTTCTGAGCGCGACATTTGTTACGTCCGTGAAGAATATAACCTGGCGCGCATTTACATATGTACGATCCATCGGTGTTGTCGCACAGTTGCTCGCAGAAACCCCATTCGGAGCACTCGTCTCGATCTGCACGAAAAAAGATTAATTGACTGATCAAAGGAGAAAACATTAAAATTTATACAACGAAATAATTCTTGTCTTCTTATTTAAAAACTTTCAACTCGACCAAATTATTTTTGGCGTGTTATCTTTTGAAATTTAAATAATAACGAAATAACATACCGATGCAGGTCCGCGAATCATTGGCAAGAATCATTCCTTCGGGGCAATAACAAGTCCCTCCTGTAGGAGACGCTTGACACTTATGTTGACATCCAAGTGCACCGCACAAGTCGGTCGCTACGATACGAAGAAAATTTTATATTTTAAAATGTCCCATAATCTACTTCCTAAACTTTCAAATCTATACAAAAAAATAAAATAAAGTGTCGTTAACACTTACAACAATGTACTCTTTCATCGGCCCCATCCGCGCAATCTTGTTTGCCATCGCATAGCTGAGTCGGATTGATGCACAGCAGTTTTCCGTCCTGCGTGCCCTTTGGGCACGTAAATTTGTTTCCCGGACAAACCGTTGCCGTGCAAGATTTCTCGTCAGAACCATCCTGACAATCTCTATAACCGTCACATTGATATGCTATGGGAATGCAGAGTGCATTGGCGCATCGGAACTGGTCGCTAGTACAAGGCGGGAAATCTGTACATTATCGAAGTCTTTTGTTTATGTTGCTCGTTTTGTTAAAATTAAACATGTTTTATCGTGTTATAAGATTACATTTTCATGTTGTAAACAATATATATACAATCATATAAATGTGGTGAACACAAATAAATACGCACAATTAAATGAAATATATCTCAAAACTTGCGAACTCACTGCAATGTTCTTCGTCGCTGTTGTCACCACAATCGTCTCTGTGATTACACCTCGAACTTTGCTCGATGCATCGGTGCGTGGTGTTACACCTGAATTGATCCAATCGGCAGGCTGGTTTTACCTGATCCTCGCACTTGTCCTCGTCCTTGCCATTACGACAGTCCAAGTAACCGTCGCACTTTTTTTCTTTGGGTATGCAAAGCTCCGGTGTTGTGCCGCCGCACCTGAAGTCGTCCGGCTGACACTTCCTGTACACTGCAACAGAACATTGAGTTTCCTGTTCGGTCTTGTTCTTCTAATAACTTCTATCTATGTAATTAAGAAAAAGTGTCAATAAAAATGGTTCAACTTTTGTTTGAATAAACATTCCGTTAATCTTGCGAACTTTGCAAGCTTCAAAAGAAACCGTGTCACGTTGCAAACTTTTGAGATACAATTAAAGTGTCAAGTGTGTGTGTGTATATTCTAGTCATTTGCTAGTACATTCTACAAAAGCTTCAATTGCACGTCTGCGAGTGCGAGACGTGACAAATAGAGTGGCACACGTTGCTTTTACATAACGGACGTCAAAAGGCGACCCGAAGCTCACGTTTCTGGGTCCAAACAGTCTTGCCGTAATAACTCGCATTAGTCGTGCATAATGCGCGGCACTTGTATCTTGATCACCTGTTGCGGCACGTTCGTCGCGCTGATAAACATGCAAAATGCGCCCGATTCGACAACACGGAACGTGATTTTTTTTCACATGCTCATGCGCGATATTAAGATAAAAAGAATAATAAAGAAGAAAGAAAATTAAATTTGTAGATTGCGGAGTCATTGTGTGTTATCGTCTAATTTCGAAAACTCAAAAAGGTGTTACACATGTTTTTCCATTCGCACGACTACTCGTTAACTGGCTGATGCCAGTAATTTAACAAGATGTAAAATATCGAGCGAATTATCGCGACAGCATGATAATTTAGTGGCTTTTGGCACGAACAATCTGCCTAATCGTGCGCAAAGAGAACTGCTGCTTAACCATGCACTTATGCGAATGGCCTTGTCACGATGATAATGTTATCATGTCTGTTTTGGTGTGAAACATCCGCAATAATTAATACCTCTAGGCGTCGCAAGAGCGACGCAACTGATATTCATGAAAAAGATAGTCTATCAATAATTATGTTGATCTCTGATTAAGAGATTGTTTTTTTTTTTTTTTCATATTTTTTTCACTTCATTCGAGACAAACTGCAGTTGAAGAACAGTCAAGCAAAAATGATATTTAAAACTGAATAATTGTTTTGTGTATAAAAAGTACGATGTGTAATAAAGTATACTCAATGTGTGGAGTTAAAATTAACATAATTATTGAAACAACAAGAAAATCAAACAGTCATGTTTGACGACGATAAGGATAATTGCACTCACTACAGCCGTCTTCGTCGGTGCCGTCAACGCAATCGACAGTCATGTCGCATCGTTGATGAGGAGGTATACAGTACGTCTTGTTGAAACTGTACTGCCCGCATGTAATTTGGCCGATCTCGCAGTCGGGCGGCGCTGAAAAAATCCAATTAAAATACATTAAATGATGACGCTTAGTTATGCGCAAATCATTGGTATCAATAATATGAAAAAAATTGTATATCACACTGTAACGAGAAAAACAAACAAACAAATAACGCAAACACGCAGTCTGTGTGTTACACGCAACATTGTTCGTGCGACGGGAGAGAGCAAATTGCACTGGTGCTATAATTGCGCGAATATAATCAGCCGGCTGTCGATTCACCGAGCGATCGAGGGAACCTCCCTCGATTATTTCATACCGGATGATATGACAATCTCGCAACTGCACCAGAGTATTACCATAAATAATGTTTTTCTTAAAATAATGTTGTAAAGGTGAAAATTTATATAAGAGGAGCAGATTATAAAAAAAAAAAAACATTTTTTAAATCTATACAATATAAAAATTTTACATACGTAAAATACATAAAATTGTTATCATATACATATGTTTTTTATGTACTTTTCTATGCATATATATTTTCTATGTATATATATATAGTATATGTGTGTGTGTGTGTGTATATATATATATATATGAACATATGCCGAACATGGAATCGGAAGCAATTCCGTGGAAAATGCGAGCAAAATGAAATACAATTGTGCCAGTGGGCCCGTTTCGAATAACATACGGCAATCTACATGCTGTCCTCGAAAGAGGGTCACAGCTTTGCTTCCGGTTCTGCATTGTCACCCGCATAACAAACGCCCGCTGCTCTGCGGTGTCCTAGGAAAAAAATTGCAAATCCTGAATTGCAATATAATTATTGTTGCTCACGAAGAAAATTGCGTGATTAGAATTTTGTTACGTATCGATAATTGCTCAAGCAAATTGTCATTCCTTAAAGAGGAGTTATTAAACGAATTGTTTTTGTATTCGTGACTTAAAAAAGTTTCGCGGAGTTTAAAACTTTTAAAATTGTGTAATCTATTATATATATATATATATATAAGACAGAAATGAAACCAAAACAATATATTATTCTCTTCCGTTTTTAAAATGACATTGGTGGTTGTTCTTGTTGCACGCGGGAAGATTGCACACACAAATTGCATTACACTTCCTGCAATATAAATTCAACGATAAGAAGCCGTCACAAAAGCAGTCACGTAATCGACCATATGGAAAAAAACGTTAAACAAAGACACTAAGCACTTCCGAGAGGAAGCCTCGGATTTTCGTTGAGCGCTTCCGGCACGCGAGATTTGTCGTAAGCCATATCGTACGTACGTATGTACAGCTCGATTCAATTCGTTTTATTCGTCGGAATAGATCGCGAAACGCAATTACTCGCAGAAATCCAAGATTAAAGTTGCTTAAATTCTAAATCCGAATTTAGTTTCGGCACAAAAAAGTTAATAAATATATTATTCATCGACTAGTTTAATATTATTTAATCGAGTTAATATCTATCTTGGATAAAGTATTCTCGGGTTTCAATGATTATAAATCCGCACCTGATAGCCACGAGTACTGAAAGAAGGCGATGTGGCTTCATTCTAAAAGTTCTTTCACCGTGAGCTGTAATGGGGCCAACGGGCGGTCATGGGCTGTACACGCATCCCTCTTTATTATTCTTTAACGAAGCACTCAATCATTAATTATTCATCAACGCAAGAGACGAAGATCTCTTCTGATCAAATTTTACGCGTTCAAAAGCACGCATTGCTTTTGATATTTAATTAAAGTGAAGCTATTTTTTTTTTTTTTTCCAGCCACTTTCTTGCATCTCGAACGCGCGGTAATGTTTCAGTGATTGTTTTTACATCAAGAGTGTAACTATTTAATTAGAATTATCATCAAAAGAGAAGAATATATGTTAACACACATATAATGTATATTTAGAACAAACGCGTAATTATTTAAATTAAGAACTAATTTAAAGGGCCCGCGCACAAAAGGAAGAAAGGTTGATACTTACGACAGGACTGCATCTCATCGCTGTTGTCGTCGCAGTCCCCTCGATAATCGCACACGAGAATCGACAGTATGCATTTGCCATCGTTGCACCTGAACATGTTATTGGCGCAGCCATCGCCTGTAACAGAAAGTATAGTAAGAGCATGAAGGGATCGGCTCTGGGAAGCGATTTTGTTGCCGTGATAGGTGAAAGGTTCAATGCCTGACGTTTTCTAGGTGTAACTGGTGTGTTGTGGAAGGCGGGTATTTTTTATCTGGAATTTAAGCGAATCTTCTCGCTCGATGAACTTTCGCGCGATGAAACATTTCGTCACATTGATTGCCCGCGGTCCAACGGTATTAGAAGTGCGATTTGAACGCGGTTGCACACACACGTGACGAGAAGTCAATTTCTCGAGATTTAAATCTCTGTTGCTCAATAACGCGGTGAAAACGTGCGTCAATTGGCGGTAAGTGCCGAAATTGAAGCAAAGTTTTTTTCCCTTCCTTTCTCTTTTTAAATTGACTGATAAGCGGAAACGTCGAAAAAAAAGGCCGTTGGCGACGGCCAAATTTCTAAGTATAAAAATTAAAATAACTGCGAAACATCCGTTTACGGTGATTAAGACAAGTTACTTTATGCAATCCGAGTCAAAACTCTTATTATTAAAAATTAGAGATAAATTAAAAAATTCAAAGCGCTAACGTTTCTTAGTTTATTTAATAAAACATATATTATAAAATATGTAAAATATGTTGGTAAATAAAAATGTAAATTAACGTGATAAAAAAACATAGTGGTTTACGTATTGCAAACTTGATGTTGCTTAAAATTTGCTGCGCAGCATTCAAGAAACGAGATAAAGAATGGCACAATAAAGAGCTATCTCGTATCTCTAACTTTTGTTTGCTGCTGACTTTTGTTCATCGACTAATAAGAAAAACATTTGTATAACAACGCGGTACATTTTACCAGTGTTATTATGTAAATGAGTCTTTGTGTGGATGTTCAAATACCATTAGCTTAATAATGCTACGTCACTTGAGGTATTAGCAATTATAGGAATAATAACGTGCACGCGAGAGGAACAACAAGAGAGAAAAAATAATAATAATAACAACAATAATATAATGACGAGTTATTGTGATAACTTTAATGACATATTCCTACGTGAGATAATGCAAAAGTTGTAACACTTTTTTTTATATCTTTTTTATGAAAAAAAAAAAAAATTACTGGAAAGTATTTACAGTTTTTTTTTTCTATTCGCATTTCTCATTGACATTCTAAATAAAGAAGAATAATTTCCAACAATTCTATTCGAGCTCTAATGAGCTTTTCTTGATTTGAAACTAAATCCGGCAAATCCTTTCTAAGTTCACATCGCGTTTTAAAAAAGGAAAGATGATCTTTCCTCTCTCTTAAAAGAACCTATCACGCCGCAACGACAATCGAGCTCCGTTTATGGTGACTTTCCCATCGTGGCAGAATCCTTGGTTTTCGTCCTTGGACGAGAGAATCTGATCCTTGCGATTACTTGTGTGCAACTGACAACGTTAAGATTTTAATGTTTAAAAAAATGTTTGGGGGTTACGCGCTCGAATGCGAGTCGCGCGATGTACACGTAAAAAAAAAAAAGACAAAAATTCACTCGTCTTTTGAATCATCATTCTTTTTTTTTCTCAAGAGAACTAAAATTCTTAATAAATAAGACTCTTATCAAGTAATAAAACTTTTAATTATATAGTCTCTAGAAAGAGAGATACCAAGTATTTATAAAAAGTATCAAATAATACTTTGGTCAAAAGTGTCAAATGATATTTTTATTGAAAGTCTTTTTACAAGAATAAACTACGTTTTATTGTCACGTTTCTTTCACATAAATGAAAGATTTCTGTATTTGATGCAATTCTTTCAGAAATAAAACTATAAATTGCTGGATTCGCGAAAGAAAGTGAGAAGAGCACGCAGGAGATGAGAACAGTACTGTGTGTAAGTAAGCCACGTTCTGTTCATGTGGGTGTCTCATCATCGTCATGAAAGACGAGGCAGCAGAAAACATAAGGAGAAAGAGAGACAGAGAAAGAAAAAAGCCTCAAAGAGAGAGAGAGAGAGAGAGAGAGAGAGAGAGAGAGAGAGAGAGAGAAGTTTGCAGGAGAAGAGAAGCGGTCGCCGATTAGGGAGAAGGAGACAAGTAGGAAAGAGAGAGAAACGCTGATGGTTCTAGAGAGGAGAGGAAAGGAAGTGGCTCCGGCTTGGAAGTGCAGCGTTCGTGCCAGGCTGCGCGGCCTGGTACGAACAGAACGCCGACAGCAGTCGGGAGGGAACGTGCATTGCCGGATAGGAATGCAAATATCAAAGACAAGATAGAGCGATACATTCGTGATAAACTCGTGATCGAAGATTTTTCCGCGATATTTTCCTTTCCTCGTGAAACACGACTTGCAAATTGCCGGATACGCATCCACAAAAAAAAAAAAACGACATTTCTTGACTTGTTTGCGCAGACAGAACATTTTGTCGATACAATCCCATCTCTCATGTATATATATCGCTCTCCTCGCTTACAAAATTGATTCAGAAATAATTTTTGTACACTTCCGCTAAACGCGAAAACACGAAAGCAAAGTGCGCACATAAAAACAGCAAAGTACGTTACTTATGTTAATAAATAAATTACACGAAAATTATCGAAACAGCCAAAAAATCATTTATCAATGTGTATCGCTCGCGCTTGCTTATGTGTCACGTGTCTCCTTTTCTATTTCTCTTTCGCGTTTGCGAATAGAGATAATAATGATATAATATATTGTTTAGCAACGTAACAAGTATGTCAGCACCCGTCCCATGACATCGGCACGCGGCGGCGCAGCGTTCACCTTCGCGCTCGCGTGAGAGGAGGATGCTCTTTCAACAGCCCCGTTCGTACCAGACGGTGCAATAAGCCAGCTGTATGCACCGCTGCATCGGCACGCTGCGGCGCGGTGCATAACACCGTGTATCCGACGTGACACCTCGTCTGTTTTTCACAGGAAAATCTCTATCGGACGTGTAATAATACGTCTCGCGCTACGCAAAACCGATCAATCAGGACAGAATCTCTCGACGTCTCGAATGTTTCTGTTTGTCACTCGCTAAAGATGTTCGGGTGTCATCACTTTGCCCGTTACTTTTTTTTTTAATTACAATCAAGATTTGAATATAGTGTAATAATTTTCTTTATGAATTCAAGGTTGAATTTAATCACACAGATAAGATATGCATAACTAAAGTAAACAACGACCTCAAAGGAGATATAAATTATTGTGCGTTTGTGATGACGCGAAAGCGAAGATAACGTGTCTCGACTTACAAAACTACTTTGCGCCAAAGAAAGAGGAGAGAAGGACGCTCGAGATACGTAATTCGAAAAAAGTAACAAAAACAACCGAAGAGAAATTACCAAAGTACAAACGAGAGTCAAACTGTTGTCTTCTTTTTTGTAAATATTTAATTGTAAATTTGTAAATCTCAGTGTAGTACAACAAGTACAAACGCTAGCACACGTAATGTCGTGATTTAAAAAAAAAAAAATTAGCAATTGTTTATATCATTTGTAAGTGTAATTTTATTTTCTCCGATCACGTGTGTGTGTGATGCTGAATGACAAGGGCCGTGATACTCGTGTAAAGCGAAGGCGTGATAATAGGTAGGCTGTGTCCGTGATTGTCACTTGTAAGTCGGTTATAATAGTCGTTCACCGCGGTTGACGTTTCAGAAGAAGAAGTCTTGGATACATATAGTGCGCCCTGGTTCGTTAATTGGATCACTCGGATCAACGAACGCCGCGCGACACATATATCACCGCCAAGCCAGTGTCATTCAGCCACCTAACGTGCTCATAGTACAGCACCAAGGCCACGACAGACGAATGTTCGATTGATATATTCTGGTGAAGGGAAATCTCCCGAGGTCTCTCCTGCTCAAGATACCGATTCTCTCGTCTCTTTACGATTAGATCACACATCGATAAGAGAGAGAGAGAGAGAGAACCTGAAGTTACGCGAACAACTTTAGATAAAAGAGATATACGATGCGTTTTTTTTTTAATCTAAATCTTATATTTAGAACCGAAAAGCAATTACCTCGCTCCGATAAAAACAAACAACTGCATTCTTCAGAGTGTGATTGATGTAAATATTTATAATGTACATTATATACCGGTATTTTGACATTTTCTCTGTAATCTCCGTTTTTGTTATCTTTTGGTTTGTTATTTATAAGACGCGAATGGACAATATACTTTGGAACTTATATTACTTTTAGAATTTTATCTCTGAAAAGAGCTAGTCTGGGATCAACATTTAGGGATAAAAGATAAGGATAAGAGCTAGTGCAGGACCAACATTTAGGATAGATTAAGGAAAGCATACTTGCTATTTGATAGGCATTAAGTGCCCAACTCAAAATCACTCTTGATAAGACACCTTGATGTGAATGCCTTTCTCATCCTAGATACTCTACGTACAAACAAGTAAAAGTATTTATTGAAATCTCATAGAATTTTTTTTTTATAAACTCTTGTTTAAAAACAAATAATAAAAACAGTAATACTAGCAATAATAAAATTTATCTTTACTCAAAAAGATATTATCTCAACTGATGTTTACTACACTATTAGAAGTGTTCGAAACATTTAATTGCAAAAGCTTAAAAAGTAGCAATCAAGAACTCTAATTGTTACATCAAATGGCCGTTAAATGATTCGGTTACCAACACTAACTTAAACCGCGCTCGAAAAGCGATTTTCCAGTGGTCACAGTGTCGCAAAAGAGAGACTTACGCAAGTCTCTCTCCTACGAGATTGGCACGCGTTCAGGTGAGTGGAAGACTTTCAGATCACCCGGTACAACGAGAGGTATTTACAGTGACCTCTCGTCACTCGATTTTCGTATGACACTAGAATGCCATTGACCTTTCTTTATTTCGTTTGCACATCATAGTGATAATTCGATCAAGCTAGTAAACTTATCGGATTCCTTCATTACAAACAATTTCATGCAATATACGTATTATAACTGGCATCTATTAATTTTTTTCTTTCAATACGTTTTTTTTTTTTTTTTTTTCATACATGTTGAAGTTTTAATCAAAAGTCCTTTATATATATGTGTAATTTATCTTGACGTTATTAGATTTAATTTGAAAACATTTTTAGTTACGAGTTAATGTGCAGTTGAGTAATAGTGGCTAGTTTTTTCTTCCCGTTGTGTTCGAGCAAGCTCTGTCTTCGATTTGCCGCACTCGTTCAAGCGAATCTGCATTCAGTCGAGGTTTAACGTCCTGCAATTCGGCGTGTGCATGTGTTGGGTAGACGTACTCGGTATAATCTCAAGTGCAAACACACGCGTGCAAAATGCACACTCATGAGAGAGACCTCGAAGAATCCGCTGAGTATAGAACTCGCTTGTGTGTTAGAAGCTAATCTGGACTACGAGCATTTTACTCTGACGCTTCACCTGCGCGTACGTATTTTTGTGCATATCTTATATATATATATTCACACGTGTGTGTAACTAATAAATTAATTATTTATAGCACCGATGCGTTAAAGCAAAGCTTTTATCTAACGGATAATGCGCCAATAACAATTACTTATTTCAAAGTCATTCCGACAATATAGATAACAAATAACGTAAGTGTATGAACAATCGAACAATGGCTTCCTTTGTATACACGAGCAATTTATTATAAAACAGTGTTCAATTAGAGAAGAATTTGTGACAACTACATTAAAAAATAATACATTTAAATACGTACATCAGGGTACATTTTACAAAAGTTATATCTCATGTGCGATTAATTAATTTTCTTCTTTTTTTAATTTTTCAATTTTTTTATCGCAAATTTATGTTGAAATATTTATCACAATTTTTTTCTCCAAATTAAGAAATCAATTTCTGCCAAACATTTGTTTTGTCTTTTTAAATGAAAATTGATATAAAACTTCTTTCTTTTTCGAAGAGAGAAAAAAAAAGACCGCTACAAGCAAGATATGGATATGGATACTCTTTCTTTTTCTTTTTCTGTCTTCTTTTTTCTTTCCTGTGTGACAAACTTTAGATTACGATTTGTTGAGAACCGTTATATTCGCGCACTATAAGTTCACTTCTAGTCGCATGGGTGAAAGTTGATGTTTCCCACGCAGCGTTGGCATCAATTTGCTATCGGTTGGAAAAATCCGCCACGAGATCTCTCGCTGATATATTCAGGTGACCCTCAACAATACGGTAACTTATGATAAACGGAATTATAAAAGCCGATAACGTGATAAATGTACCGTTTCACGCTGGCAACCCTGTTTAAAATGTATCGGTGTGAATGACATCACGAGGACCATGAGATTGCGATCGTAAAACTTCGGAAGCAAATAGAATTCAGCAGATAGAATTCAGATTTATGTCATTTATCAACGATCTAATTTAAATAATAAAAACAAATGTAATCCTTTATATACATATATATAAATATGTATAATCAAAATTTTTACTTAAAATTATAACATTAACGAAGAAAGTATCCATTAATTTTACATATATACATATGTATACACATATATATATATTTTTCTATATATATATATAGAAAAAAAATTTAATTATTATATTTAATAAGAATGTACATATGTATGTACGTAGATATCGTGTGGATAGTGAAAAAACGATCGTTCGTTCCTTCGTGATCGAACGGCTAAATACATCGCTGCGGAATAAATATTTTCGTAGGTAGATATCAGAGTCTGAATGTCAGAATACAGAAATAGGGTAGACTGTCGATATGTACATACAAATGTATAATATATATGAGCGGACAAAATCGTGTGAACGTGTCGTACCAATATACATATACCGGGCGATACAATTGAACATCGATTATATATACTAGACGACACATACAACAACAATAACCAATATGGTAGATTGTTGAGATGTCACCTCGCGCGAGCTCTCCTTGGTAAATCCAATATATATTATTTGAAATGAAACGACTGCAAGGAGCCTTTGCAGGCTCCTGTATTTAGTACCGATCTCACTTTTACACAACCATGACGCTCATAATTCTCTGCCGTTTTAACTCAATAGTATGTGTAGTTTGATTGATTTTATAATAAAATTTGACTATTTATATTGTATAACACGATGCGTTTGTTACTTCTTAATTTTTTTTCTGTATATTGATCAATTGATAAGAACTTCAAATAAAGTCGAAACGTTTTGACAAATATTGTTTCAAACATATATTATTACTGCACAATATCCTGCAAAGATTCCTTATAGCCGTTTCATTTCAAATAACAATAACAATGTTGACATTGATGATGACAGTGATAACGACAAATGACATCTCAAAAAGAAAAACGATATCTTCGGTGACAGCAACGATTACAACTGTGATAACGACAATGTGGACGACGATGACGACGACGCTCCGTGACGACGTCGTCGACGATAACAGCAACCACGACGGCAACGACGACGACGACGACGATGATGACGACGACGACGACGACGACGACGACGACGACGACGACGACGAGCACGACAGGCCCATTGGAAAGCCAGGGTCCCGCTATCTGGTCGGCCGCTAGGCCGAGGTGAACGAACCTGAGCCCGCCTACTGACTACCTGCCAGCCTCGAGCTCAGGCTATCTCACTGTGAGCGAACACGAGGAGCGAGCCAAGAAGAAGGACAACCATCGGAGAACGAGTGGACTTCTCGCTCGCGCTGAGTTTCCTCCTCACCTACAAATTTATTCGACACCTCGCATCTGTCTGCGACATGCTAATTCTTCGCTCTTCTTTTTTCTTTTCGAGAAATTGTAGAAAAACTTCATCCAATATAGCTTTCAAAAATCATTTGAAGCGTTAGATGTTACTTGAAGTTGTGATAGCTGATAATCGAGCCAATAATCTGACGCGCGCTTCGATGTAACACGATCGATTCGCGTTACGAGCTCTGTAGCACACACATGGATGCATTTGTAACTATTTGCGTAACCACTAAAAAGAAGTTTGTTCATAGAAGCTTTGACTGTATGTTTTGCGTAAATATAAAAAATGATCGACGAAGAAAGCAATTTATTTCTGCAAAATTTAAAAATTGCAACAACAAAAAAATCAGAAAAAATTGTCCAATCGGATTTTCGCTCTGAGAGAGATCGGCTCTAAATACGCCAAAGAATCAACTCTTCGGGGGGAAAGAACTTTCTCGCCTTCTAGACGCGTTATAGAGGAATCAGAGCTTGCAAACTCATGACGTTCTCGAGCACGAAGGTCGTTTTGTTGACCTACTGATCTATCCCACTTGTTTCCCACTTGATTCATCACGAATTTTTCGTAATTAGATATAAAGAGCGCTCGATGAAACGTATCCAAACGTCAGTGCATCAAAAGAATTATGACGAAATGAAAAAACATTGGAATAGACAATAATTTGTAATTAAAAATCGATACAAAATTCACCTGTGTTAGAGCAGCGAGAAAAAGCAAGTTCGCTGATCGAGATAATAAAATTTTAAACGGTCGACGTACTCCGGATTGAGTAACGAGTTCATCGTGAAAGGTCAGAAATTTAATTTAGCTGATCGTCAACATATTGATACTTGTCCTCTGATGTTGCCGGCGTTATTTTTCGTGATAACGATATATTAGGTGTGCCAGGTATACGAGGGTATATTTGTGTGTATTTGGTCGACGAGGGAAAGGACTTTTTTTTTCTACATTTTCAAATAAACCTTTGTAAACTGCGAAATAATGTTGCTTCTAACGGAGATATGACGGACTTTGTTGTTGTTTTTGAGAAATCATGCATTTGTGAGAATAATAATTATCTAATAATAAAGAGATACACACACGACAAATTCTTTAAATGTTAACGAAAAATTTCAATTTCAATTCAATTATCTTTTTCCAGAATTTTCGAATATCTTTTTTCCAGGAATTTGAATATAAACACAAACAGCGCGTCATATTCTCTTAAAACATAAAAAAAAAACCGGTTTTTAATGAAGAAGGCGCGCGACATATAATAATGATGTATATAAAAAAAAAAAAAAAAACAGTGTGTCGCCGTCGAAGAAAAGTGTTGAAATCTGGAAAATGATTTGGGTAAACCGCTCGAAAAATCGATCCGATCATCGCCGATTTTGTTATCGTCCAGTCTTCTCTCTTTCAAACCGGTTTCCATCTCTTTTTTGCTTCCACCTATTCTCTCACAATCTGCCCTTCTCAAATATAAGAAAAACAAATAAACAAACACAGTCAAAATTGAACCACAACAAGAAGCAGCAAAATTTGATCCGATATTTAGGATGGTGAAAGAAGATTAGGTAAAAAATGATCTCGATTCTATTGGGAATGGTATTAAGTATTGTTAGTACTGTGTTAGGTGAATAATATTTCTTTAATAAATTTAAAATATTTATTTTCTGCACGATATTGTGTGACATACATAGATCGACAATGAAAAAAGTTGCAAATTATATTGCTATTTAGTGAACTCTAATAAAAAAAAGAATAATAATGAAAAAATTTAAATTTCATTATTAAATATGTAATTTTTAAAAAGTTTTTTACATATCTATTGCTATGTATTTTTTATCGTAACTGCTTACTTTTGTCAGATTTCTGTGGATAGGAACAACATAAATTTTTCAATTATGGCGCAGCTTGGGCGCGAAAACTTGAAAACTCTTTGTTTTATCTTATTACACACAGTTTCCTACAGAAATCCTACGTGTGTGGATGTAGAACTTTTTGAGATAAATTCGTGATTTGTTGATGATCATTTTTTAAAGGGATCAAGTTGATTTTCGGTGAGACCCCAAATCCTTTGGCGATGAAAAGAAATCGCTGATTTTCAACATATCCGAGAGGCGCGCACACAAAAGTGCTTACCTGATCTGATGGCCACTACGTCGGCAATGCCGGAAAGAATGGCGGCAGCAACCGCGACGACGAGTGTAATCCTGATAGTTCTCCATCGCACAACAGGTATCCTAGCTAGATCCTCGGTACTTCCGAAAGGGCCGATGCGTGGCCGCACAGCCATCGCACGCCGTATTGTTTTTTACCCCTTTAGTTCACTCCTATTTTTCTCTCTTGTTCTCTTTCACCGGCGCTCTCTCCGCAAAGACACACACTTTGCACGCAAATATATGTCAGTATAGATTTAGGTTTGTTTTTATCACTTCTCTTCTCTTATCAATTTCTCCAAGTAGCGAATTTGAATTTATTCCGCACGCAAAATTAGAATGCAAAAAAAACGCAACAAAATTAAAATTAAAAAAAAAATAAAACGACGGCGCGGCACGAGCGAACGCGAGCTCAATTCATGGCTCGTGCGTGCGACGTGAACACGGTCGCAGTCATCGGGCGACTAACGCTGACGAATGCAAGCTGTTTGTATCTCAGACGGACCCAACATGGCGCTGTTGTACTCCTTCTGACGTCTAAATCATCACGACAGAGTAGGAAGGGTCTGTCGTATTCTGATTTGATGCAAGAAAAACGCGCGAAACTCGTTTGGATCTCGAAGTTGCGACGTTTTTTCGAAAATATAAAATAACGAAATTAAAAACCACTTTTCAATTACAAAATAATTCACACGTAGATATTTCTTCGTGAAAGATATATCTTCATTGTACATTGAAATACATTAATAGCTTTCCTTTTATCGCGCGACGTTTACGTAAGGAGAGAAGCCCCTTACTTTCCCTTCGAAAGACATTAATGCACCGCAGTGTACTTGGAACAAAAGTTTCTTCAAATCTGTTGCTAACGTGCACAACATTCTTATTGATAGCAAGTCAAGAATTCAAAATATCGTCGAATATATATTTTTATTTAAACAATTATGCTAATAAAATTTTATTTTATTTGTTCTTCGCGTGAATAATTATTTGTTATTTATACTATGTTTTTTTTTTTTTTCTGCGATATCTTCAGTATCCGTTGAGAAATGAATGAGAATGACTGTGATTTCTAGCGTGCGAAATGAAAGTCAGAAGGAATTTGAGACTTTTCATGGATCTTAATTTCTGTGGCAGGTTTTATGTGATTATGCACCAAAGAAGAGAACAATTTCCGTGGAAACTTTCACATGACAACAGCGAAACATAAAAAAACGCAAACCTTTTTCTTATTCTGTTGTATAAAACGCGCGTATTTATTTTTTACATATTTTAGACACTATTGTTTATATCTTTGTACATTTTTTTTTTTTTTATAATTGTACACCTTTCGTATAATGTGTAATTTATTTTGCCTATTTGTTTCGTCTACAGTCAAATTGTTTTCAACAGTTGGTATAATTGTATATTTCCAGTTTATAATAGACGTATCATCACTGCGCACATTTCCTGATGATTCTCGCGAATGGCTATTATTCCGAACTTGCGTCACGGTAGCTCTGAATTCTCGTAGTCTCTCGGATTCTCTTCGCGAACTCACCTTGAAACCCGCGTTATCCGTGTGCGCATTCGCTCACACATCGATATACGAATTTGGAAAATTCCACAATATGACTGAAAATTGTCGCGTTTCCTTCTTCTTGTATCTTGCAAGGCTTCTATTACGAGTTCGTAAGCGGCCGCGATGACACGATCGGTAGGATGAAACGTCTGCGTTCGATGACCGTATTTAAATCTGACGACAAAAAACAAATTTTGTACAAGGGAAACGGTCGTGCGACATATCATCGGTTTGCTTTGCTTCCTTTCGGCAAAATAATGTAATTATTTTTTTACATTTGTTATTTTTTTTGAATAAATTCGAGATCCTCGGGTTCTTAAAATCGGAATTTCTCAGAATTGTTGGGTTTTTCAGAAGTCGCTGTTATTCGAATTTTTATCAAGGATGTTTTAAATAACGATTTGGACCGTGATTTATTATGAGATGCATATAATATCAAGGTTGTATATCAAGTTGTCTTGTGTGTATAATTACTGGGATATATATTATCAATGAGCACCACGACCGTACACGGGGGAATTCTCCGCTCCGTTCTTTCGCGGAGAATTCCCCCGCTTCACACTGCGGGCTGCGGTGAGGGTCCCGTGTGCCCATCCGTACACCTTTCGATTCCGCCCGATACGTTGCGCGTTTTCTCGCGAACAACGTTTATTAGCGACGAACGCCGCAAATGCCACCAGCCGCAGCCTGAGGCGTGACCTTTTCCATTGTCCCGCGACTTTAAACGTGCTTGGTTTGCTCGCGCGGTGTCATGTGGCACCGAATGCCAATCCGCTTCTGGGGCCTTTCCAAATCTGACCGAATCCGACCTAAGTTCTTTCTAGCCATTGAGGCGAGGAATCGAAAGCAACATATATCGATATATATTATCTAATTAATAAATATTAGTAACGCTCCGATAGATCTGCGAATTACAGTAGAGACTAAATTCTATAAGGAAAAAATGTCTTTTTTTCCTTGTATATATTTTTAGAAAAATAATAAGTGCCATTAAAAGAAACTATATTTTGCTTTATTCTTTCTCTGCAATAATAGCCATTGTGATCTAACTTTAAATATCGTTGAACGCGCGTGCATGGCAACAAGAAATAATCAGCAGAAACGTAATTTGTTGAAAGAACTACTTTCGATGTAATCAGTGATCTTGGTGAAAATAAACTCGGCGATCCGGTCAAAGGTCCAGCCGCAATTTCGCGTCGCGCGACACATCGCATCATCAGCGTGTCGTGTGTGGTTGACGTCCCGTTACGTCGCCATTAGAGCCCAGGCGCGTATGTTGCGTGAGTTGCGTGAGCGAGTGAATAGACGAAAGGTGATCAGGAGGAAGAGAGTAAGAGAGGAACGAGAGAGAAAGAGTGAGAAAGAGAAAGAGAGAGAGAGAGAGAGAAAGAGAGGGAAAAAGAGAGAGAGAGAGGGAGAAGAGAGGAAGGAGAGAAGGATCGAATGAGAGAAGGAGATGGTACTTAGTTATTTTGCTCGTGCGCGCTTGTGGGATTGGGTGTGGAGTCGTATGCGCGTCGGCTGGTACGGACAGGTACCAAATGCCACAAGGTCAAAACTCACAATATACAGCCTGGTGCGCGCGATTCCCTCCACTTTTTCAGCATGGAGAACTTCAAGGACTACCGCGATACGAGAAAGAAGAAGAGAGAGAGAGGGATTACTTGGCGGACTACGTCGCGCATCGTTGTAATGAATTTGTTTTTATTGTTGACACATTTCTCCATGTTGCGCAGTATAACTTCCGCAATTGAGATCGTGCAATATCGACCACGAAATCTCTTGCACGCTTTTTACCTTATACAAATATGTGCCATACATCTTTTGATAAGACTGATAACTTGGAAAAAAAAGAATATAAAAAATAAAATTTTTACGATTAAATTGCAATGATTCTTTTTTCGAGAAATTCTAGTCGTAAGCAAATTTCTGTAGGATTTTGATATTGCAACACGGTTATAATTATTGCAAAAAATATAACGAAGTCGCAGCCGGTTCAGTTTGAGGATAATTAAAAACCTATAGATATTTCAATGGCACTTCTCATCGGAAAGTAATATCGATGCCCGGTAGGGAACATGACGTCAGGAGATTTTAATGCCGGGTCATTATAACCGGCGCGGTTATTTTCGTAGAACGTTTAACCGCGTGTCGCGCACTATTGCGGTTTGAGATCGCTAATTCTACAAGTTTCTAAATTAATGTTGCATTTATCTTTTTTTTATATATACACGAATAGAGATATTGCAAAAAAAAAATAATAATTAAAGAGTACATAACAATTTTAATAAGGATCCTTGCATAAAATAATAATTAAAGAATACATTTTTTACAAAAACATTTTAATAAGGACCCTACATATACAAGAAAGTATATTCTCAGTCTTTACTCCGTGAGAAAATGTAAAAATAAAAATACTCTCATAAATGCAAGTATTTTTAATTTAAGAATGTGTAATATTTTCAATATCGACGTTTTTTTTTTTTTTTAAGTTAAATGAATCAACGTTTTATCCTTCAAAATTGACTGATGTTGAAAGTACTGCGTTCACCGTCAAGATATTAATAATCTCCGTTATCTGCGTTTTTTGCGTTGAATGATTAATCACAAAATCCATGTCTCTACTACATATATTTATTATATATATCCTATAACGTGTTTTTTCATCTTCTAATAATGACAATGTCTCTTTTGTCATCTGCTAACGGAGAAAATGCGTGTGGTTCAAGTCTTTGCTGAAACAGTATAATTTCTAATGAAACGTACAACAAGCTTTGACAATAGGTTTGTTTTTTCCCCCGAACTGGATGCGCTAGTTCACAGTCTATCTTTTTCTTTCTAATATGGATAAAAAAAAGATAGATTATATTAACTGTGGTCTAAAATAGTAGCCAGCAATCCCGATCTTATTTAAAGACAAAATAGATAAAGACAAAGATAGTAAATTATTTCTATAATTTGATCCTTAATTTTGTGTAAATGTATATTTTGATAATCTAACGCAAGCGGATAAGCGACATAAAGCTTATCTGTATATTTTTTCTTCTTCTATTATTGCTGTCTCACTTTTATATTCACTTTTCTGCCACTTAGACAACGAAGGCGCTGTTAATCTCTGTTACATAATGAAATCATCGATTAACAGTCTGTGATTTATATAATCAAAGATCTGGAGCTATGGCGGCATCAAAATCAAATGCAGCAATTTCAAGAGACTTAATGTTAAAAGCTAAATAGAATTTAAAAAAGTCATGTTGATTGATATTTATATTTAATGATTTTTACAGCAAATTTGTAAAAGTTTTTTTTAATATCTTTTACACATTTGTGTAAAAACACAAACATGAGCTTCAAACAAACTTTGCAACCGCGTGAGTATTGTAATACTTAATAATGAGTTATATACTAATTTAATTTTTTTTGTAATATAATAATTGGTTACTACAAATAATACTAAAAGAATATATATATAATTTAATACTAAAAGAATATATATATATAGATAATACTAAAAGAATATATATATATAATTTTAATCAGCTGGTGAGCGAGCATTGAAAGCATGGTCTCTAATCAGGAAAGCCATTAAATTGAAAATAAAAGTAAATAAAATGTATTGTAAAGTGCAAATTAATTTATTAAAAATTATATAAAAAACATTATCTCTCTTTCAGATTCCAAAATATCAAAATACTTACCGACTTGAGTCTTTTAATCCTTTTCAATGCGAGGTTGTCGACAAAATCTTGAGGGAAGTAATGCAAAATTATTTAAGTGGTTTGAAATATCATCCTCAAGTTTGTTTAAATACTTGTCAGAAGATATCGAATGAAGTACGCGATAAAATTTGCAGGAAGAATTATGATCGGTGATTTCTCTTTGTTAAATATTTGTGTATACTTTAGCCGCACATATGCTGTATAAAAAAAAAAAGTAATTTCTAAGATACTTCAATTTTTTGTATATAATTCTTACAGTTCATAATTACTGCTGTTCTCAGATACAAGATTGTAGTTATCATTTCGATTGTTCAGAAGTTAGGCCAAAATGTTCAGATCAATTTTGGCAAATTATGGGACATTCACAGAGACACGTACTCAACCCATGTGATCGAGACTCAAGACTTAGCCGCGATGGGCCTGGTCGTAGGAATTTATTACGAATAAAAACGTTTTGAGAAGATCGAAAATTTTGCGAATACCGAAATTTCTACGACACTCTAATGTTTTGAAGTTAAATAAAAATAAAAAAAGGTTGAATGATTTATACAAAAAACAAATCACGTGTTTCACGTTTTCTTTATTGTTATTAAATTAATATATATTGTTCGTATATATATATTTATATATTTATATATTTATACGTGTGTATGTATATAACAGCGACAAGTACAATGTATAGTTATGATTATTAATAATAATTGTAATAATCGAAGGGCACCGATGACTATAGTAAAAACGGAGAGCAAGGTATTTAACTCTCGTAATAATATCAAAACCGGCAATTATAATAATAGTTAATGATGATGTGATGACGAGGTAAGAATAAGAATGAATAACGATAATAATAACTTCGACGGGCACTAGAAAATCAACAAAATAATATAATTTAACAGTCCTCTATATTCCCTTAAAGTCCGTTCTTAATATTTATATCGCACTTTTTTTTATAGATACAGGGATACAGAAAAATAATACCGCGCGGCCGTGGTGGAATGTACTTAAGTTGTATATCACTGTAGAGTCACAATTAGAATGGTTATATAAAACTATTTGGTTTTGTTAGTTAGAAAGTAATGTAATGGAAAACAAATAATTGTTTTTACTTTGAAATTTGCGTAGTTTTTTTACATTTCTTTGCATTTATTTCTCATTATGATCAAATATTTTTTTCCATTAACATTCTAATTGTCACTCCGTGTATGTATATATGTATGCAGTATCCATATATATACACACACACATAATATTTATATAAAAAGAGGCGCGATGACCTTAATTAATTACAAGCCAGCGCCGCCGCGCCGGCACCTCATTTTATTTACACCGCAAAAATTAAGCGAATTAAAAAAAAGTCTGACCTAAATTCGTTATGCGAAATCGAATCGCTAATCTTCGAAATCAGTTTGATAGGAAAATAATATACAACTTCTTTCTTTCTTTCTTTCGACGGTTGCGTAATTTTCTTAAAAGGCAAAATTCTTGAAAACTTTCTACAAGTCTACATTTTAGAGTTGCAAAAATTACTTGGCATTTAATTTGTTCTCTTTTTTTTTAGTGCTATCTCATCTACATATATAGACAGAAATAGAAAAAACTTTTAAAAACTTTGTCGTATTAACATTCTATGTAGTTAATGAATTACTATTGCGTGTAGAGTATATCAGTAAAAGAGTGAGAGAGAGAGAGAGAGAGAGAGGGAGAGAGCGAGAGAGAAAGAGAGAGAAGAAAAAAGAATGGGAAAGAAAAAACAGATCACACGATAAGCTATGCAATAATTTATAATTCTTGTCGTGACAAATTGTAAAATGACAAAAGAGAATAACACACAAGACACGTGTCGAATCGATTAATATTTCGACAGAACAGATAAACCTTCTTGATTAAATAATTGAAAAAAAAAAAAAAAAAAAACTGACTTGTGGCTGCTAAAAGATTTTGATTCTTGATTTCGAAAATTAGGAGTTGTTTCGCAAAAGAGAATCTCCATGAATCCTTCTGAATTCGCCTATCTTTCACGGGGTCTCTTTTTATAATAATTAGGATTAATTGTGGCTTTACTTACGATCCTACCTGCCGATCAATTTTACACGCACGAGCTGCACTATGTAGATCCTTGGTCCGTTTTCGACGCATACGTTTATTTACAAGGGTTTGCACGCGCGCGCGCGCCTGCAGCGGCGGCGATGATTCGCCGCGTCGCACAAAAACAGCGAGCCAACCGCGCGAACATCGAGATCACATTTGCAAACTAATTTTCCTCCTCTGTTGTTATCTACAGATATAAAAGAAGAAAATTATACAACATAATAAATATAATAACTGCAATATATATTATATTACATAATAATGTGGTTTTTTTTTTTAATATATAAATATAGAGGACACGTGTACATATATAAATTTTCTTCTATAATTCAAATAATTCGATTGACTGAAAAACTGAGTTGGTCGCGCAATTTGCTCGCGATTTTTCGCTTCTACAACAATCATAATTGGAATGAAATCGCCCTCTCCTCTCGCACTCGCCTCCACGAGGAGAGCGAGACATTCCACCTCGCCGTGATCGGTATGGAATTATCGAAAGTTTTTCTCAATTTATTTTTTTTTTTTTTTATCTCCATCGCACGTGTACGTGTACGTGTGTATATACGATTGTTCATATATTTGTGTATATACTGTTCTTGTGTAATTGTGTGCGTGTTGCATGCTAGTAGGTTTTTTTTTGTATATGACACATTTACAATAATAACAATACGTTGTTCGACGATTCACCTTAACCCGCGTTTATGTATGTATATTTATATTTATATATTTATAGATATAATCCGAAAAAAAGTTTAATATGGCGATGTGGGTCACTCCAAACATACACGTGCTCTTTCACATGCCGCGTGTGACGACATACGTCGAACACTTACATACATACGCACGCACGCACTCATCCTCTTGCTCTCTTTTTTTCCCTCTTTCTCTCTCTCTCTTTTTCTCTCTTTCTTCTCTCTCTCTCTTCGTTCGATCATCAGTTGTATATCACAAATTTTCCAAATGTATATTTTGGATTGATGCGAGCAAATGCAATAACAATCATAATAATCGATAAGATGGCGCTTGCAATTGGCATTTACTGTAAAATTACGTTTTTTTTTTTTTTTCACGCACATTTATAATTGCGTAAATATTTGACGAAATATCGTCGCGGATGTTTTATATTGCTAGAGATGTCATGTTAAAATGTTATATTTTTAAAATAAGTATAATATAGAATATACAATATATATGTGAATATGTAAATATAAAAACACACAAATTATACAAAACAATTGTGTGACGAATTATTTTTTTTAAGTAGTTTAATCACAAATTTGCTTTTAGGTGTTTCACTTTTGCAGTTGCATTTTCTCTCAAAATCCTCTTATATAATTGAAATTGAAAGTTAGTATAACAAAATTTGGTGGATGCTTTCCAAGAGTTGGTGGTGTCACAGCCAAGTACGATTTCGTAGATTTATAAATTTAAATTTAACATATAGTTTTTACAGCAATGTAGAATACAGCGCGAATATTAACCAATAACGAATATTAACAAAATAGAAGTTATAAATTATGCATGTATATCGAATATAAAATAGAAATTGAAACCGGTATATGTATGTATTTTTAAGAGACAGTTTTTGTCCGTGCTGTATATATTGAAAAAAAAAAAAAAAAAAAATGATTTCATTATCGTGAATAATAAATAACGATATAGCGTAGGAATCTGACGTCGTTTCTTCTTTTCTAACAAAAAGTTATAACGGTTTCAATTCCTACAATATAAAATCAAAGTATCTCGCGTGTATTATATCTCTTCCTTCCCTTGTCTCCTCTTTGCTTTTTCTTCACATTCTCTTACATTTTCGCAAATATATATTTACAATGTACAGATTTAATTTCGTAATTGATTAAGAATTCTGATATTCGCACGTTCCTCTCTCTCTCTCTCTCTTTCTCTCTCTCTCTCTCGTTCTCACGTCGTTATAAAAATTGATTCATTTCGCCTTAAATCGTTAACACTTTCCTTCCGCCTCCTTTACCTCGGACTTCCCCTTTCCTCCTATCCTTGATAAGAAGTTCCAGCTTTTGGATACCAATCAGATATCTCGATAGCTATTATTTATCTCGCAATATTACACATATATTCTGCACTTTGTACTACATTTCATATTTAAACTTTCGTAATCTTTGGTATATTTACTCAATATTGTAAAAATTTTAATTTTCAATTAAAATGTGTAACAGATTATATTGTGATTAAAATTATTAACATCACACTCGTAATGTTCTATTGTATTATTGTAAAATATTGAAATATTTATTTTTTAAAAATCGATACCTACTTTTATATGTTATCACGTTAAAAATACCACAATGAAGATAAATGATTTTCCACTCGATAAAATGAAAACAAGCGTGTCCCTTAATTTTTTTTTCTTCCGCTCTCTTCACTACTATATACCAGATTTCCTTAAAATAGAAAGAGAAGGAACATCTTACAAATGCTTATAGTGAGCGAGTTACCGATCGGTATCCAAACAGCAAACATCCCTCGATCGTCCTTGTAGAAAGGCTCGCGCGGCCATCGCGGTGCTACGAAAAATATCTCCAAGGTCAAGCCATCACAGACAATAGTTCCGGATGTCGGAGGTGCGGGGGACTATATCGTGCAGAGACGAAAGACGTGCGCACTTTCAAGGTTCTCCCTAAAGTTAGCTTACTAAGGTCGTTCTTACAATGGTAACAAGACTCGATCCTATTTACATTTGCCCCTCCTCGTTTCCCCTTTGTCTCATTATTAACATCCGGAGAGGTTTGGATGCTTTCGCGCCAAATTTCACCGCGGGATTTCTAAATAATCCATGAAAGCATCCATCCGTTATCATTGCGGGACAATTTAAAATTCAATATTTACACACCGTCGGCGATTCAGAGTCCTCAAGGCTCTCTCAAGGCCCGGTCAGCTCACATCGGGAGCTGTTTCACTACACTTGGATTTTAATAATGTGTTAAGGCATCGTCGTGCGTCGACGAACACAGTTCCTTACTGACGTTCGTTGGCAGTAGCAAAAATGTCGGTCGGGATCCATCACCTTCACCCGCTCGATTCAGGCACTATCGAACCCCCATGTCCCCCGAACGCGCTGTGATATCGCTCTTATACGAAATAATACTGACCATTCGCGATTTAAACTGATCGTTGATCTCCTCGAAGAGTTCGGAAAAAAATCCCGGAAACTTCGAAAAACATCGGCTTCAGAAAAATTTCGAGAAGCTCGGTAATTTTAATTGTTTCACATGTGGAAGCGCAGTCGTTAAAATACATAACAGCATAATTATTTTGAAAAGAAATATTCTTTCCAATATTTGCTTCAGCTTCAACAAAAATAATCTCTGTGTGATTTTTTTCCTAATTAGCTCCGAGATACATTTCTTCTTTGTACACTTTTTTCGCTTGAAATCAAAGAAAACACCAGTCGACCACCATCTTCTTTGATCGATCGATTTACGGATGCGGTTTCGGGAGTCAGCGAGAATAAATATTGCCGGAACAAGCGCGACGAACGGCGGATTGTAGTAGTGATGCGCGCGATGTAATCGGGGGACGATTTTGCTCTCGACTGTGAACCACAGCCCCGTGTGTCATACTGGTTCCTCCCTCTTGAAATTGATGTTCTGGGAGGCGCAGAAGTCACGGGTGAACGGGACGCAGTTGAACAGTTTACACACCTCACACTCGTATACTGGCACATTATAAAAGAGGGCAAGCAGCAAGGCAAACAGGCCCACAATTAGGACTAGGCAGATCCAGATAAGCAGGATCTTTCGTCTGCGATCGTAGTGGCCGAATGAGATAAACGGCATCAGCGCGTAGGCCGCCAGGAAGCCGAATATGAAGCCGAACAGATGCGCGTAATTGTCCACCCACGGCAATATACCCAGCGCCAACAGTCCAATCAGAATCAGAATCAGCTTGGAGAGCGCGCGACGCGGATACTTGAGCATCGGCCAGCAATGCAGCACTTCGACCATCAGTGTAGCCAGCAGCGCAAAATGCGCACCCGCTGGACCGACCTGCGAACGAAACAATAGTGCGATTCATAAATTATATTCAACTTTTTTTTACATTATCGTTGCTAGAAACTATTTTGGAAATGAAAAAAACTTGCCTCTGCTCTATAAGGGACAAAAATCGCGCTAGCCAGATTCCCAGCGAAAGCACCAATAAAGTAAATCAGAGCGATACGCAAAGATCCCGTCAGCTTTTCCAAATCCCTCATCAGAAAATATTGGATGAGCAACGTAATTGCTAAATGGACGATTCTGCAATATCGAGTCGGTGTAATAAACACAAATTAAGACTTCATTTTCTTGAAATTAATACAAGACAGATATAGTTTTGTTAAAGTTTTTCTACATAGACACACACAAATAAAGTGGTTGATTCGTTTCTGAGCGAAATCGTTTTTTTAATTGAACAATTACCCAGCGTGAAGAAAGATAGTGGTAAATAGTCTGTAGAACTGATCCGGCCATTCGGGATGAAGAAACGGTATCATTCCGCAGACGTCATGAAGACACTCCACTTGCGAGCACAACGACGCCTCCTCGTGAAAGTAACCATGAACAAAGTCGCAATACTCCTTTGTTGTGATCCGACACATCCCGTGAATTCCGATACAACACGGATGTCCGATCACCTCGCATACCATGTGCTCCGCCATTTTGTCCTTATAACGACCGACAGGAAAGTTGCCGTTGCCTCGCTGACTCCCATTTCTGTCAAGAATCGTTCCATTTTATTTTGCACACATTTACATTAAAAAACAATTTCAATTAATGTCCTAATATCGTATCAAGCAATGAGTTACAACAAGAGTCGTTTCAAGTTCCAGTTTATACCTGAAACGTTGGCTAAAAGGATTGGTTTTGCGACATATCGGCCACTTGGTGATGTCGTCTGGCCATTCATAGGGCGCGATGCTCGCCGGTGCGTCGCAGAACTTCGGGTCCAGTCCGCAAACGGATCCACTGATACGGCCGCCAGGTCCGCTGTCGCCAGGTCCCCACTTCTTCCAAGTTGAAATTGTATTCTGCCAAGTTCGATGATCGCAATTAAGCGTACTGCTTTTGAAAGATTAATTTTTCCAAGTATACTTGCGTGCAAAAAAAGTAACATGCATAAACGATACACATTATACTCGGTTTAAGTTTTTTTTTTTTTCTTATAAAAAATATGAAAATCAATTGTAAAAAGTAAAAATATCACGTAAGTTACCGTAGCGGTGGATCTCAATCCTCGAACCTATTTTTTTGGCGCGCATGAGGAAAAACATTATTTATTATTAACGTGCGAACGTGATCGTCTCTGCGGATGAGTTTTAATAAATAAGAACGTCTCGAAAAACAAAGTCAGAAATCTTACAGAGCAGTCCGCTTTGCTGGATTGAACGCAGCCGGAATCGTCGTTTCTTATACAGCAGGCTGTGTCTCGTTCTCTTTCCCTCCAGACGTCGATCTCCTTCAAAATCTTGATGTCACGACGCATACACGGCGCGAACTTGGCGCCAAGATGAATCAAATCCGCAGCTCTAGGTCCCAACCAGAAGTTCGCCGGTTCCTGATAATCGACTTGTTGCAATGACAGACTCGTCACAAGAACCTTGAACACAATTCAATTTGTTTTTTTTTTTTTTGCTCGTATTTTAACATTGATATTATTGGAATATATTTTACAATAAAAAATGCTGTTTTTATATTTACCAATCCCGATCGATGGCTGAGATCCATTCCAACAGGACCGAATCCGTAACAAGCCAGTGATATTATCAAGATCAACACCTGCACAGTGGTGATCCAGTATGTGAAGTACGGTCGATGATCCTCGAAATCGTCCAACTGCTTCTGTATGTCCGGTTTCTGTGCGATGCTTTTCCGAAAAGATCGCCTGTGAATTAAAAAGAAGAGAAAAAACAATTATTTTAATATCTAATCTCAAATCTGTGTTCCTTGGTATTTTATTTACATGACATACATACAATATGTGTAATGTTGAGATTTATGTGTGGAGTTTATTTTCATTAAAAAAAATTTCATACTTTTAAATAAAACTTTTAAATATACCCGAAGAAACGACCGACGATGCCCATCCCGTATCGTCGCCGATTGCTGTTGTCAAAAACACGATCGATCGTGCTGCGGGCGATCCTCGTGGCCCCGGTTATGTCCCTTCGCAGAGTCACCCCTTCTTCCTGCGACACCCTCGTATTCTCCGTCGGAGGTGGTATATCATACTTCGACCTGTTTCAACATTATATTTTTTATAATCTCTTCTTTGTTTACACATATTTTTGCACATTTGCACTTGGAATCAATTCTCACCTGGAAACATAGTGGTCCCTCATTACCAAGCGGGATCGTCTAGCTGCGAGCGGTCCATCAGTCGTTGTTCTATCATCTTTTTGCTGCGAAAATCTGTGAAAAGGAAAAACGTTCATTTATATTTTGAAATAAAAAACTCTTCACTTCTCTTTCAAAAAGTTATTCAGAATTTAACTTCGCAATTAAAATTTTTATTATCTACTAATTAACATTGCACGGGATTTGAATTTTACATGAAAAGTTTTTCTTATATATAATTCTTACCCAACTAATTCCTCCGAAGTAATTCTCTCACGATCCTGCGTGTCGAGAATATCCGCGACCTTGGCAGGGACCTCTTCGTCTTTGACCAATCCGCTGGAGGCTTGATCGATTTGCGTTTGAGATTGTTGAGACGACGGCGGCGGCGGCGGTGGTAGAGGTGGTGAAGGCGGCGGCGGTCTTTCGAAAAAGGATTCGTCCTCGTCCTGGCCGCTGTCGGGATATGCTCCTTCGGTTCTTGACAGATACGCAATCACGCTCGGCGGGAAGCTGCGCGATTCCGGACGCGGAAGCGAACGCGCGCGAGGACGTTGTCTCGTCATTGACTGAAAGTATATATTAAAAAACCAATACGTTTTATTTTCCTAACAAAAACTCCGATACTCCGATCAATTGAAATCTCTCTCTCTCTCTCTCTTTCACATTTTTCTATCTTTTAACGGAAAACTTTAAACCGGATAATCCATATATAAGAGATATAATATTTGAATGAATAATTTTTAATATCCTGGATGATGAAAAAAATTTTATTGGAAAAGAGCAAAGAGTCTTTTATTGCACAAAATTAAATGTTTCAGTAATGATTAAAGAACGAAGTTAAAAATCGACGTTTCCTTAAATTTCCGACAAACACTGATTGTATCACACTCTTCCCCTCCTTTTGTTACGTTTTCGACACTACCAATCAACTCGTCGGAACAGCACACGCGCGCGGCTACTGCCGCGATCGGTTAGCGCCCGCTACTATCTTGACTATACTAGCTAGTAGTGAGTGCAAATCATTTGGCAGCCTCCGTGTTTGACCATGCACTTTCCGTTACCCCTTCGAAACTTCGTAAAACTTGCTACGTGTTAAATGGTAATTTAAGTTGCCAACTTCCACCAATATTGTTTCCTCGGCCATCGTGGCCTTTAGCTAACGTCTTCGTTGATCTAGTTCCGTGCGTATAAACTGTGTCCAGATACAATCAGCAAGACTTTAATGCGCTTTTCTACAAGTTTCTCGAAAATCAACTTTTTCTCGACGAAAAACTTTTGGAAAACAGACGACTGATTGACTTATCTCTCTATTTTGAAATTTCAACATACAAAATCAGAGTTGTTTTTTTCCCGTGTGATAAAACTGAAAAAATGTTCGCGTAAAAGTGAAAATTTTTTAACTATTTAGAAATGTTAAACTCGCGGCGAGAGTACGAAATCACATTATTGGATAACGTCGAAATATTGTGCGGTTCTGTTACAGAGAGAGAGAGGATTTTAATCAACTGTATATCGAGAAAGTCGAGAGCACATCCATTTTTGCAAAGCAACCGGCAAATATTTTTCAAAATACGTCATTTAATTGCGAGATAGCGGCGATTAACGATCGAGAAGCGGGGCGGTATAAAATTCGATCGGGAAGCATGATACGCGGCAATAAACAGGGCGAATGTTAATCCCCCACGCAAGCAGCGCTCGCGAAATTAAATTCTGTTAGATTTTACAGAGAGAGGCACCGTTTTTGACATTTTTCTGCTTTAACGAGCACGCTCCATCGTCACGTTGGAAAACATTAGAGATTTTTGCGTTCACATTTTTTAATCCGCGTTAAAAGTTTCAATTCGACAATAAAAATTTATTTTGTGTCAGATCATTTTGTCACGACGATGTGTTGTCCAAAGAGACAAGTGTGTTATTGTTTCGTGTAAAGATATACACGTGTATCTCCGTTGTTATTTATCGATCGCGCGATTCTGCAAAGTCGTCGGAAGCATTGAGGAAATTGTCTATGAAAATATGATTTATAATAATGATTAGCAATAATTATCGAAAGTTTATTAATTCCGCACTGTGTTATTATTGGATTACATTATTGGCTCGCCATTAATATCGATCATCGGTGATGGCAAACCTGTAATGAGTGTTTTCACGGGAAAATCCATCGTTTCATGAGCATATAATTAAACGCAAATCTGCATAATCCGGCTTAACGACTGCGCTGGCGGATGCAACCACGCAGTTGCAACTTCCGGATGGCTGCGGCTAATGCACCGACTACGGCGATTTTACCGAGCCTACTGAGAGAGAAAGAGAGCGAGAAAGAGAGAGAGAGAGAGAAAGGAAGAAGAAAGGGGGTAGGAACGAGGGAAGTAGGCTGAAATTTAATAGGACACATTGATATCTCTATTCGTTTTACATGGAACATTAACGCGATGCGCACCAGTAGCGCTAATATTTTCTCAAAAAATATATGAGCGAGAGGAAAATACTTTAGACGCAAAGTAGTTGCACCTTGTGTATTTATTTTTTTTAGAGAAGAGAGAGTTTTAAAATTCTTTTTCTTTCATAAAAATACGTCAACGTGTGTGTACCGTTCCCGTCAAATTAGAAAAAAAAATTAAAAAAAAAGGAAGAAATAAAAGAGGCACACGTCGTGTCCATCGCGCGTAACAAAGTGGTTTAAATCTTAGGGCGGCGTAACGAAGGGAGTAGATTACCCTTTATAACTCGTTTCGCTCGGCCTTTATGCGTCCCGCTGAAGGGACGTAATTAATAGCGGCCGACACGCGCGTTTCACGCGAGTTTTTATTAAAATTTACATCTTTCGAGCGCGCGCTCGCGCGTGCGCAGCTCCCGCGTAATAAGAAGACAGCGGCGCCATTTATTAGCGGAAGTCTAATAAACTCCTCTACCCTTTCCGGTTTATTAACTAACAGCGTTGCTTTAATCAAAAACGCAAACACGCGGCTACACACACTGCAGACTACATTTCTTTTTTTTTTTTCGAAACTGGCTTTGCGTCGGCCGTCCGCGGCGGTCGCGCGCATACATACGTCACGGGAAGAGAGAGATGTAGATCTTGCATTACTGAACTTTGTAACAACGCTGAATGTTTGAAATTCTCAGAGCGGAATCTGCGCATTACATGAAATAATTGTAAAGTGGATGTAAACTTTCTCCGTTCGACTTGCGAAAATTGAGTTGGTGGTGGTGTGCTGCTTGCGATACTTTCTGGGTCGCGCGTGAAATATTTTAACGGAACCATTTTGTATATACGAAAGATACACCTTCCTACGGCGGTGTACGTACATGTTCTAGTCGTTGTCCGGCTTGTTCCGAGTTAAGTGGTAAGTTTTGAAATATGACCGACCGCCTGCAGCACGGAGAGGATACACACCGGGCGCATGTGTATGTGTGTGTGTGTGTATGTGTGTGTGTGTGTGTGCAGCTTGCCGCTCGATGTATTCATACGGTTAATCGAAACGCATTATTCATCGGAAAACATATAAAGCATATATATAAAAAAAAATAATTCTGTAACGCAAAACATTGTTACTTGAAATGGCTTTCGAAATGTCCAGAATCCGGATTTGTTCGCGCGCTCTCATGTTTACATTATTATTAAATATTACTATATTACTATTAAATATTACTGTATTATATTATTATGTGTTATTATATTATAATTATACTATTATTACGTTATTCGTCTATATTATTTTGCTTATTATTTCAACCATTTAAATATTTATACATGTATGATACAAAACTCTTGCAATATTCAAGTTTATTTTGTTATAGTCTTCTTTATGTTTGTAATAATGTTTCTCTCAAAACAACATTTGAACAAATTTTTCTTTAATTTATCAATGTTCAAGTATATTAATTTGTTATATCTATATATATATTTTACATGACACATCAACTTTGAGAAAATATTGTTTCATTATAATTCGAAATATGTATAAATACCTCGAAGAGGAAATTTTATTTTAGTTTAGCAAACGTTTGGCAACCGGAAATAAGCTCCTCTAACATAAACTAAAACCAAAGTTACGTAATGAGGTGACGGGAGAGTCGCTCCACTTTTATGACTGGAATTACTCCACTTCGGAATAAGCTAAACTTTAAAGTTAATCTAACGTAATTCAGTGAGGGTGGTTTACACCCCGGCCGGTTAATTACGTCACATAATTTGTGATTCTAATAAATTTACTGGAAAATACATCAAGTTTTTATATTGACTTCTGATAATTGCGCATCACATTTTGCTAGTCAGACGAAACACTAAACAAATATTTTTTTTTCACATAAAATTACTGAAAAAAAATTGAAAATAGGACAAATGACTTACCTCGACGATATAATGAAGACCCGATAATGTCATTCTCGCCACGGAATCTTTTCTTCGTACTGGTTGCTGCCATCGTCTGAGTGTAACGTCCTGTAAATATTCAGTAAACACATATTTCTTTTACAGTTTTTTAAATTTCTTTTTCTATTCAATTTTTTCTCTGCTTTTTCTTGTTACAAAAACTATCGCTTGAACAACATCATCGCCAAATTTACTAACAACTCGTTAATTTGATTTTAATCACGTTAAAAAACATACATCTCTTCGCGAGATAAAATGCACTCACTTCCGGTGTTTCCGTTGTGTCCGGCACGTCTCTGGTGATGTCCGGATCCGGCGGTCTGTGTTCCGGTACCAGTGCGCCATATTTTCTCGACGCCATACGTCGCCGTCTGTCCAGCCATCTCTGTTTCTCCACAGCCTCAGATTCTTCATCAACTCCAAAGAATTGCGCTGTCTCACGTTTAATGTAACTGCAAGATATTTTTCACAAGAAACAAATAATATATAATCTTTCATAAAGAATAAAAAATGTGTAAAATAAAAATTGTCCAATGTCTTTACTCACTTCCGAATAGCTTCGCTCCGGCTTTGATTCCTCCTCAGTCTTGGTCGTTGTGCTGCCGAAGCGCTCGCGCAGGAACTGCTAACTTGAACAATCGGTCGTGGTGCGCTCGGTGCGGACACGCTCCTGGCGATGCCGACGCTTCCGGTATTGACGGCGACGTCGGTGGTGGCCAACGGCACAGTCGTCGACGCTGTCGTCACCGGTGTCGTCGTCGTCGTGGCTGATGATGTCGCGACACCCACGGGATACATCCCGATGCTCTGCGTCGTGTCTCCCTCGCCGGTCATTGACGACACCGTCGAGGTGCCCGTCGTGCCAGAACTCGGTGAAGGTTGCCTGACAACAAAACGAGCAAATGTTAGATTATTAAAAATGTAGTTTTTTTTTTTTTTATTTTACTATATACTATTGTATTATTTATTCTATTTTATTATTTATTCTATTTTATTATTTTATGAAAAATTAGTTTTATTCACAAATGTTTACAGTCGAACATCTCTATTGTGACTTTCCATATTGTTAAATTTATCTCTCTATTGTGAATAAATACCGAGAGAATATTTATATATGGAGATTTTCATTTTTGCTTGACGTAAATATACTGAACAAATAATACTTACAAATAATACTAAATTTCACTGAAAATTGTAGTACAGGAAAACAGAATTTGAAATTTGTTATTTTATTCAAAATTTAGAGAGAAACCGTCATGCAAGTGATACAACACAGAAAAATTGTTGCAAATCTGATTGTGTGAGAGGCGAAAAAAAATCTCTAATTAGTAAAGGAATTTATAATCGCCAAAATGATTTACGCAAATAAAAAGAGAGAAATTTGCGCGACGCTACAATTTTTCTCACGGCGGCAGCTGCATCTTTCGCCTGCATTCATTTAGGCAGAGTGCAGCACGGGAGGGAGTCAATATCGCGTGCATCAGGAGTAATTAATGGCGAGCCGTCCTTTCTTAAACGCGCTGTTGCCATTTTGCATCAGACGCACGTGCCACGTTAATAATTTTCCGCGAAATTTTCCCCTGGGAAATTCGTAAATTTTTTTTTATCCGCCGCTGCTAATTTAAAATAAATTGCACGGAAAATATGGTCGGAAGTTAATCAGCTTTGACATACGTGAGACGATAGGTATATCCAAAACGACGTCAAAACTTTGCACAGAAAATTCGCTCATCGAAAAATAAGTAACGGATACATACGAACCTTTATTACATATGTCAGAAGGCGTGTGAAAGGAAAGGGATTTGGAGGAAATAGATATTCCCTTGGCCATAAAATTAGATAAAGGATATTGCTAAGGCCACTGCAAACACAACGGCCTCACATAGAAAATGACGCGTCTAAGCAAAATTCACTGAAAGAATGCGTCATGCTGTGAAACTCTCATGAATAGATGAAGCGAGATAGAATTGAGGAGTTCTCCCGAGTTCGCGCGGCTTTCGCGCAACTTGGATGTACACACAAGCGAGCGCATCAAAGAAGCAATATTTCTAGGTGCTAGATTTTAAATGTACTCGGGAAGAAGCTTATAGAGACTCGACTATTGAAAATTCATTCTTGAAAAAATGTGTGATTTATTGATATACGGTGGAATGAAAGATCCTAATAGTTTTTTTTTTTAATTTAACATACGTTTAGCCGACATTATTTGTATAATTATTTGTATATTATTTATATTTAATTATTTGACGGTAATGTTTTATTGATTTGACGGAGTCAAATTATCAAGTATTTGTTAGGTTAAATTTTATTTAAATTTTATATATGCTCCGTTTGGTAACTTTACATTTGTCAACTGTAACACTTGGTTAAGGAAATTCTCTCTTGTCGAAGAAATACTTCAATCAAAACGAGTCATAACATGAGAAGATCCGTGTCGTGCCACGTGAAACCATCTCGGTCTCTGTACTCGCAGGCACTTAAGCCAAACTGTTTAAGTTTTAACATAAATACACCATCTTGTTTCCGCTTGTTTCGTCGTCGCTCGCTTCGGCCGGAAATTAAAGGCGCCGTGACGACCGCTCGTCTAATTTAATAACCTGTTTCGATTTGATAAGGCACCGCTGTACATAGGTCGGTAATAAATTACATGTCAAATAAATCAGCAATAAGTGAGAACAAATATACGGGATGTTTCAAAGTAAACGCACTGCAATCGGAAATTTTAATCTCTTTCAAAGTTTTTCTTTCGCTCACACATTTTTTGCTCGTTCCTTGCGAAAAGTAAGAAACAATATTCGCAGAAGACTTAATTAATCTAATTTCACAGAACATGGCACATTACTTGTGTAAGTACTTTTAATTCTCTTGAACGTGTTCCAGTTACAGTTTCTTCAGTTGTGTTGACCTCTGAACAATGTTTAAGATTAAAAATATATACTTGATAATATGAAATAAATTGTCCATCTCTCTCGTTTATTCGACACTTGACGATCGATTCTAACTTTACGAGATGTAACTCGCGAAAGAAATTCTCTCGCATCTCCCAAAAATGCAGAACAGCCGCAGTAACACCTGCACTGCGTAGAACGATACTGCAATGATGTAAAGGGCAAAACAATAAGCGCAAAAAAAATTAGAGAAAATTCATATTTATAATTACGTTGTCGAATCGTTCCGTCTTTCTTCTCCTTTTATGCTAATAATTTTGCAGATAATTTATCGAACTTCAGAAGAGTTGCGCGATCCTAAGCATTTACGATCTCTAAGGGGGAAGAAAAGTTTATACAATAAATTGTTTTCTTCGCTTTTTTAAGTCACGAAAGAAAAAAAAACCAGATATAATTCACTTCGATTCTAAAATAGAGAACACGCCACTGTTTGATAAACCGATACTCGTTGAAAGTGAGCTGACATAAGCCGCAAATAATAATTACGATCGCGTGCAAGCCGGTTATTAGAAGGAGTGCCGGAAACTGCTTCGGTTACTAATGATTATGTTCGTTTTTCGAGTACCACTCCCTAATGGCGGCACTTAATCAGAGCCACTTCGCGAATCCACTAGACTCATCAGAACAATCGATCGAGTTCGCGATATTTGAAAAACTTAAACGATGCACGGACGTTGGCAATTGCAACTTCGTGTGTGTTGTTGTGCGGTTAAACTTGAAATTTGTAAAATTTTATTTAAATTCTTTTATATACAGAAACGTATCAAATAAAAAAAACACGATTTAGCAAATTTGTGTCATTCAAAGTTTTTTCTCGTGTTCGGTCATCCTTGCAAATAAAAATTTTGATACAGGTAAGGATAAAGAAATTACTGTTGCGAAGCAAGATATAAATAACGAAGAAACACACACACATAGCCTTTATAAAGCTCATACTTCTTAGAGAAAGAGAAAAAGAGAGAGAAAAAGAGAAAGAGAGAGAAAGAGAGAGAGAGAACGTTTTACCGCATAAAATTCTCAAAATCATTGAGTAGATTCTTCAGGATTATCTAAAACCGCTGTTTTTCGTGCGCATTGAACAACAAAATAGCCATGCGCGCGTGCAAGAACGAGCATACGACTTTCTATGTAAGGCCAGTTTCTCTCTCTTTCTTTCTCTCTCTCTTGCTGATGTTAACGACCCCGGCGATTGACCCGCGTGACCTGACCTAGAGTCCGCTTCGCGTGCGCTCGGCGTCACTTCGGTCGTCTTCGACGCGCCGCGGTGGCACAACGCGCTTGCACCGCTCGATACACCAGCACTCGCCTCGGATACTAGTCAGTACTGGCTAGTCAGTATTTGCTCGACTAGCGAACTGTGAGAAAGCAATTTGATCATCGTTCATTTTAATGAACACTTTTTTCTTTTTTTTTTGTCATGATGCCGGTGGAACTTTGATCATCATTTTTAATTACGTTAAACGACATGTTTTGCGACCAGTGAGACGTTTCACAAGGATTTTAGAATGTCGCCAAATAAAGCGATATTCAAGAATTTTATACACGCACACAACAATTTTTATATTAAGTATTACACGTATATAGAGAAAAAAAATGAATACACATGCAGAGAGAAAACTGTGTGTTTTTTTGGCTACGGTGTTTTGTTTTTTAGATGTATTTGAATATTTTTCAAAAAGAAGTTTTTTTTTCACACAGACATGAAAAATGTACTAATACTGATTGCTGAAAGTTTTCTAATTGTGATTCAAAGAGTGACAAGAAGCCGTCCGCGCGCGGCAGAGAATCAGTTTTTTTTTTTTTATATACGAACGTCTCGACAAACGGCTGTATACAGAGAATATAGAGAGAATAATTGGTGATTACACCCAGAGCTAAATCTGTTCAATTATCCCGCATACGATCGTTGCATTAACGGTCGCATAGCATTAGTTTCTCATACACAAGATCCATTGTAAACGTCAGGCATTTGTAATAAATGCTCCCCGCCATTAATTAATATAATGCCAGAGGCAATCGCCGCGTTATATCGCTTACGCTTTGTATCGATCCTAATTTCCAAAATGCATTCAATCACAGATGTTGTTTAGCTTAACGCAGTCCGCGCCCTACGCGCAATTTGCGACAAAACTTCGAATTCACATTGTTGTCATGCGGTTATGATGTACAACAATAGCCATTGTCATGTCGATCTATTAACGATGTTTCCATATATGTACATATATATATATATCAAATAGATATTTCTGTCGAGACGAGACAAAAAAAATATATATATGTACACATATATGTATATATATTGCAGCGTGATTTAAATCTGATCGAAGAAAGCGATTAAATCGATTCAAGCCTAACTCGAGGAATTAAATTAGCTCGCTAGTGCGGCTCTCGGAGAAGATCGCGGTTATTAATCGACGGTCAATTGTAAGACAATTTGCGCGAGCGTTTGCCGAGTATTTGCATGACGTCGAGATATTTGGCGGCTGAACAAAAGATATTACACGTGATTTACATCAGCAGGATCACACAGAACACACTTCGTACACATCTACGAAGACTCTGTGTAGACAATCGGATGTAATAAAAATGTTATCTCGCTTTCTCTCTCTCTCTCTCGAAACTAATTTTTAAATCCACCGACAGTGTGTGTTTTTTATTTTTTTTTTTTTTTTTTTTTAATGCTTAAGGCACATTCTGTAAGGTAGTCTTTATTCACCTCGGCGAAAGCGGTTTCGGAGATGAATTATGAAATTACTCATAGATTGTATACGAGACGTCCACACGGATAAAGAGAAGGTCGGGTTTGAAGATCCACGACCCGGGACTTCCCGCAGGTTCACAAAGTCCCAACCCTCGCCGGAGTTCCTCGTAGTTTCGCGTTTAAATATGGCACTAATGATGAATATTTAAGGAACGGACTCTCTCGTCCGCATCACGTGCGGGGAATCTGCTTTTGAATTCTGTCGTAGTACAATGAACCTTTCTTTGAGCGAATTTCTGTACATTCTCCACTTTATCTTTCTGATCCTTTTCTTGGGGAAAAAAAAAAATCCGTGCGTTTTAATTCAATCGCACGAAAGTGTGTTTCGTTTTGTACATATAAATGTAACTTCTCGAGAGAATGTTTCCGTGCTTGTTCAACGATCGAAATAGCTCACGAAAACTTGTGGCTGACCGTCGCAAAGGGCGAAAAACCGCCGTAAACAAGAGCAAAGGAGAGGCGTATTTGCGAAAAATAGCTCTTGGCTGTGACGTGGAAACTATCCTCGATCCATTAAGGTCCCGGAAAAGCACAGGATAGAGATACAAAGAATGGTTTAAGTATCTTCTCTTGCTTCTTCGAACATCTTGTTTAGTTTTTTCCCGTCACGGAATCAAGCGATAAAAAGAACAAAAATTACCACAGTGATTTTAATCAGAAATAAATAAACGAAAAAATAGAAAAAAATTAAATCCGTGTTCTTTAATAAGAAACAAGTTTCAGGAAAGTAATAAATAGAAGGTGTACGCAAATAATTATACTTCTTAAATTGTTCAATATCACTTTGTCTCATGGAAAATCAAGTCGATCGATCGCAAATCTCCGATCCAAACCGCAATCATGCAAGAGCGCGATTTCCGCGGCAAGACTTGTGGCTGTATTCCTCCGAATACCATACGCCGTTCGCATAGTTTCGCACGAATGGTATTCGATAATTAGCCACCGGCCGACTCGAGTTTCTCACACAGGAATCATGTACTTTAATTCCGATTTCTAATACTCTTTGCTGTGGGTTACTGCTCGAGTGATTTTACATGGATTTTCCATCGTTTTTTTTTTAATATTCTTAATTAATTTGTTTGTTTGATTTAGTATTTATTTGCTGCGATATTTATTTGTCGCGATGCTAATTATGTAAATTAAAAACTAGTTTGAGAAGTTTCTCATACTTTGTTTTTTTATAACACACAGAAATGAAGATGTTTAAAAAAAAACTGTCGTTTATAAATAATATCTACATTATCTCAATTACTAATATAATATAACTTAATAATATAACTTAATGATATATAACTTTATATAAAAAATGACATTTTATTTTTAAATAACGCTACTTTGGTTATGATGTTTCTACACTTACATTGTGAAGATAAAAGTAAGGTCAAATCGTATAGCTTCAATTGCAGGTGTTTGAGCTGGCAAATATATGACGTAATACATCCGCGTGTGTCGGATTTCTTTTCACAGATAAACTACCTGAGTCTGTCCACGTTTTTTTAGTTACATTAGAACACGAAGCATGAGTTCACAAAACACTAAAGCATACAATTAGAATACGTAATGCGAATGAATATTTTTAAAATATCACGAATTAAAACTTTGTTTGTTAAATTTTTACTCTATAAAAATATAATTTTTTTAATTTTAGTTTATATAATAAAGTTTTAATTACATTCATCAAAACTAAATGTGTGTTATTTATCTATAAATACGTTATCCACACACGATTTTACGCTGTCTGTAATTCTCACGTTATTGCACGTACGTCATGTTTAAAAATAAGTTTCACGTTTGTTTTTGCTACACTTTTTTGTATAAAAATATATTCTTTTTAGTGCAATTATTTAATAATTAAATTTTAATTAGAGCCATCAAAACTAAACGTGTGCTGTTTTTCTATAAGTATGATTTTACGTCTGTAATTCTCTTATTGCGTGTGCAGAAAAAAATCGTCATGTTTAAAAATAGGTTTCACACGTAAAAATCGAATTATCATCAAACATCGAAAATAGATATTGTATCAGTGTACTGATAAGATTATTTTAATACACTTTTGCCTTTTATATAGAATTTATAAGATTATAAAAGACATTTATAGAAAAAAAAAAATTTGTTGCATAAAATAAAAACTTGTCTTCTTTTATAAAAACAGCTAAATAAATTGAATAAATACACAAATAGAAAACAAATCATTTAAATATTATTTTAGATTTGTTTATAGGAACAAACAAAAAGTTTTTTTTGTTGTTTTGTTGATTGTTTCTTTGTTTTTTCGCTCACCATGTTAAATATTTGAAATGCACAGTTTTTTTTTTTTTTATATATCACAGTAAATATGTAACATTTTATTCACGTTTTATAAGAAATCTTTCAGGTTTTCGCAAACTCAAAGCAACATTTTCACAACGATCTATAACGAACGCTCCGTAAATACTTATAGACAGACGCACACTGAACGCGGAGAGACGCATGCGTTGCATCACGTTGCACGTGGCGACTGCGACGGCAGTGGCCGTCAGCTGTTGGGCGTCAACAAGTCCCGCTAGGAAACGGTGGGAGTCTGTGACTAACGGTCAAATGGAAATGCCATTCTCACTTGAAAGTCAACGGAGACAAAGGAAATATATTTTGCAACTGCCAATAATTCATCTTTAAGAAAAATAGAGTTAAAAAAATCTAACATATTTTTCTTTCATTGAAAAAATTAAAACTAAAATTAAAAAATACGACAAATAACAAAATATAATAATCAAATGTATAATTGTTCTTCATTACTTCGGAGAAAGTGAATTAATTATCCCCGAATGTTGAGATATTACATTTTTGTGCTTATCTTCATATAGTCTTGCGAATGTAAAATTTCTCGTTGTTATATCTGAACATTTTTACGATAATTGATTTTGCAGGTATGGTAATGCACGAACAACAATATTTTAAGAGGATATAGGCGATGATGTGGATCTAATAGGATTCTGCGGTTTGCATAGATTCCGCTAAAAGCCTCCAAACCAGCGGACTACTATTGCATTATCTAACGCATTATTATGCAAGCACAACCTCTTGATTAGATCCCCATAAAACTTTATTATTTATCACACCATTATTAACACTTCGTAATTGTTGCGCTGCAGTTTCATCATTAAATAAATAATTCATAACATAAATTATGTTAAATAACTTTCAACAATTTTACAAACAAAATTTAACTCACACATATCGTATTTGTACTAACAAATTACACGCAAAATTCAATCACAAACATTAAACCGCGCATCAGCAAATTGATCGCGTCTGCTATAATTTAGGCTCGGCGACGTGTCATGCAGTTGCCAGTATTGTTAGCCGATACGAACGTGATCATTTGGATCCTTGCGGCCGGAAGTGACTGCATCTTCCGCATCCTGGACATGCCAGAATGTGTTCACGGGCGTGATAATGGCAGAATCAGCGATAGAAGCGAACGCCTCAGAACGCATTTGCTTATGATCGCAGACGAGAGACTACGGAAATATCCATTTCCGAATATTCTCTTGTTTTCCCGGAATGTTACATCGTCGATACGATAATCGACACATTTGTAAAGAAATAAATAGAGAAAGAATTTTTTTTAAAATTAAATTTATACGTGAGGGATATACGCGCGTATAAAAGCACACGTCGAGATATTGATCGCGACCATTCCAAGATGAGTCGCGTCAATACAGTTTTTGTCGTTGCGTTTGTTTTAAGGGTCAGAACGCGACCGTAAAAGCAAAAAGACAGAAATAGGGATAAAATCCTTAATTGAAACTGACTACGAGAGACCGGTGTCAGATTGTAATTTCATACGCGACGCGGCCGGTTAAACTCTCACGGGCACACAACATAATTACCAAAGTTGCTTGGCAGTTCGTGGAACATCGTCGGAGCAAGACAATGCTCGGATACTCCTCTTACGACTTCCGGGTCATTCGTCTGTTCCCTCTCGAACTGCCGCGAAACCACCGTGAGCGAATTATACCGAGGAGCGTTTTGAATTAATTCGAATGAAATTTGTATGAAGGTAAGCGCGCATACAAAAGCAGAACGGTTCACTTATCGGACGAGACGCGACGGTTAGCAACACACGTCTCATTGATTATTAGCGGCGTTTTATTCTCGATGCGCGGTTTTAAGATTTCAGAAGGAATGACATTTTCAACGCGAGAGACGAAATTTAGAACGCAAGGCCACCTTCGTCGGCGCAAAAGCCGAAAATCTCGAAAAGGTCGTCGCTTTCGTCGCGGCAATCAGGTTAATGGAGTATCTCGCGGTCTGTTTTATTTTCTTCCGCAGCCTTTCACCCCGAGAATGGGTTTTAACGACCATTAGAGAGTATTCTTAATGCCGCGCTGCGGGATGTATCAGTTTATATCCATTTAATGACATAACTTTGGTAATCATGACCCTCAAACGATCTGTTTTATGAGACGACGTATTTTTAAAATGCATTGAGATATAAATCACGTGTCATACGAAATTTTAATTCGTAATGTAATTTCGTTTAAAGAAATGCGTGTGACATATATTTTTACTAAACATTTAGAAGATAAAATTGAATTTTGACAAAATCGACAAAGAGAAGTTGAAGTTACGTTATGGCAAAATCTCTCGAGCACATTCATCGTTCCCGTAACATTTGCATCAATTAAGCTGCTCTTCTATTTCCTAATTTGCAAGCTTTATTATATACAAGTGCATTATTGCACGAGCATGTGCATTACGGAAGCTATATTCTCTCCATCCATTCTCTCTCGCTCCTCTCTATTAATAATGTATTCAAGTCGTACACGCAAGTTCTCCACACACACGTCACGACTTGTTTTCCTCTGTTTTTAAGCTCGCGATCGATTTTTTCACGATCTTTTCACCGCGCAATTTGCATGAAAATTTTTGAGAAAATCTAAAGCTATTTTTTTTTTTTTTTAATTAAAAACTACAAAAAAATCTGTTTTGATGAAAAGTAGAATTTTTAACATCTCTCTATTTTACGCAACAGTTTTTATGTACTTCTGAATGAATACACAAACAATTGAATTCAAAGGATCCCGAACGTCTTCAAATCTCGCCGAACAATCTCTCTCTCTTTCTCTCTACCTAAGGCATTGAAAACAAGCACTTACCATGAAGAAGTTTGTGTGGGTATTGTCGGTAGTGTCCCAGGTGGTAGAGATCTTCTCATCTGGCAACAGGCTCTGCCATTGGCAGACGTGTCTCCGCAACAGGCAGCCGCGCACACGTGACGGCCGACGCCGGTCGTCGTTGTAGTCGTCGCGACGCCAACACTACCAGCGGCAGCACCGAATTCAACCGCGGACGCGCGCACTTTCGGCCGCAGCAACGGTGACGTTGTAAATGTTTCGCGTTGATTAGACGCCGTGCTGCTGGAACTGCTTGATCCGGGACTACCGCCCAATCGGCCGGATGTCGCGTACGCGAATCCGCGAAATCGCAAATGCGTTTGATACAGGTAACCGGCGGGCGGTTGTGGCCGATAGTGATGATGAAAACCAAGGTCTCGACGCATGTACGGATCGTCACTCGCGGGCACGTATCGTTCGGTGGGCGTATGCGCCGTAGGATACCTGTCCACGTATCTGGACAATTATAAAAAAAAAAAAAAACTATCGTTTTTTGACAGTCGCTAACGGAGTGACAAGCTATTCTACAGAGGGTGTATAAAAACGAGCGTTCAAGTCCGGGAGCGATTAAACTTGAAAATCAGTTTCATTAAAAATAAACTGGCTTACAGACGTGCAAGTGGTTTTTTTTTTTTTTTTTTTTTTTTTGAGAAAACGGAAGATCTTTCTGCGAAAATATAAAGTGAACAACGAAAAAGTCATGTTGTATATTTGTGTTCTTACCTTTCTGGATAGAGCACTTCGGGAGGCGGTTGGGGTACATAGCGTTCGACGGGGGTGTGCGCAGTAGGAGGTACGTAACTCACGCTGGACGAGCAATAGGTGCGGTCGGTGGAAGACGTCGCGATAGCGGTCGCGCAGGAGATGGGCGTTATACGGCCAGTGAACCTGTCCTTGGGCTTCGGAAGGGATAGATATTTATCAGCGACGCTGCGTACAGGTGAATAACGATCGGCAGAAGTGTGAAAACGATCCGTTCCGGAAGAAGGCTGAAATCGGTCGCTGTTACTGCCGGAGGCGAAGTATCGATCCTGGCCGAACTGGTGGTCGTTTTGGCCCCCGACCGAGTAACGATCGTAGCTGCTCTGGACCGACTTCGATACCAGATATTTGTCAACGGTGCTTTTCGCGTTTTGATACCCGCCGCCGACGTTCCGATGAACATTCGACGACGCTTCGGGTGTCGGCGAAATTGACGCGAAACGTTCGTTCGACGTCGACGATTGGCTACTGGTAGTCGTTGTATATGGCGAGTGATACCTGGTGCCTGAATTTCGAGAGGAAAAGAGTTTCGATAGAAGAGATTACGAAGCGAATTTTATAGAACACGAAGAGTGTCAAAAAAAAAAACTTGAGCGTTGAATCACGAGCTCAAGGTTTTAGAAAGTAAATACACTTACCAGTCTCCGAAGAGGAGGATGGCGAGGAGGACGTCGGCGCCAACAAACGTTCGGTAGAAGAAACGATGTAACGCGGATTTTCGGTACTGGACAATCGGCCGTCGTGCGCGGGTGATGATCCAGCCAAGTATCGATCGTTAGAGAACCTGTCGGTCGACCGCGATTGGCTGCAACGTTGCAAAGCGAGGTCGTTGAAACGATCATTACTGGAGGAATATCGCGTTTGATTGCTAACGTCCAGGAAGCCGGGATATCGAGCAAAATCGGTGGACGCCGGAGAGCCGATGGAACGATCGGTATATTTCTGACAAACTGTCTCGACACCTCTATCGGTGTAGAGACGTCGGTTTTGCTCTGTATTGCTGGAAGAAGTTTGAAGAGACGAGCGGTCTGACGATGAATAGCGCTGATGCGCGCTCTCAGAATTAGTCGAATTCGAGAGGAACCTGCGGATCCCGAGAAAATAGAAAAATGAGCGGACACATAAAAAGAATTTTCACGGCAATTAAAGCAAAAATAAAAGCAAGATCATTATTAATGTTATATATCTATTTTACATACGAGAGAGATGTTACATCTTAAAATATATTTTAAAATACATTTTTAAAAAATATTACAATACAATATTTAAAATAATATTGTTGCTTTGAAAAACATTGACATTTTTTACTGCACGATACTGTAACACGTGCAAAAATTATTCAAACGACCGAAGATTTCGGAGATTTAACGATCTGTAAAATCTATTATTCAAAAGTAATTGATTTGAGATTGAACTCACCTCTCGGTAGTCGTCGCCATCGTTGAATACCTCTCATGATGCGCTGTCGCAGGTGGATCTTGTCGGGAATACCTATCGTGTATGGGTGATTCGCCCAAATACCTTTCCGACTTGCTGGCGAATCTCTCTGGCACCGGAGCATGTATCGGTGAGGAAGATAGTATCCTATCCGCGGAAATGGCAACATAGCGAGTATCCTTAGCGTAGACCCCGGTACTTTGAAGTCCCGTTTGAAGTCCCGCTTGAAGCTGTCCCAAGACTGGCGAGGAGCCGGAAAGCAAACGGTCCGGTCCAGCGTAGCGTTGTTGATCCTTGGCATCAGCTGTAGCTGATTGTTGACTGGCCAGCAGCCGTTCGGCGGAGGCGAAGCGCTCCTTTGCGGACATCGGCGATGGTGAAGCGCCGCCGTCGGTACTATACTTCGGCCCCGGAGAATTGGGGGGCAGAATACGATCAGTAACAGAATAATCAGCCAGGCTCTGGCTCGAGGCATACTTCTCGCTTGGACTGGGCGATAATGGCGGTGGCGGGACGAAGCGGTCGTTCGCCGGTGCCGGCGACGGTGGCGACGGGAACGTCTCCGAGGCGAAAGGGCCCGCGAGCGCGTTCGCGTTCGCGTACTCGCCGGATCCGCTTGTAACCGTTTTGTCGAAGCGTAGCTCCGGGTTGCAGACCGAGTAACGATCGTTCGGAGGCCGTTGCTCGCCGTGCAGAACGCTGAGGTCGTTGAATCGCGCGAAACGATCGGCACCGGTGTGCACACTGCCGCCGTAGTGTCCCTGCAAAGGGGACTGACCGAACGTCGAAGTCTGATAATGTCCGAAACGCTCGCAACCCGACTGCCGACCGTCAGCGCTGCACTTGGTGAAGTCAACCGAGGACTTCTCGGATGACTTCTCGTGCCGCTCGGCCATTCGAGCACCGACATGGGCCTGATCGCCACTTTGAGTCTGGTAATGTCCGAAACGCTCGCAACTCGGTTGACGACCCTCTCCACACTTCGAGTAATCGATACAAGACTTGTCCACGATCTTCTCGTGCCGCTCATCCACCATTCGGCCCCCCACATGCTCGTTGACGCTTTGGGCCTGATAATGTCCAAAACGTTCACAACTTGGCGGATGATTCTCTCCGCATTTGGAGAAGTCGATCGTGGACTTCTCCGCGGATTTCTCGTGCCTGTCGACCATTCGGGCCCCAACATGCTCGCTGCTTTGTGTCTGCTGATCCGATTGATAACGCTCCTGGCCCAGCTGGTTCGCGGCGCTTGTGACCGCACGCAAATCCGACGATTGCTGCTGCTGCTGCTGCTGCTGCTGCTGCTGCTGCTGCTGCTGCTGCTGCGTTTGCTGCTTAAAGCAGTCATTGGGGTTGCTGAGTCCAATCTGGGTCCCCACACTGCCGGAACTTGGCGCGCTCGATCCGGGAAGCGGGGATGACGAGGACCCGTACTGAGCGATCGGATGTTGGTGCAACAGAAGACGATCTCTTCGGCCATAGTCGTCGTCTGTCGGCATCCTGGTGGCCCGGGGCCCACTGTCAGGACATCTGCAAAGAAAACGGTCACCCCAAACTCAAAACTATGCGAAAAATATATAAATTGTTATAATATTATAGGATTATGCAATTAACATACTTTTTTCACAGATACATAAAAAACACGGAATATTCTGCTCTTTACATTTATGAATGCCACTTCCGCTTCGAATAACCTGCCGATTTCTTCGACGTAGTGTCAAAAGAATCCGGAAAGCCATCGTTCGGCGGAACTGAATGTGACAAATGGTTTTATCTGGCAGTTGAGGAGCATACGTGCACGCGACACATGTCACGCGTGCTCGCGTTTCCTGTTCCGACGAAATTTTTCGGAAATCATGTTTCAAAAGACGTTGTCGCCTGTTCGAAGGCGAACGACGCCGGGCGTCCCTAAGCCGAAACAATGCCTGAAATATTTATGACGAAAACTTTTCTAGGATCACATCAAAGGTGAGAATAGCATTTCCAATTTTATATAGACAGAAAAAAATTTCAGCGTTATTTATTTATCAATACAAATTTATTTATTAATACAAAAAGCGATTATTAATACAAAACGTTTTAACATATGAAAAAATAAAAATTCATCAAATATGTATTAATTTTCTTTTAAATTTGAACTTTTTTAATAATAAAAATCTGGCGCAATTTGAACCATATGTTAAATCCAGTGTGAATTCGACGCAAATCGCGTTTTAGGTTGGATCGCTTATCGTACTTGCATCGCGACTTTTGTAATAGCGACTCGATTCGTCGAGATGGCGATTAATTCGTCCAACGACGAGCCGAGAGTTTCATCTTTTACGAGCATCTTTCAACGAGTCTTGGCACGAGCCTGCCTGGCACCGTTCCAAATTAAATCCATTTAAATACCTGGTTGCCACCGCTTTCTCTTACTCCCGCGCTCTTATCGATATAACTTCCTAATTTCCGATTTTACGAGATTTGCCACATTCTCACAAATAGCTGCGTTATTACACCGCGCACGTTCGATTTAAAATTGCAAGATGTGTAAACGTTACACTTTTCCCCTTACAGTTACATTAACTACTTAACAGTTTCCAACTACAATTGGTTTACTTAACTATGAAACAAAAAATTTTGTAAATAGATTTTTGAGTTTACTCGTTTACTATTTTTATATTTTCTGTTATTTCCCTATTCGAGAAACAGAAAGTAAAAGTAGTGGAATGTTAATGGGATGAAGTTTCTCTTATTTCAAATTGTATAATTCAATTGACTCGCCAATAAATTAGGAAAATAAACGAAGCTTACAAATAAGTATTTGATATTTCAAAGTGTTACGTTCGAATTAATACGCGGAAGAAAAATGTTGAAGTGAGTGACATTAATACGAAGCCTTTATAAATCATTTCATTTTCCTTTCTCTGCCCACGCTCTTTCTCTCTATTCCGAAGGGTGAGCATCCCCGAGAACGAGGTCGGTATTTATGAAAAATGATAAATAATAAGAAAGTAAAATAAGCCGACGCATTTCGTGCCACGCCCTACTCAAATTGTCTGTTTTCCAATGTTGTCTGATATCGTTCACCAATCTTTCTCCGTCGCTTCCGGCCGACTCTTCTTTCGATTTTGCCTCGTCTGCAATAAATTTACGTTTGCCATTCGTCGGGTCCGAACCTTTCTGCAAATATTTCCCTCTGTTTTCCCCGAATGTTGCTTCCATTTTTCTTCGATCGGCAAAAATGCGAAAAAATATCAAACAAAAATATCAAAGCGTTTAAAAAAGTACAATAGAACAGCGCTCCGAAAAACTGTTTCTATATTGCTTTTAAAAGTGTCTTCCTCGTCTTCTTCTAAAGTCAGGTAAATGTCGCATCTCATCTCTTAATATTTGATACGCCATATATGTGTATACGCAATACTTTTTCGTTATAAGAAAACAAAACTTGTGTGTAAACCGGTCTGTGACTGGTATCCCGCAAATGGGTCGTAGAGCGCGCAAGGCTATAAAATCTTATTTGTCGGTCGAGTAATGGCGACACTATGTAAGACGTGAATAACCCATATCGTACGTTCTCCGCTAATCCGTCTTCGGGAAACGACTATACAACACAACCACCATTATTTGATTTTATTTATCACATTTGATAATTTTATCAGCCTAGCTCTCTATTTTAATTACGAAAATGGAGAGAAAGCTAAATTTCTTTACGATATAGATAATGTTTGCTCGTTCACTCTCGTTTCTATATTAATTCATTAATGAGGTAATTGTTTGAGGCTACGCGTGAGAAATATTAAACTTTAAATCACAAAATTCAGTTTTTTTTTCTCGATTAAAACAAATTTTCATTATTACAAAATGTCAAATCTTCGCAAATATACAAGTTTTACAGACTCTACCAATGGTTCACGTTTATACACGAATACATACGCGATTTTATTGTTATTACTTGCGATCGTAACGTTACAAGGTAAACCAAGCAATAATTAATTATTCACTAGATGATAATTAATTTCGAGTACGTGTGTACGTGGCGCAAGTAGCGTACACACGTCGCGTGCAGCGACAGCAATAGCAAAAGTAAAGAGTACACACAAACGCAGTCGCTATAGTTGATCAGTTAGACGTTGCACTATTGTAGGATAATCGATACGCGATTGCTATTACATACCGTGAAACCAGTGATACTCAAATTTCACGAGATATCGATGACTTTGCGCGCGCTCACGCTAAACGCGTGGTGTTGAATGAGCAAACTTTTGTTTGAAATTTAGATTTAGCGCTTTCGTGCGTGTAATTTCCTAATCATGAAAGAGAAATAATCACTATAATAAATGTATATTTTTTTTTTTACATGTTCGATTTTATATGCGAGATAGAGCGCCATGGGCGGGCTGCTTAATATTAGTACAAATATGTGTCAGCGCTAATTACAAAACTGGAAGCAGGTCCTGTGTCTTCTGTAAGATCGTGTCTTACGTAGCCGCAGCAGCGCTCGTTAACTGGCTGCCACGCGATATTGTTGGCTCAGTATACATACGTATACACACGTTTCCCCGCATGTATGTTAGCACACACAGCCGCGCGTCTACGTGTTCGGACACAGGAAACTACGTCGAAAGTTATATCTTACAGTTACGGCACGTTATCGCGAAACTTGTATAACGTAACGTACATACAGGATAGAAACTGCACGCCATGTGTGTACCGGGTGTCGGGGTAATAATCGACCGTCATTCCACGTCGATGCCTCGAGCAATAATCGACCTTTCAATTAAATTCTGTTGTCGCGCCCTATGAATCTTATTTTGTCAGCACACGGGATGATAACATAATGCGTGTCGAAAATTAAAATATTACACGTTATATTTTAATGACAATTGTTTTTTTTTTAAATAAATTTGCCAAATCAAAAAATTATTTAAAATAAATTGAGAAATTTAATTTGCATTGTCGTAAAACAGAAATTTCTCTTGAAAGAGAAAGAAAACAAATCATACAGAATAAGAGACAATTTTTTCTTTAAAAAAAGAAATAACATTTTTGAACTTTGTAATATTAATTATATAACATATGTAAAATAATATATACATATATATACATGCAAAGAACTTTTCTCACACAAAATTACTATAACTTTTATCGCGTCTTTTTTTTAGCAAATCCGCATTCGGATTTTACGAAAACAATGTATATAGGTGCGTATATACCGAAGATAAATTTGCCATAATCTTGTGTTTACCCGTCACTTCGATATCTCGAGAGAAGTGACGAGACATTCGAAGAGGCTTTCCTTTCAGGGGTTACCCAAGTGTGTCAAATTAACCATGCCGCCGGAAGCTACTGAGTTTCGGGCACTACAAACTTCCGCTATAATAAATGTAGAATACGCTGCTAATCCGCATCGGTGGCTTAAGAACAAAGAGACATATCTGTCTACTAATAGCGCGCGTACTGCATTGTGTAAGTAGAATTTAATTTCCAACTGCACGAACGTTTGCTCTTGTTTTCAACGAAGAACGCGTTACCATATTGAAAAGATTAAATTTTTTTTTTAATTTAAATTTTATGTCATCATCAATTTTGCTATGCGTGAAAACTTTCTTTTTACGACCGCAGATTATCGTGATAATAGCAGGCTTTTACATTTTTATGCGCGGGGAATTTTTATGTATATTACCTCGAATTTTATATAAAAAAAAAAAAAAAGAAAAAATTAGAGTATATTGCGATTTTAAAGAAATTTTCTGACAGATAAAGAAACATGTCGCGGTATTCCACGTTGCATTCGCGAAATCTAGCTATTCGGCTACAACGAGCGGGACGTGTCGTTGCTCGGGTCGCCACAGAGGTTGGTAGGTGCTGAACGCTTAGCTTGATATTGATCGACCTTCTCTACCGCCCTACTCCCTTCGCCGCTCGCGTGACCCCTCCAATCCGCCACATCTCCGCGCAAAGCAACGCGCCGAAGTGACGTAACGGCGGAGAGAGGGTAGTGAAATAACCCCTCATTTTTGTCCCGTGCAACCTCCCCTTCGACGTGCGCCGACGGACGTGCAACAACAATTTGTTACTCAAAAAATTGTTCCCCGGAGAAGAACAGATCAGTTTGAACGCACAGGGCGAGTCCACCATTCCGAAGACACGCTCAAAAATTGGTCAGCAACATATGTATCAACCCTGTAAATCCCGGACACTGGTGTCCGAGCGATTCTTGAAAATGAGATATCTTATCTTCTCTATTTAGTGAGAGAATTTCTAAAAAATAAAAACAACTATATCAAAACTAATGTTATTTTTTTTTATATATAGAATGTTGAATGAAACTCCACGAATGTTTACAGAGTGTTTTCAACGTTTTAACAAAAAAAAAAAAAAATCGCGTCAGTCATAAATGTCCAAAGTTTGCAGAAAACGTACCGAAAAAAAAACCATTCACAGAATTACGGTTAAAGATGACATTTGTAAAACACAGGTTTGAAAAACATTGGATAATTTTGAAGATCCTTCTTCTCTACCACGGCAACTCTCTAACAAGCAAGTTTCTATGATCATCGCGAACATAGATTCTCGTCTAGTATGCGAAATACGTTATTTCACATTATTTTCCGAGACCGAATCTGGGAATCACGCTTTATCTGCGCCTCGAGATAAAGCATGCCTTTGACATCGAGGACATAACCCGGACATCAAGAGTACGAACTTGAGTGAGAACGCCGATTACACGGTCGCGCGCAAGTGGACAAGAAGGAATTAATTTTCTCTGATCCATTGACTTTGTTAGGCTATCGCGATCGATGCAAAATTCGATATCTTCGATTTTTTATTTATAAACAAAAATAATACACGATTTGAGATTTGAGATTGTCGGATATCTAAAATTCTCTAAACAAAACGTATTTATAATTTTTCAATTGCGGAAAGAGAAAAAAATTTCTAATTCTTCTTTTTATATTATTTGATGTTCTTGTTCAGACAACAAGCAGCACATCTCTTGTATCGCGCGTGACAATAATAATGGCAACAAAAAGTTATTCCCTGTCATGCTTGTAGTGCGACGCCTTAATGAGCGCAATTAATTTGTCTGATTAATGACCGGGAGACAACCATCGCTACCACTCCTTGATTCTGAAACGTCTCTTCCATTTTCCGTCTCTCCTTGTCCGTAATATTATTTATCGTCAGCGGCATATTATATTCCGCGCGATTCATCCGTTACATTTCACGAAAGTGTTTTTGCATTTTTCGACTTAAACTCGCTCACCTCATTTTTTTTAATTGCATTTTCTCATCACATCCAGAACTTTTTATTACACTATTATCGTAACATGAAGTCGCGATAATGTGAAACAAAAAAAAGTTCAAGAAGATAAAATTATGTAACAGAACACAGCTTCTCTTGTAAAAGTATATTTATTCAATCCGGATTCTTTTTTTGCATCTCGTGTATATGTACACGCACCGTGCATATGTGTACGTGCGTACGTACCATATTGAATTGGCCGAGAGAAGAAAAGAACGAGTTGTGTGGAGTTGTTTAGTTAGTTTACCGTCAGTTAAATATACTGTATTCCAGCCTCCATTAAGGAAATGAATTTCCACCCCGCCTCTTCCGATTCCACCCCCCCACCTGCCTGCCCTCCCCGGAAAAACCAGCGGGGTACTTTCCGTCTATTTCCTTACCTCCTCGAGACGCGTAACTTGGAGCTGTCTTGAATCTTTATCAGATAGACAGCTATGTCTACTCTCTGTTCCTCTCATCGACCAATTATTTTCACTAATTAACGATAAGTACCGACCATTATGTTCTTTTTATAATATCGAGTTTGTCAATTGCCATTGATGAAGAAAGATATTGCGATTATTATTTCGAAAACTCTCTTTTTCTCTTAAGCTTTTATTATCTTGAGAAAATTAATCGACATACTTATAAAAATGAAATAACGCGAAAAAGTTTGAGTTCTAAAACAACAACATTTAAAATCTTATATTTTGTATTTTATTTTTATCATGTAACGCTTTTTTTATTATGTAATACAAGAAATTCTTTCGACCAATCTTCGCCAAGCTCTGCATCGAATTATTATACTGTATAACGAAATTCTAATTATACGAACGTTAACAGTATTCAATTACAGAAGTATTTAATATTCAATGTTAACAATTCTCAGAAATGATGTAATCGCTTTCCGAGCGTACTTTGAGAAGTGCATCATGAGGCAGCTTGGTTTTCCACAGAAGTTCTAACATCCGTGATCTCTCCCTTTAGAGGACTGAATGCCTTTGTGGACCTCGACATTCTTCGACAAGTTCGAAAAGTCGCTTGGTGTATACTGGCCGATCTACTTCTGGAACTTCGCGATTCTCATCCCTGAGTACTTGGTGCGGAACAAAAACCGTCTGACCGCTTTAAATCACCGGAGAGAATGTAAAAGTTTTCTCCGAATGCCCATCCCCGCCCGTCGCATTTAGCAACGATAAAATAAAAACCTTGGGAACAATAACAGCTATTTTTGAAAGAACGGAGTTTGATTTTGACGTTTGAAAAAAAAAAAAAAACGTCACGCAAATTCAAATTTCAAAATGCAATTAAACACTGGCGTGTTCAATTTATTTAAACGATTGTTAAATTTTAATGCGTTTACATGCGTGACATTCAAATTTTATTGCATCGCTTTACGATTTGCAACGCGAATTGAGAGATTGTGCACGTATATATATCCGTTCGTAAAATCGCTACAATAAAACGCTCTTTGCACACGTGTCGCGAAAAATCTCTGTGCTTCTCCAAGTCTCTTCGATATCTCTAACCCCGTCTCCATTCCTTCCGCTATTCTCTGCACAAACATCCGCTGGAAAGAGATGATCGATCCTTCTTTGAAGCCACGTGAGTCGTCGTCAGTCTGCACGTGCAAGTCGACATCATATTTTATATTCGCTAAGAAAACTGTCTCGTAAAGAAGATACCGGTACTCTGTATTTTAATATACTGTATTTTTTTTTTTTTTTATTGTAAATGAATTATACATACGCATAAATACCGTAATAATTTTCAATTCTGTGGAAATTAATTTATTCATAATGTGTACAATTTATTTACTTCCGTGTATATGTTAAACTCATCTATTTACATGAAACTGAATCTCTAATCACGCGGAAGACACCTCGAATCAAGATTAGAACAGCCACGCGGATCCTAATCCCGCTCAACTCATTAGTAGATTGAATTTCGAGGTAGTACGGTATAATCGGCAGTAGCTATCGATTACGGGAGACATACGAACCTGTTCTGTTGTTCGTCGACAGTGACGGACGAGAGGGTTGCTGGTCGCCGGCAAGGGGGTTGCTCGCCCTGTCGTGCTCACTAGCCGTCGAACCGCTCGAGAGCGTACAGACGACCCTCCTCCTTTGATCCCTTCGCCAGTCCCGGAACGAGCCCTACGCTCGATTCTCCCGTAGTACGCATGCCAAAGATTCTGCAATCACCAAAAGGCATTCCCTTGTCAATCCGATGCACGCGCTGCGAAACGCTGAGAAAAAAACAAAAATGAAGAGGAAAATTGGAAGGAAGATATAAAGAAAATGTCGCTAAATAAAGTAGGCGATCATAGAGACACTTTGGAAACTATGTTGTTAGGCGACGGTATCGAGGATACGACAACGAGGATGATGAGAGCGACGAGGAAACGACACTTTTCGTTCTGACAACGAGAAGATACCGTAGGTTCCGAGTCGTTTAAAGTTAGACGAAACTTTGATGACCGCGCGTTCCCTTTACCTTCAAATTGACCCGGAAAAGATGGCGGACAGCAAACGAACAAAACAACGAACGAAAAGAGTATACCGAACGAATATATGAAAAATTAAGAAAAAAAAAAAGAAGTCGATGATTCCGCGGAAACGACTTTCGCAAAAATCCGATGTTTAACTATAACGTAAATGCTGGATCTCTGTGCTTTCTTTAAAAAAGAGCAACTTCCGAAAATGTAAATTGGATTTTTTTGCAATTCGATTATTTTTATCGAGAGACCAAATTCGAAACTAAAACAGAATGTTAATGGCAACGTATAAAAAAGAACTTCCGAGTCTTTTACTTTTTAATTTATCAGAAAGTTAGTGTAATCTCCATTTCTGACATCTTCGTTCTCAAATATGATCGCGGTGTGTGCTAAACAACGGCTTCGAAAAAAATTTTGGAATTTTTAACGCTTCGCAACATGTCCCATCCCTCGCAGGATCGCGAAAACAAACCGGAAAGACAAAACGCACTTCGAAAGATAGTCGGATAACGTAAACTCGCCCTCCCTCCCTTGCTCTCGTTTCTTTCTTGCATTTTTCCGAGAAAAAACGACGAACTTCCCTTCCTGTGAGACCAGATATGCCGACTACGAATCCGCGAATCAAACTTTTTAATGGAAAAGCCGGCTCGCTAGAATTATTTTTCGGCAAAAAAGGATGCGTCCCGGGCTTTTCCATCCACTTTGCTCGTCTTTCAGCGACGAGAGCGAAGGAATGTGTGTGTGTGTGTGTGTGCGTATACGTGTGTGATTTACATTGGGACGGTTGTCACACGTCGCCATCTCCAACATCAGAAATATTGCCGATTTTGCGGGAAATGTAGTAGAATATATATGTGCACATATATATACACGTTTTTGAAAACGAATTCTTTTTATTCGAATTTAAAAGTTTTATTAAAAAAAAAAAAAAATGACAAACGGAAAAGAAACGAGAGAGAAACGTAAAAAACTACACGCGGAGAAACTTGAAGAGCGCATACATGCGTTCTCATATGCGGATATTGCGTATATGTGAGTCTATATGAGCGCACGTGAGAGCTTAGCTAACGCGCGTACATGTGTCTCGAAGTGTGTATATATCGATTTTGCGAAAAGGGGTCACCGTCAGTACTTTGCGACATACAACACTAAATCAATTCGGTCGTCGCTATATTTATACTTAAAGTTACAAGTAACGATGCTAGGAGATAGATCGCGAAGAAGAATGACTGAAAATGACACGCTGTCAATCCCCTTATTAAGTCTGTTGCTCGCCTATAAGTCTACATCTCTTTTTCAGGTAAGAAAATGTGTTCTCTCTTCTCAATTTTTTATTCTTGTCGTCATCATCACACGACTCTATATAGTTGATCAGCCGCGAACAAACGCGCGCACGTTTCGTTTGTGTTTGTCGTGTGAAACTTTTCGGACGCAGATTTCCGGCCCAGAACGGTGAAAAATTTCTCCGGCACAGAGAGAAAGAGAGAGAGAGAGGAATGCTTCGGAATTTATGCCCCACTCGCGCCGAGCGCTGGCAATTAATTTCGCGCCCCCGCTTTTCAGAAACGCATTTTGGCTGCACTTTAATGGTGCCACAAATCACCACCGTAATGATCTCGATGCAGAAAGAAGTGCGATCATCGCCACTTGCGTCCTTTTCCTCCCTCTCTCTCCTCCTCCCAGTCTTTCTCCTCCACTCTCCATTCCAATTTTAGTTTCGCCACTGAAGAAGAATCGTCTCATAATCGATCTTTAACTTAGATATATCGTTGTTTTTGTTTTGCAAAAACAACTTTTTTGTCCTCTCTCTCTCTCCCTCTCTCTCTCTCTCTCTCTCTCTCTCTGTATTTTATATAAAAATAATTTTCCAATTATTACATATTTTTAAATTATTTATCCACAACTTACGATTTATTCTCATTCTGTCGACATAGATTGATCTTTTCATTATCAATATGTTTTAAATGCTAACAATAGTTAATATTATTCTCTTGCACGATTTACCATGAAGTACGCAAATTTGTTTTTAATAACAGATTAATACCCCCTCCACGCGCGAGTGTGTATGTGTGCTAAGCTTCGTTAACGACCGGCTGATTAATTGCAATTAATAAAATATCGAGAGGCAAACGAATATTAATGAGGCTGATGGGAATTATATGGTAATTACTTTTACGATGAGATTGCTATTTCGAAACAATTATTATTTGTAGAGCCCTTCATTCATTTTGCGCGATGTATTAAACTAGATATTTGACTATCGTTGATTGATTTGAATCAATATAAAGTTTTTAACACGGAAAAAAACTGACGCAACAATGTAACCGAGAAATACAATATAATGAGTTTGTAAAAAATAACAAAATCGTGTGCGTTACAAAATTACAAAAAAAAAAAACTAATCTAAAAGTACACGCGGGAAACTTTCTTTTAAAACCTCACGAAATTTCTAAAATTAAAATGTTAAAAACTATTAAATATAATAAGAGCATTTTGGGGGAAAAGGAAAATGTTTCTTCTCTTTCTCTCGCTGAGGTCTCCGTGGATTTGCCTCGAGAGACGATTCTCTTCGTCCGTTATGCGAGATGGAAGGAGGTGAAAACGAATGCGATGGCGTGTGCATCACGGGCGGTTTTCATTTTGCGAACTGAATATGATTTGCCGTACGAATGAGCATGTAGGTTAGCGCTTTTCTCAAGTTTTATATACCGATGCATGAGAATGAGATGGGTGCTGCATGGGTTGTGCTACCATACTGCTTCCTGACCCTTTTTCGACCATGCTCTTTCATTCCCCGCCACGCCCCCCCACCTCTCTCTCTCTCTCTCGCGAGAGAGAAATGATAAGCTCAAGTTATCGGCAACTATGTTGCGCTATTCCAGCGTTTTTCTCGTTGAGAGACAGCCCGTCCTTTCGCGACCGTTCTTTAAACTTTAAATTCACTGAAGACTAAAAACCGTTTGTGAGCACAATATATATTATAACATATGTGAAAGACGTATATAAAGTTTGCGATGTTGAAAACTAAATCTTTTTAAATAAAAAAATCTTGCTAATTTTTTCACCGAGCGCATTAACATTTTCTTTTTTTTTTTTTTTTTTAGTCTCTTGTAATTTATGTATATACCGGGGTTAAAACGTTCTCTTTCTAAATACGTACATACGTCTATTATAAGAAAACGGCGTTTCATTCATTCGGCGCTGTTTCTAAAAAAGTTTTTTCGTTTTCAAATGATGGTGATTCGTGAATGCGTGTATCATGAACTTCGGAAACTACTTACGTCTTGAAAAACGGAATGAACCGGCTGCCACGCGTAATCCTTTAGCGAGGGGAAATCAGGGGAAACACTTTCGACGTAGCACTAACTAATCAGCGCACCAATCGATCTCTCACTGACATACAAAAAAACATTTAAAACTACTACTCGGCTCGCCGCTCGGAATCACTCGAACTTCATCGTTTCTTACAATTCCCGACGCCTGTCCGTCTAACGTCCGGCCGTGTCTTCGGAAGAATGTTTACATTTGGCAACTGTTTTTTTCTAACCAAGATCCAATCAGATTCATCCTCCCTTCATCAAGATCCATTGATCATCATCACTCTCCGTTATCCTTCGTCAATTTTCTCCCAATCTTTCCCGCAACTGTTTTCATTACGAATTCGTACGTTGCAATTTTTCTTCTCGTCAAGAAGAACATTACTTAATCGAGAGAATAATTCGTAAATTTTCTCGACAACGAGTTTCTCCGAAGATCAAGAACACTTCCTTTGCGGATGACATTTTTCCAGCCAACAAACTTTACATTTTTCATTTTTTTTATTTTGGATATTTCTTAAATCAAAACACGCCAATTTGTTACTAATAAATCGAAATAATAAATTTCATTCTTTTCCGCGAGACATTTTCACCAACGCAGCGAATTGACGCACTGAACTTTCACAGATGTGTACTTGCCCTCCCTTTGCAAATCCGCAATTTATTTGTCTCCTTGGTGTATGTGTGTGATTAAACATTTGATGTTAATTATATAGGCACATTATTCTTTCCTCTTTTCGTCTCCTCAATAAGAAACCTCAAAACAAAATGTTTGTCCCCATCACCCAAACACAAGTTGTGTCGCACATTTACTCGCTCGAGATATTCGCACACTTTTCCTCGCACTTTTCTATCCTCAGCACAACAATCCTCAGTGTAAACACTGATCGATCCGCACATAGTTTTTGTCTCTCACCATTTCTCTTCTCTCAATGAAAAAAAAAAAAAAAATTCAATCGTTTTCATTAGCTCAATATTTCTCAACGAGTCCATTGATTTTCCATCAATTCTATTCGCACAAAGTACCTCGTTCTCATCCCAAACCCCAGAAACCATGTTGCGTTATCGCAACCCAGTCCGCGTTACTCGCACATCTTTTTCTTCCGAATAAGTTCGGTCGGTTATATATATATATCCGCACCTGCTTTTCTCCTCGTCCCCGAATATAGGGCAGATCCACACACGCTTTTGTTTTTCTCTCAACACCTCCTTGTGTTTCTCAACACAACACACCGATTCACCAAATCGGTTCACCGAATCAACTACTGTCCCATTCTCACAGTATATTCAATCTCAAACGTCTGAACGACTGTCCACCCACTTTTAACGCGGTGATCATCCACGCGTCTTTTCTGTCTCCATAATAGTCGCCACGAAGTTCGCCTGAATACAATGCACTTTTCTTCAATCGATAGGTCCACACTGCTTTTCCCGCATGATATTTCTCATCAACAATCATATTGAAATTGTGTGTCGAATCGATGTTCGCCGCGCACTGCTGATCCGCACCAAAACCCTAAGACACACGTTTTGTTCTTCCTTTAGCGCGTAAATCCACAATGTACGGAGATGATTTCTTCTCTCTTTTTTGTTTTCGAACGAAATTTTTTCAACCAGTTTCCGTCCGAAACACCGTTCGTTGTGTGTTTTAACGTGTCAATTCGTGGCCCTTCATTCTAATATAATTTTCTCTCTACCGAGAAAAATACCGATCACTAGACGGCACAACTTTTCCTTTCGAAGCGACCCAAACCCCACGCCTTTTCTCTCTGGTGGAATTTTCTTCATCGGGTTCCCGCGTTATCACTGTGCGTGAAAGAATTTTTTTTCCGGACAAGGAAAGCACGTTTTTTTTAAATTTTGGGAGGTACGCGAATTCAAACGAACCTTCGGGCGACAAGCGGACAAGGAATTCGAACGGAAGCGACGCGGTAACCCAGTTTCCACAGCGGGAGAGCCGCTCCTCCCGACATGCAGCGCATAAAAATGGCTCCAGTCTCGCTGCGTCGGATATATTTCAGGGTTTTTCCCGACAAAAAAACACTGTGTTTTGGTCCAGCTGATTCCTGTGCGACGTCGCGTCGTCGCGATGCCAATTTCTCTTCAAAAAGCGCTCGCTCTTTCTTGTTTATCGAACGACTTCTATGCGACACTGCGAAGCGGCGAGGAAAGGAGAGGAAGAGATGTGAGGGCGCGAGAGAGGAGAGATCACTTCGTGAGAAAACGTGGCTATAATTTTCGACAAGGTTGGATTTTTTGATGCCTTCGGAAGAGATACAGAATAACCTCCGCTCAACGTCCAAAATGGTGGACGGCACTCCCGAGGGTCGATCCGCGTTATCTCCAAGCTCGAACTCGGTGTTCCGCTCAGCACCGTCTGATGATCCAGCAAGACTTCCGGCGACGCCGCTGACCCGCTCGAATTCTTCCGGAGATAACGTACGCGACGTAAGGGGATCGTTGCATCCCTTGGTCCTCTATCTCCCGACGCAACACAACGTTTCAAAATGGACTTTCCGTATCGCTTCCGCCCCCGCGCGATAACCACTTGCACGCGCGGATGTGCTCGCGCGCGTTCGTACGTTCACACCTTCAAGATAACGTACTCGTCGTTTAGCGTACTCCTACCTATCGTCGGCCGCGCTTAGCGTCGTGGACGAACCTGTAGGACACGACAACGTTGGTAGGATCCTCACCGAGAGCATTCCTGGGAGGGTGGACCGCACATACTGTGCCATCTGGCGAAATCACTCCGAGTCGAACCTCTCGTCATGTCGGACCAACCCCCGAGTCAATAATAGAGCCGACGTATACGGATCACCAAGTCGCCACGTCCACCCGATGTCGCAAATGACGACGTCATTCTTCGAAGGACACACCGAACCGAATATATATTAGGACTCGCGCCTCGTTTACAACCCTCACCCCCGTTTCTTTATTTCCTCTTTCCTCGCTCAAGATCACAATGCAGAGCCAGCTTCCTGAAGGTGTTCGGGCGGCTGCGCGATTTGCACTGAGCGCACCCCCGTATGGGGAAACTAAAAGGGTGCGAGCGATAACAGGAGTGTAACTAGAACTTTTGTTATTTCCCAGAAGTGCTTTGATAATACAACAGTCCTCGTCGTTTCTCTCTCTCTCTCTTTTTTTTTTTTTTTTTTTTTTTTTTTTTAATTTAAATGTTATTCACATCATAATGAAAAAAGTTTCTATGACACAGATACCTGCGAGAATGAAAAAAATAAAGAAAAAGTTCTGATAAGGCACAACTGAGACGCGACATTTTTCTCTAATTACTTTTGCAGTATAATAAAGATTTTTATATATATCTAGTTCTTTTTTCTATTTTTATTCCAAGCCTCAACAAAATAGTACAATTTTTCCGAAGCATTATTTCTACGGTTGATGAAATAATGATCGTGTTGACGGTTCGGCAGTTTGAAATCTCATTTTTTTTCTTGTGACTAAATGTGTAAAAGTTTTTATCACATTTAAGAACTGTTATCTATATTCCGTATTTGCCTTGTTGCGCTCAAATACGAGATAATAATTTCACTTCTAATTATACGCTCCTATCGAAAACACACGAAACCTCAACGGAAGTAAAGCGACACGTCTTCGGTAAAATTAGAGAGTTAGAGAAGTTACTCCATAAACATAAATTTGTGAGTAATAGCCAATTAAGAGTCAAAGGGAGCACGTTTTGTATGAAATTTCTTCATTTATACCGTTTTCAAAAACGCAGCGCAAATGTTTATACGAAAAAATATTAAGTGTGAAGTTGTTTTTTTATAAGAGACATAAACTTCAATAAATAAATGTTTAAAATAGTTTTGCATACATTGTGTGTTACACTAAATAAAGTATATACGACTCATTGAAAATTAAAAGAAAACGTCTATTGCCGCCACGTTGCAATTGCCTCGTTACAATTTCATGTGAAAATAATAAACGATAAAATGGCAACAACACACACATATACAGTTACAAAAGAGCGGTAAAATGCTCATGTGAGATATATTTGCATGCGAGGCAATAAATTTACAAAAGGCCTCAAAAGGAATTTCGGTATTTTCATTAGATAGAGGAACTCGACATGCGCTCGCGATAAGAATATCGTCAATTACTCTACTACGATTTCTAACTAATATTTACCCGCTGCGTGGTATTTTCCCAAAATCAAAAGCTATCATTCGGTATCAGTATTGGCTTTATGCATAAAAAAACCCCGTTCCTTTTTTATAAAAAATTTAATGGCAAAACATCAACTATTAATATTGCCGTTTAAATTTGGATATTAATAAGTACGTACGCACACACACACACACACATGATTGTTATGTATTAAAATGAATTTTATTTTCAAACAAAAAGAATAAGAGATAAAAAAATCATTGTTCTTCAACAAGATTATGTGTGTAATTATATAAAGCTATAATAATATACGTAATGTTTAGACGCGTTTTAACAAATTGATGTAAAAGTTTTGACTCTGCAGTTTTCAAACGCTTTGATTGCATCAAAACTTGTGGTTAAAAAAATATCAGCTTTTTGAAACTTTTCAATTTTGAAGACCTTCGCAATTTTTTTTACAATTCTTATTATTTTGTCCTTGTTATTTTGTAAATACTGGTTAGTTCAAGTTCAAGCGCTCGAATTTTTAGGCTCGACGATAGATCGTCCCTGGAACGTCACTTTTTATAGACTGCTACCAGGCGCAAACACACATATGATGAGTATATCATAGTCACGCGATGATAATGCCATAAATAAGTCGTGTTCTTATCGGAATGTAAATGCATTCACCTCTCGTTGTCTTCCTCGTCTCAAAAGACAACCTCACACTTATTACGAAGGGTCAATTCTTTCGAGAGTCTCTCGGAATACATACTATGCGCCTTACATCCGGCGTGTTTTGTGAAAAGATGTCCAAAGATCCACAGACTTTCGATAATAAAAGGATCACTACCACTTGGCCGCAATGGCTGGCTACTTTCGTGGGTAAGTTAATTAGCTATTTCTATATAAGCGGTGTGAAATAAAATCTTGCGCGTATTTGTATTGATTGTTGCACACAATCCGACTCGATTAAAAAGCAACGTTCAATTCTCGTTTGAAAATGTTCTCTACGAAAATGTTTTTTTTTTATGAAAGTGTGCTGCGCTAATTAATTAGCTTTTAATATTGATGACCGCGTGAATATTTTTGATGACAACATCACGTTTTGTTCATCAGTCGGTTTAGAAACCATTGTTAGCGGTTTAGCGAACGGCTGGGCTTCGCCGTATCTAGCAAGATTAACGTCAGCGGAAACGGAAACTCTTTTAAATCTGACCGATGCCGAAGCATCTTGGGTGGCGTCCCTTTTGAACCTCGGACGTGTGATGGGCGCGCTTATTAGCGCGTGTCTTCAAGGTGAGGGAGAGAGAAAGAGAGAGAGAAAGAGAGAGAGAGAGAGAGAGAGCTGTTCGTCGTTTTTGTAACAAAAATTTTAATAAAAAAGATCTCCGATCTTCGGATTTTTACACAATGATTGATAATACGTGTGTGTTTCAACTCTTATATCTATCTCTTGAACTTCATTCGAACAGCTCGGATTTTCTTACAATTGAAATAAAGCAAAATTTTATGACTCTTAAGAACAACGTGTCACGGCACAATCCTTCAGAATATGTCGGACGAAAGAAGGTGCTCCTGTTGTCGGGCTTGCCGTTAGCCGCCAGCTGGATCTTCATCATCTGCGCCAGATCGGTCACGTGGCTCTACCTTTCTAGATTCTGTTCCGGGATCGGATCAGGCATCTTCTGGCTCTCAATGTCTTTATATCTCGGCGAAATCGCTAATCCTGCCATTCGAGGCTCGCTAGTAATCTAATTTATCTTTTCGTATATATTTCATTACAAGCGCAAAGATTTTTATTATTTTCTTATCTTGCTTCTCTTTTTTAATCTTTGAATAATAATTTTTGGTAATTATGCAGTTATACGGACTATTTTCCGATCTCAACAATTTTGACATATGTTACCAAGGTCACCTCTCTGAATAATAATATGAAGGTTTTATCCGTCGCTCATTGTTTATAAAAAAGTTATGAACAAAAAAAGTTTGATAATTGAACTCTCGTTTTAAATATAAAAAGATAGAAAAAATATAGAAAAAAT